TCCGCTGGTGCAACATTTAATGGCGATTAAAGCGTTGCTAAACTTTCCCGCCAAATGAATACTAACGGCAACGAAAAAGTGACAGATATTATATTCTTTAGCAACTGTTTTTTGGTTGGGCAAAACAACACTATATTTAGAAACTTGTGGCGTTATTTTTTGCTCAGCTTGCTTTTATTCTTTTTGCTGTAGTAACACTCCCTTTCTGTTAATTTTTTAAGCTTATTGTGTTCTTCGTTTCTTACTTTTGCCATCTTGGCTTTATATATTGACACTCCCTATTCATTTGCAAATACAATAATATCTTCTATGCTCTCTTCGTTGTCTAAATTAGTTATACTAATGCATTGTTTCCTTCAGAAGAAATATATTAATCACCCATATCAAAATATTCAGAAATGAAAACGAACAATAAAGGTTGTAAAAAAAAAAAGAGCTGGAAATTTATTCGAATACAGCCATCAGCATGAAATTTATTAGAATACAGCCCCCGTAGAATCCATGTGAAAGCAGGGCTTAGCTAGTTTATTTGGGTTTGTATGGAGTGGGGATGAGGAACAAATTATTTTGCCTCTTCACTTCGATGCCAAATCTTTCAGACATGTCCAGATCTTGTGGTTTCATTTGGTGAGGGAGCTTCCAATCAAAATGATAGATTAGATTGGCAAGGGCAAGATGAACCAAAGCCAACCCGTAATGCATTCCTGGACATATTCTTCGTCCCGCTCCGAATGGGAGGTAATGAAAATCTACTCCTCTGAAATCAACGGAACTATTGAGGAATCTTTCGGGTTCAAAGACTTCGGGTTCGGTCCAGTGACGTGGATCCCTATTAATAGCCCATACATTGACGAAAACCCTTGTTTTGGCCGGGATTAGATATCCATTGACAACAACTGTTTCCTTACTCTCCCTTGGAATAGCCAAAGGGCCAGGAGGATGCAGTCTCAAAGTTTCTTTGAGAATTAATTGGAGATATTGCAGTTGATCGATAGATGCCTCGTCGACAACTCCTTTCCCATTAAAAACTTTTCTCACTTCTCGTTGTGCTTTCTCCATAACTCTTGGGTGTTTCATGAGTTCAGACATTGCCCATTCAACCGTGATTGTCCACGTATCAGATCCAGCGAGAAACATGTCCTGCAATATTATATGCCATCATCATGAGATCAGTAACTACCAATTAACGGATCAAAACAATTAATGAATCAATACGCAATTAATGAGTGGCTTACGAGGATAACAGCTTTAATCTCGGTGAAGCCCAAGTCGTCGGTGTCTTTAAGATTCAGAAGCACACAAAGAAGATCTTCATCGTCGTTTCTAGCAGCTGCTGCCGTTGATAATCTCTTAGCTATGCGGTCGTTGATTATGGTTTCCATGATAGCATCGGCCGCGGAGTGAACCTTCTTCAGCTTTCTCTCGGCTACGGCAGTGACGAGTAGACGCAGCAAGTTACTTGAAGGGAAGAGGTCGACGAGGTTGAACCCTCCAAGCGTCTTCATGAAATGTTTAATAAACGGCAAGAACACTTCCTCTTGCTTCTGAATCTTGCCAAAGGCGGCACGACAGGTGATGGAATTGCCGAGGGAGAGCATCATCTCAGTGAGGTTGATGGTGGGCTTCGTGTTGATCAAGCCCACGAGCTTCGCCATCTCTTCCTCCATGATGGGCCGCAGCATCTTGGTACGCCTGGCGCCGAGAAGCTCCATGGCCACAATCTTCCTCATCTTTGTCCAGTAGGGTCCGTGGGGTGAAAACCCGATGTCCCGGCCGCCGTAGAAGATGATGTTGGCGGCCGGGATGAAGGGCCTGCTCGCGAAGTTGAGATCGTGGGCCTGCATGAACTCTTTGGCCCATTCGGCCGACGACACGATTACCGTGGGGATTTCGCCGAGCTGAAGTTGCATCAGAGGGCCGTACTGTCGGGCCAGCTCCGCTAGCCGGCGATGTGGGAGAGACGAGCCGATTGCCAGCTGGTGGAGGTTCCCGATGAGCGGCAGCTTCCATGGCCCCGGAGGTGTAGCTGCTTTTGATGATGATGAGCTCAGAGACCTTTTCATTATGATCATTGAAAAAATGGTGACCAAGATTGTGACACTAATTGGGATGATGAAATAATCACTCGCCATCAGCTCCCCGGCTGCTACTACTACGTTCTCACCCATAGATCACTTTTCTCTCTAGCGATCTTTTCTTCTCTTCTAAAGTTGGTGGGTTTTAGGTTTGTTTGATCGATGGATCTGCCCGAGACGATGGCTCATCCGTATATATATCCACCATGAATCAGCATTTTAGTTGATTATTATTATTATCATCGTCCACATAAAATACTAATATGTATAACTTTCCACATACACGGCTGCATGCATGGTATTTGGATTTCTCCAACTTGCGTATTTGGCTTTGTCACTAATTGTCATTAGTCATAAATTAATTGTTGATTGCTGGTAGTTAATATTCATTCCAAGGCGGCCGAAGATATTTATTTGAATTAAATATAAAAATAGCTTCGTGACCGAAATAGTTTGTGACGATAATGAGGTCACAATCTTTATTAAAATTTCGAGTGGTCATCAGCGACGGAATTACATGTATTATTTTACAGATTGTAGGAGACAAAAGGCGTTAAAAGATCTTCATGGAAGATATATGTGTATTCATTCTATTTGTGGTATTTCAAGGATTCGAATTAGGTACGACGTAAGGTTGATCATTTGAACATGTTCTCCAATATTTGATCCCCATGACATCGATGATAGGGTTTCGTGGTTGGTCGTATCTAGGACTGGAGTTCGGTTTGGTTAAGCTAATCGAATTGGCCAGTTACATGAATTCAAATTGGATCCGTTTAAGCAAACTGTAACGAGCACCAACATTAAACCTAATAACCCATTAGGTTTGGTCCATAATCTTATTGGACTTTAGATATGGAATGACATGGTGGACTAAGCTCAAATTCTATTAGATTTTCCGGCTATATGTGGCCTTTTTATGATTGGGTTCGGTTTGCAATTAAACTAAAACCCTAAAAGATAATCTAAAACTACAATCAAGACTGTTCTATTCGTTAAATTTTTCTTCTCAGTTACTCGTTAATCAACGAAATTGATTGCAGTTTCGAGTAAACCGCTGAGCTTCCAGCCCTAGCAGTATCCATATTATGGCTAAGGAAACGTCTTCTATCGAAGTTCCAAAATATAGAACAAATACATCATGGTTTATAAAGTGGATGAACTTATGTACCCAAATGCCAAATGTGTAATTCATATCAAGTTTTAATGTTGTAGTTGGATAATCAACTTGATGAAAATGTACATGTATGCAATTTTAAAAGAGCACAACAACTGATGATTGGAATTGTGATCCAATATCTATTTATTCTATTTCTTCACCCATTGCTTGGGGAAAGAGTCTCCAACTACATTTATTTCTTAAATGCATGCATATATATATATATTGTGGTATATATACATTCACAATTTATGCTTCAACATAGCCAGCTAGCGGAGCCACCACATGTCGCGGCCGGTGTCATGATCGGAGGAAACAAAACTAGCGATATCAAAGAGCACCACTCCCGGCCCACCGGCGCTCCCCCGGCTGGCTACCGGAGTACTACTGCTCAAAGAACGACGGCATAGTGGACACGTGGGGGATCTCCTCGTGAAGGATTGCATCGACCATCTGTCCAGACAAACTTTATGAAACACGTGACAACAAGTCAGCTTCCGTATCTCTTCGCCCGGTTCCACCTTGGACAAGCACACCGCACATTCCGAGGACTGCCTTAGATCTTCGGCGGTTGCTGATACGACGTCGTTAGACTCGTAGTAGTACTCTTGGACTTGGTCGTGGGCCGGCTGCTGGTGGTGGAGGTCGTAGATGTAGCTGTGGTGGCGGTGGTGGAAGAAGGAGAGGTGGAACAACAATTCCCAACCCCATTTCAGGTAAGCCAACGTCATTCTTATGCTTCCCACCACCTTGATAGCATCCATTCTTAATCTTCTCTGTAGCTAATGAAGAGAAGTTAGGATTAGTACTAGATAGTAGTAGTGGTGATGGAATAGGGCAGCCATGGCGGGCGGTATATATAAACCTAGCTAGGTTTGAATAGTATATATTATGGGTTTACGATTCAACGTTGGGAGGCCTTACATATTAATTATTACTTTTTTCACTACATATTATTATTTGTCGTGCTATCACGTGGTATAATTGTCAGTCATATTGGGCCTTTTCCTTCTCCTTTCTTTCGTCGTTTTTGATAAATGCGTAATAGAATTTTTTTGGCTTTTTGTGCTTTTATGTACTACTGGATTTAGTCAAATACAGTCAGCTTATCTGCTAATTATGAAGCCACCAACATAAGAAAATAGTCAAGTGACCCGATTGATGGTGTTCTAGTCAAATTGGATGAGCTTTTAAATCGTCACGCTGACCCCATCCGTAGAATAGAATCCTTGAAGTCGGTCGGTCAAGTCACAGGGAGCTAGCTAGATACATGAATTGAAAGGTGGTCTATGTTGCTAGCGTTTTCAATGATAACGGTGGCTTACATAATTTTCTCAATATGAGATATTATGTCTTGTGTAATTAAAATTTCTTATTATATATATTTTTTAAATTTCAGAGCCACCTTATCAAGAATTTCTGTCATTATTTTGCCAAATTTTCCGCGATTCGTCGGAATTTTTTTTCCATATTTATAAAGCAAACAGCAGGAAGCGGTTGGTGATTCAATTCTCCATCCTTTCTATTAAAAAAAATACAATTTGGGTTCTTACAACATCAATCTCCACCCACATAAAAGTGATCCGTTAGGAACTCAATCTTCCAAGTGCCAAGGAAAATTAACTAATCAAAACCATACAGATTCATTCCAGCAATCACAAATAAGAAACAAATAGAGAGCATGGACCACGAAATCAAGAAAACACAATGGAACGCAAAACGGATTACATTTTTGTAGATTGGTATTATTTTTTGCACGATGTTCTTCAAAGAGGCACAGGGTCAGCGAACAATGAAGAGATGTGTGCCTTCAAAAGGTGAGAATGAGTATAGCCATCACCATTCTCGTAAATCACACTAATGGAGCGTGCAAAGTTCAGAACACGATCTGTCAAGGCTACTGGCAATGGGGTTGGTTTCTGACACTCTTCTGCTATGTCTTTCCAAGCTCTAGAAATCTCCTCCCAACAAAATTCAACTGCTTCCTCTTCCGATGCTCCGTGCTCCTTCATGTAGCATTCTATTGCTGAAGCCGCATGACTTCTCTCCTGCTCCCACTGAGAGAAAATTAAACCACCCGTCAACAATTAATTCAATTAAAATGGTTTCAAATATTGATATGCAAATATCGACGTATAGGGGTATTTGATGATTACCTTGTGAGACACAATGTCATTTTGGATCCTAGAAATGACAGATGCAGCTCTAACCATCTTTGGCTCATTGGTCACCCATTCAAAGGCCTGAACAGTGGCTATATCTGCTCCCATCCCAACAAAAGCAGATGTGCAAAGAATGGGAAAACCACTAGTGACGTATGCATCGATCTTATACTCTTCTAGTGTTGGAACATGGTCTTTGGTACGCCACTGAACTTCAGCCAAGTGGGCTCGGCATATTTTCTTGAGCTGGATAAATATTATGAAAAGTCATTCAATTATAATGTTCTCCATTATGAAACTTTGAACCTAATAAGGCAAAACTTACTATGTGTATACATATTACACTATTATCGTGACTAAAAAAATTACCTCATCCTTAGCATAGTCGACCGCAAAGGTGGGTCCTGTTTTTGAAAGTTCTATCTCAATTTCATCATACAAATCAATGATGATACGAAACAAATTCTTCATTGTCTCCGGTAATGTCTCGAGAGCGCGCACATGGAAACTGAAATGAGCAAATAATGATTGATTAAACAAAGGTATGTAATGCATCTAATTAGTTGAGGGAATTAAATCAGTTTAATATTTAGGACTTAAGTATCTTATTTGATATGGATGAATAACTAAATTGAAAATTAATATTTTAAGGAAGAAACGAACCTTTCAATAGCTTCTGTGAGCATCTTGACCTCTTCAACTGTAGCAAAGTTATCGCAAGTGTCATCTAAAAGTGAAAGCATTGATATGATCTTGGTGCACATAACTCTTGCTAGCTGATATTTGGGCTCAAAATAAACAGCATAGATCCAGTAATAACATTCCACAACTCTGTCTCTTGCATGTGGGAAGTTGGTAGTCACATTCAGATTTTTCCACCACCTATTTAAAGTAATTAATTAAGAGTAAGTAATGGCTGAGTAGATATAAACATATCAAACATTGGTAGACCAATAAAAATGTGATCCTTAATTTGTTAAAAAATTGAAGTTGTACTGCTTACTCAGAAATTTCGTGGAGCTCTTGGCGATGTAACTTTTGGAGTAAGTTGAAGTCCAACTTTGCAAATCGAAGGAGCTTGTGATTATGGGAAGCATCCTCGGAGTAGAAATCGATGTAGTTCCTTGTAAGTGATCTAGGAACACATTTCCAAGACGGAAGGCCAAGAGCAAATTTGACTTGTTTTTGGAATGAAGTGCCGAGTTGGGGAAGAATGGACTTGAGGGTTTTGGTAGCAAAGCTCAGGGCTTCATCCAATATGCCTTCTCCATGGACAGCCACATGTGCTGCCTCGTACAAGCTCAGGAGCCCTTGCTCATCGGAAGCCAACCATTCCTTGAACCTTCCTTCACTGTCCTTCAACTTTCTAAATCCATCTGTTGACCCATTAAAAATGGAGGTTGGATTGATATCATGTTACAATTTTCAACACAAACTATTAAGTGAAATGACTAAAGTACTTGATTATCTATGAAAATATTGAAGTATATGCACCTGAAGACACTGGAAGACCTTGTTGTCTGAGGAGTCGAAACCGAAGAGCAGCATTGTAAAGATGTGCAGTGGTGTTGTCTACGATGGTGAATGGTTCGTCACCAAGAGCATGCACTTTTTCCAGTGCTTCCTCGATCTCCTTTTCGAAGAGATACCCAACACCTAGTCGTTGGACTGCATCGATCACCCGAAGCTTCTCGATAATGGCCGGCAGCTTATTGTCATCCTCGGCTGTGACCATCTTCCGCACCTCTTCCTTGAGAACATCGTACTCGCTTTCGCCGACCAGTTGAAGGCTCTGCTGGTCGACTTGGTCGAGAAAGCGGTCGCCCCACTGTGTGAGAGGGAAGCTTGCTGAGTCCCGATCGATGCCGGCAGCATTTTGGTTTCCGACAACAGTAGTCGACATTTTCGATCTGGGTTTCTGAAGCAACGGTTGGTTAGTACGTGGGAAGTGGTTTTTCGGGGGATTTGAGAGTTCGCAAGCTTTGATTGTGGGATGTTGTGAATCAAAGCTCGTGAATCTGTTACTTATATAGCCAATGAGGTGTGGAGCAGTTTCGACGAACTACCCTTAATTAGTTGATTTCTTACAGAATATGACAAAATCATCACGTTTACCCCTTTAATTTCTTACTTTAATATTATCAGCGCCCACCTCCTGCCCCTTAACAAACAACTAATAATGAAAAGGAAAAAGACTTTTATAATCAATCACATGCAGTATGGGAAAACAATTAATATACGTACGCATGCTTTAAATATGGGGTTCTCGATCCTAGGGCTCCCAACAGGAGATCGAGTAAATGGATTTGATTCCATAATTAAAACTTGTTTATCAGTGGAATATCTCGAATTTTTAGGTGCATTGCAGGAAACTCCACGAAAATGGGCTACCTGCTCTTAACCATATGTGTACTTAACTAGTAAAAAAACTCTTTCCATATTTGTCGCCCTGTTTTCTTGTTATTAATTATTGCCGAATTTAGTCAATTACGGTCAGCTTATAACTAGTGTGATAATTATATCACCCCGTTTTTCTATGAATAAGTAGTACATCGAATGGGCCAATAAGCAAGCCAAGATTCTGAAGAACCCTAAATAAGAAAATGTTCAAGTTCCATATATAACTAAACAACTCCCTGCCCACCGCCCTGTTATGAGCAACCACCTTAATCATTAATTAATTCATTAATTATGTAGTGTTTTAGTCAAATTGAGTGAGCGGATCTAACAAATAGATTCGTTTGATGCCAAGTAGCTACGGTTACATATATAGTAGTAATATGTTTTTTTGTCTCGTTGAAGGTGTTAAAGTTTGATAAAAACGTCTTTAGATAGTTTATATTATTATAGTTTAAAGTTAAATTCAGTGAGTGCATCTAACAAATAGATCCGTTTGATGCCAAGTTGCTAGGGCTAATAACAAGTTTTTTTTTTTTTTTTTTTTTGCCCCAGTTTTGGCAAACCCGTGTAGATAGTTTAAATGATTTGTCATGGTATTTGAGAGATTACAATCTATCATGGTGGTAAGAGATTTTTATTATCATGGTTGGTACATTTTATTACAGTTGTAACAAGCAGTACCATATGGTGAAGCTACACACAAGGTTTTCAATGTTAGAGATTACAATCTATCATGGTGGCAAGAGATTTTTATTATCATGGTTGATACATTTCATTAGAGTTGTCAAAAGCACTACCATATATATGGTGAAGCTACACACAAGGTTTTCAATGTTATGATTCAATTGCATGAATACTCTGTCTTAATCATCAAGGTGCTAGCTAAATCACAAGCTAGCAGACACAAAATAGCAAAGTTCTAATATAAACTCAATATGGCTATTTGGAACTGCACATTTTTTATCTAGATCGTCATAGTGTTCTATCCCACGTATCGACCCAAAGGAAGGTCTTTATATAATGCATCAATGACCATATGAAAATTATAATTATGTGTTGGTGTGATGCGTATGAATCTCAAATCTCACAATCTCAATGGTCAACGGATAGAAATAAATTGACAATATCATGTATTTGTGTTACTTAGACTATGCTTATTTATTTTTACTTGAGTGCATAATTTATATCGAGTATCGATCCCTGAATTAGAAATCACTTGAAAATCTCATAAGTCATATTGGAGATAATTATAAACTCCGTGCAATTTGATTGACATTCTAGCGCCTTATATAATAATTGAATATGCAATTTTAAAAAGAAAAACAAAAAGAATAGGCAACACAAATTGGTATTACTTACTCTATTCTCATATTCGATTTCTAAGACCCGGTAATTTGCTCGATTGGGGGAGTTCCACAACTACATTTCTTATTCTCATAAAATTCTTTCAAATCTGAAAGAAGCTATGAGTTTTCTCCTCTATTTCAAATCAGATAATTCAAACCAACCGCCATTAATTAACTTTCCTCATCATTGTAATACTTCGAAAAATAAAAAAAGTGGTAAGAATGATGGGCAGATATGAGGTAAATACTGTCATTTTTTACCACATATTATATCGTGGTTTACATTTTTACAAAGTCAGGCATCAGCCTATAGCTAGAGCTAACGGAGCCACCAAGTGTCCCGGGTGTGATGATCGGAGGAAACAAAACGAGCGAAGTCGAACAGAAGCACTTCCGGCGCCGCCCCGCCGGAGCTCCCTCGGCTGGTGGCCGGAGTAGTAGTCAAGGAACGGCGGCAGAGTGGACACGTGGGTCGCCTCCTCGTAAACGACGACTGACACCATCTGTCGAGACAGACTTTGTGGAACACGTGGCGGCATGTCAGCTCCCGGATCTCGTCTCCTTGTTCCACCTTGGACAAGCACACCGCGCATTCGGAGGACTGCCGCAGGTCTTCTGCGGTAGCTGACACGACGTCGTTGGATTCGTGGCTGTCGTGCGGATAGTAGGAGTAGCTGTAGTGGCGGTGGTGGAAGAAGGACAAGTGAAACAACAAATCCCATCCCCATTTCAGGTAAGCCAACACCAATCTTATGCTTCCCACCATCTTTCCAGTATCCATTCTCGAATAAATCTTCTCTCAGTCTGTAGTTAGCTAAGAAAGGGAGCTAGGAAAGAGAAGAAGTTGAGAGTAGCTGTAAGCATGCAGTAGTAGTGGTGATGGAATAGGGCAGCCGAGGCAGGCGGTATATATATATATATATATATTAGATGTGCAGAAGCTCTGGATTATTATATGAGTATGCTTAAAAGTTCAACGTTAGGGCGCTCACAAATAATTTTATAGTAATTATTGTTATTTTATGAAGAGTTGCAACCCAAGTTCTGAAATTTAGGGCTCGTTTTTGTCAAGCTAGAAAGATGTACGTAATCTGTCGTGGTTCCAACTTCCCACTCACCATATTGGGTCTCTCTCTATCTTTCCTTGGTTTTACTATACCAGTATGTTCAACAATTGGTTACTCAAGATGAAGCCAAACTGCATTGACTGAAACGGAGAACACTTTGCAAACCCAAAGATCTGACAGATGTTAACAAAGCTGTGTTTGGCAAACAAGGGTGGAAATCTTGGGTGATTAGCACAAATGGTCATAAAACTTTGAGCTTTGTACAAAACAATAACAAAAGTTTTATTTTGTACGGTTCGGTAGCACAGTTTTAGAAATGTAATAAAATGGTCATTTACGTCCGTCTCAATCCAAAAATTTATCAAACTCGTTATGTCAGCGGTCCATATCATCCAATAAAATATTAAAAGTTGCCAACTTCTCATCCAAAAATAACCAATCGAACTAACTCTACCCACCCGAGAGCCAAACTGATATTGCATCCTTATTTTTACTTTTCTTATTACCATTTAGTTACATCATGGAAAGAAAGAAGTGTAACTATTTTGTTACAAAAATGAAAAGGTTTCTGGCAATTTAGCTTCAAATACTTACTGTCAAATTATAAAGTTGATAGTTTGGTGACCATTGTGCTAGAACTTTTTAAATATAGAAATGTATCGACTATAGAATTCATCCAAAATGGGGGTTTAGAAGTAGTTACGTTATACTTCTATGAACAATTTTCAATGGGGATGGGACAACATCACAATGTCAAACGGTTACTATAGGACTAAACTAGCACATTGTAATAACTCAGCTATCGATAATGGTTGTGGTTCCTCGCTCTTTTTGTTTTTTCAAAGTCAATAGTTATAAAGACAGTCATACAGAGAAAATAAGAAGAGCGCGGGAGTCGACCACTAGCCGAACTCCCGATGAGAGGGCCTTTTGTGCCACATGATGGGCAGCCCTATTAAGTCGACGAGAAACAAAACAGTAAGAAACTCAGCTAAAGCGAGAAACCAAGCTCCGAACATCCTCCAGTATATCTCCACCTCGATCATGAGCCAAGTCACCTCTCACCAGTTCAACAATTTAAGTGGTGATAATATATAAGCCCTGGTAAGACGGATGCCGGGTGGTATACATTGACCTGGCTAGTTCGAAATTAGTTCCAGAAACTCAGGAATATAAAATGAGTTTCAAAAATTCAACGTTTGGATGCTCATAAATGATTTTCAGGTCTATATTATTATTTTATGAAGAGTTGCCACAAACAAATTACTGAAATTTAGGGCTCGTTTTTTACGAGCTACAAAGATTGAAGTTTGTCGTGCTTAAAAGAAAATAAAGTATTCCCTTCTTTCCTCCAAGTTCCAAGTACTCGGCAACGGTGTGGAGAGTGTACTGCCCATTCCCACATGCATGCCACCTTTTCTTTCTGCGGTTCTCTTTTAATTTTATTTTGTCCTGTTGATGAACGTGGTCTACTTCGTTTTGTTTGGGGTAAATAGCACTGCTATTAACTAAGGGGCTAGCTGGGGTTGCTTTGGATCTCGAAAATGAATGGTTTTATTTAATTTTTGGATTTCGAAAATGAAAAATTTTATAATTTGAGGTACTATTGGGATAATCCTAAGCTTTTGGTAGAGGATTGTTAGGTAGTGACGTTTAACAAGGGACTTGCCCAAGTGTTTCTTGTAATTTCATCATCTTTCCAATTTAACAGAAGAAGTTCACCCTTAGAAATAAATAAATGAATAAATCATAAGCTTGGAGTAACGTAAATATGTGACTACTCCAATGTGTTAGAATATTTGTCTCGTATCATTTTCTGGAGAATATGTATAAAATGAAATTTCATAAATTTTTGTGATATCAGCAACACATGATACAAAATAATGCACAAAGCTATCAAAAATTGCATAAGCTAGAGTATTGCTAAGATCCTGTGGATCGACAACAGGTTCAACTACTAAGAGTTAATATGTGCTTGACAAAGAAACCATCCCCTTTCGTCCTTCCTGATTTCTCATTTTTATGAGCATCTTTTACAAATTCACTCTTAAGCTTTTCCCCATCTTGAATATGTAACTTTATTTCAAATTCACTTAGTTTGTACATGTTGATGTTGGTGCTAGTTTCAGCTCTTGAAATAGCTCCTAAGAATAACACATTGTGTGGGTAAATAAGATAAATGATAAGAAAACTTATCAATGGACAGTTTTGTACTCAAAGAGTTGAAAATTTCAATAGTATTGGAAGGTGATTTCAGAACAAATGGATAAAATACAAGAGAAAAGTACTATAAAATTAATTGGATTTGGATAAGTAAGTACGTGATATTGGGTATCACAACTGAATGATCCTCAAGTAGACAAGTGATTCTTAATAAATTGGAACATTAATCAATACTCATAGTAAATTAGCCGACTAGACTGATATTCATAGATTTAAATAGTCCCAAGTACTAGTAGTTGGTCGTACACTAGAAAGATCATGCTCTCACATACAAATGAGAATTTTATCGATAGAAATCAAAATCCACTTACACATTTCTGATATATAATACAACCGGGAAATAGAAACAATGAATGTAGAATAGAAAGCATTATCAAGCAAAAAAAACTAGCCACATTCTTACAGAGAGAAATTTCTTTTCACACGAGTTCTTCAGAGAGGAACGGGATCAGCTAACAATGAATCGATGTGTTCTTTCAAAAGGTGAGAATGAGTGTAGCCATCACCATTCTCATAAATCACACTGATTGAGCGTGCAAAGTTAAGAACACGTTCTGTCAAGGTTACTGGTAATGGAGTTGGTTTCTGACACTCTTCTGCAATGTCTTTCCAAGCTCTAGAAATCTCCTCCCAACAAAATTTGACTGCTTCCACCTCTGATACCCCGTGCTCATTCATGTAGCATTCTATTGCTGAAGCTGCATGACTTCTCTCACGCTCCCACTAAGGGAAAAAAACCATTCAACAATTATTTTCCATTCAAATGGAATTTGATATCATTCATCAACAAAAGGCAATTTCTATGTGAATATTTAACTATTACATACCTTATGAGAGACAATATCATTTTGGATCCTAGAAATGACAGATGCAGCTCTAACCATCTTGGGTTCGTTGGTCACCCATTCGAAGGCCTCTCTACTGGCTATTTCTGCTCCCATCCCGACGAAAGCAGATGTACAAAGGATTGGAAAACCACTAGTAACATAAGCATCGATCTTGTACTCCTCCAATGTTGGAACATGATCTTCAGTACGCCACTGGATCTCAGCCAAGTGAGCTCGACATATTTTCTTGAGCTGCATAAATGAGTAATATTGAAAATTTAGTAATTATAACATTGCTCATTTTGAAACTTAGAAGGTCCCCATTTATCATTAATTGCTAGTAATTACCTCTTCCTTTGCATAGTTGACAGCAAAAGTAGGTCCGGTTTTTGCAAGTTCCACCTCAATTTCGTCGTATAGGTCAATGATGATACGATACAAATTCTTCATCGTTTCAGGTAGTTCTTCAAGAGCGCTCTCATGGAAACTGAAATAAGCATACAATGCATGATTGATTAAGACACTGTGCTAACTCACCTAATTAATTGAATGTATATTAAATTTAGCCAATAGTTAGGACTTAATTGGCTTCTTCAATATAATTAGTGAACAAAGAGTTGATATTTCGAGGAAGAAATGTACCTTTCAATAGCTTTTGTGAGCATCTTAACTTCTTGGTATGTAGCAAAGTTATCACAAGTGTCATCCAAAAGTGAAAGCATTGAAATGATCTTCGTGCACATAATTCTTGCCAACTCATACTTGGGCTCGAAGTACACGGCATAGATCCAATAATAGCATTCCACAAGTCTGTCTCTTGCATGTGGGAAATTGGTCGTAACTTTGAGACTTTTCCACCACCTGATTGGCAACCAATTGATTAAGTATATAATGATATTATATCAATCAAACAGTATGTAAATAAAAATTAATTTCTCAAAACTCACTCAGAAATTCGACGAAGCTCCTGCTGATGTAATTTCTGCAGCATGTTGAAGTCCAACTTTGCAAATCTGAGGAGCTTGTAATCGTGGGAGGCATCTTCGGAATAGAAATCGATGTAGTTCCTAGCAAGTGACCTTGGGACACATTTCCAAGAAGGAAGACCCAGGGCAAACTTAACTTGTTTTTGAAAGGAAGGGCTGAGTTGGGGGAGAACGGTCTTGAGAGCCTTGGTAGCAAAGCTCAATGCTTCATCCAATATGTCTTCTCCATGAACCGCCACATGAGCCGCCTCGTACAAGCTCAGAAGTCCTTGTCCATCCGAAGCCAACCATTCTTTGAACTTGCCTTCACTGTCCTTCAAGTTTCTAAACCCATCTGCGCCAATTAATTAAGATCCATCAAATTGGAGTTATATGATTGTATTTGAACAACCAGTTCAAAGATGAAACAATTGAGTCTATATATAGTGCTATACAGTATATTATATACATACCTGAGGAAACATGAAGACCTTGTTGTCTGAGGAGTCGAAACCGAAGAGAAACATTGTAGAGATCATCGGTGGTAGTACTATCACCGTCACTATGATCGTCACGGATAGCGAATAGGTCTTCTCCAAGTGCATGCACTTTCTCGAGTGCTTCTTCGATCTCAGTCTCGTAGTGATACCCAACACCTAGTCGTTGGATGGCATCAATCAGCCGGAGCTTGTCGGCAATGGCTGCAGGCTCGTTGTCATCAACACCTCCTCCTTGAGAAAGTCGTACTCATTTTCCCACACAAGCGGTGGCTCCTCCTGGTCGGCCTGGTCGAGGAAGCCATCGGCGGCGCCCCAGAGTGTGAGAGGGAAGCTTGCTGAGTCCCGATCCAATACCACAGTTGACATGATGAACTGCTAATTTGTCTGTCGAAGGTTAGTATGGGAAAGGTTTCTTTGTCGAGGAATATTTGACTTGTAAGCTGTGGGATTGATGTTGTGAATCAAAGCTCGAAAGTCTGTTGCTACATATAGCTATCTAGCCAACATAGTTTTCAAGCAGTTACGTTCTACGAACCACCCTTGGCTTTTTTAATTTCTTATAAAATATGGCGAAATGATCACGTTTACAATATTGTATCCTTTCTTAATTAAAATAATATGGTTAGCGCCCATATTCAATAAACGCCAGCAGTCAAGCATGTGAAGAGCCATACATAAAATACGACAATATTCCATAAACGCCGGCCGGCCCTGTCAACTAAATATTATAACTGTGATTATTATAGTCAACTTGAGCGAGCTTCTAATTCAGGTCCAAAATCAATTCGTTGAAGTCACTAGGGTTATAAATATATAGAAAGGAATACATAGATTCAAAAAGTTTGTCGTGGCGTGCTGAAGATGTTTATATTTATGCTATTCTAGTACAAGGTCTTTATAAAATATAATAAATAATATAAATTTAATATCCGACTCATATCACACATTCTCAAAAAAAATGTTGGAATTATATGCTAGTTGAATTTATCATGACCCGTTTTCATCTTTTGGAAGCAATTTGAAATACAAACATTGTCTCAAAAGTATTTAGCAAATATCTTTCAACATATTGCACTGTTTATATGTAGTCTATCACTCTGGTGGATTGATATTAATATTTGATTGGAAAGCTTGCGCTTATTAGCCAAAAAAAGAAAAATATTATTTCAACACTAATAGTTGAAATAAGTCAAGAGATATGATCTTAGCATTGCATGGATCAAATTATTAGCGAATTGGATAATGCGGTTTTATTGTTGTTGGTTAGTCAGAGCCCCTGGTAAATGCATTTTATCTAAGTGGCATAAAAAAAAAGACTAAAAAGTGAATCATATACTTCTCTATACATGCTCTCAAATGACAATTAATTCATGCGGCTTGAAATTTATATAAGAGTATCAGACCAAGCATTTCATCGAGTATGAATATTGGGTAGTCATAAAGATTGGAACATGAAACTTCCCGACTAATAAAAGAATCAAATATCATGCCAAACGAGTCATCGGTCCCAATAGCTTGAATAATTAAGACAAATAAAAAAATGATATAATTGCATGTGGGACTGAGAGGGATAAATCAACTTCACAAAACCATTCATTGGGAACTTGAAGTGTTGTGTAAGTATACAATCTACTAAAAGGAACAGACAAACACTGAAATAGGTGAACCAAATCGATCACTATATATCTATCTATTATTCTCATGTTCCCAATGAGAATAATATTGCGGAATGCGGATTACATTTGCAAGTTAATTATGCGTCAAAGTATCTAGTAGCTATAGCTAGCGGAGCCACCAATTGTCGCGGGTGTCACGATCGGAGGACACGAAGCTAGCGAAATCGAAGAGCAACACTTCCGGCGGTTCCGCCGCCGCTGAGCTCCCCCTACAGGTCGCCGGAGTAGTGGTCAAGGAACGGCGGCAGAGTGGACACGTGGGGCACCTCCTTGTGAACGACGACTGACACCATCTGTCGAGACAAACTCTATGGAACACGTGGCGACATGACAGCTCCCTTACTTGGTCGCCTTCCTCGACCTTGGACAAGCACACCGCGCACTCCGGGAAATCCTCCGATGACCCTGCAGCTCCCGCTACTACGACGTCGTCGGCGTATTCTTGGACTCGGCGTTGGGCTGGGTGATGGTAATAGTAGTAGTCGTGGTAGCGGTGGTGGAAGAAGGACAAATGGAACAACAAATCCCATCCCCATTTGAGGTATGCCAACACCATTCTTAAGCTTCTCACCACCTTATAATTAGTATCCATTCTTAATTAATTTTCTCTCTCTGTAGTTAGCTTGCAAAGAGACAGAGATAACTCCTTGATCAGAAACAGAGAAATGATCAAGAGTGGCAGTAGTCGTATGGTGGTGATGGAATGGAGGGCCGAAGGTGGGTATATATATATTATGGACATAATTAATTAGTAATATATGAGTGGGATGATATTCAACGTTCGGAAGCTCAGAATTAAAATAATTGAGTATATCATTATTTTACCAAAGCAGTGAAAAATATTCGGCTCGTTTTGAGCGTGCTGAAAAGGGTTGTCCCATGTTAGAATAAGTTGCCAACTATTTTCCTACTTCGGATGACCAATGGCAACGGTCCTACTCCCTACAAGCCCAATATGCAAGAACCTACAGGCCCAATCCCTTGTTCCCTTCCTGAATCCAAATCAAGTTTGGGCCCAAAAGAGAAGGTTGGATTGGAGCTCAAATTTATAAAGCCCAACTCTTTCACTCTCATAATCTTGGTGGCAGACCCAGCGCGCATCACTCACTAACTCTCTCGTGCATGTTATCAATCTTCACTTTTTCACTCTCATAATCTTGAGCTTCCATGTTGTGCACAGAGTTTTGTTTTGGTAATTTCTCAACCTAACCCTATGCAGCCTACCTTCTAAAGGGTTAATTGTCTATTCGGTAAGCCGCGGTATGAAGCCTGTTGGAAGAAAAGAAATAACTGACAGACCGCTGAGATCAATTAAAGAAATATCAATAACTTTATCTCTTTCGTGATCTAGTCTCAATATTTGAAATGTCATGTAAATCCGTATATCATTGTCTTAGTTCATGTGGTTTTATTTCCTTCTGACTCTGTACTACTATATTTCCAATCTATGTGCCTGCTACACCTCAGCTTCTAAGCTCTATAATTAGCTGATTCATCAGGCGGCTTCATCTTCCTCCTCTTGGACCTACTTGTTCGTCGTCGGAAAGAAAGTCAATTGAGAATTAATTATATGTACACAAAGTTCAGCAATAAATTATTGAAAAGATAAGAACAAATTGTCACATCAATAGTCATAATAATATACAGTTGGGCATTAATTATTGTTGGTCAATTATTAAGAAAAATCTTTCATCAGATCCCGTATATAAGATAGGTTAACAGCAAAATTTGGCCTTTTATTATTGGTCTTTCTCAAATGTATCACAATTCTATGGCTTGGTTTCGATAAAAAAATTCTTTTTTTCAAAATCTTCAATTATTCAAAACTCTGATCGTATTATCGTATCACGGTGATACGATCATACGACCGGAGTTTTGCATACAGGAATTTTATACCCTATCTGCTCCATTATGCTATTTTCATTTTTTCAAACGTTAAGTAATTAATTGCAATCACTGTCTGGCCTCTACCTCTCACATCAAGATAAAAGTATGGTTAATTGGATTTGGACTGCATTATTGCTTGTGTATATACATAAATAAAAGTATAGTATTTTTTATTATAAAAAAAAGTATAGTATTTGACTGAAATATATACAGTGCTAATATTCATTATGCAATAATTCCATCTATTATGTAAGAATTATTTAACATATTATTATATTCTAGTTGCAATTTTTATGTAAATGAAAATACATTATTACGTAATGATTATGGAAACAATAATTATATTGTATTCAACCATCTAGCAAATATGAAGCGTAAAACTTTCGTAATGACTTTACACTTTATAAAGGTTAAACTTAATACTCATACATAAAGTATCATCTACTATATAAAAGGTTACGAAATATATTGTTTTAACAACGTAAGATAAACACATCTTATATAATAGAAGTTGAATATACTATAACGCTGAAGATACAATTTTAATTTGTACTATAAAAAAGTAGTACAAAAATATATAGGTATAAACGAATTTGTTCTGCAACGCCAAATGAATAAATTCAGTTTGTATAAAAAAAATTTAACGAAATGAATTTGTTCCACAATGTTAAATTATGAGTAGCATAACTAGAAAGCTCAGTAGACAAGTGGTAGCTAAATGCTACTATATATAGTGACGGTGATTGTTATGGAAGGTGACCCTCAAAAGAAAGTCAGAGAAAGGAAGGAAGGAAATTAAAGCAAAAGGAGAGAGATAAGCAACCGGAGCAAGTAAATTAAGTCGCCGGAGAAATGGATGAACTTGCTGCACTTTCCCTCGCCATCTTCATACTAATAGCCTTTTTGCCGGTTCTGGAGCAGATTATGAAGGCACTTGGTGGGCTCAGCCTGTGGGACTTGTTCCCTTCCAGTAACTTGGTGCGTCTAGTGAGCGGGACGGAGAGGAAGCTGAAGAAGCTCCATTTGGAAGCTGATGTCATCCTCGAACAAGTGATCGGCGACCACGTGGCAAGACGAAGAACAGAGAGAGTTGATGGTGGCGGTGGTGTTGATGATCATGATAAGGATCTTGTTGATGTGCTTTTGAATCTCAGCACCAAGAATCGTGGCCTTGGATTCTCCATCACCCACTTAGAGATTAAAGCAGTCATCCTGGTAAGTATACGTGGTATTGTTGACTATTTTATTTTATGAGGAAATGAAGGGTTTTGGTGCATACATATAAGATATAATATTGAGGCTTAATTAATAATTAAGTGTGTTGGTGATCACCAGAAATTTTCTTAAGAATGCTAGATAATCAAAATCAAATTCGTTAATATCATAATGTCATACTTGAGTTATCCTCTTATTGATTTAACTAGCTTTGCGCCCAGCTCGACCTGTTATACATGCATATGGGATTCTTCCTATTCGGACTTCTTTTCTTAGTTCTTGGACAAGGCTAGTTGGGCTATGTTTTTGTTTGTTTTGCAGGTCCAAATGCTCGTGTGAAAGAGTGAGATGCTGAGTTGCCACGTGCCTCAATTTCGACATTAATAGAATTTGCTCATGCCGTAAAAGCGAGTTGCTTTTGTTTGTACATCTTGTTTGCTCACTAGCCGATTGCTAATTGTTGGCCAAGTCTTTGTCGATTGCAAGGCTATTCCCTTGCTTTTGTTTGTTTTGTTTTGCATGGTTGACCCACTACTTTTGGTTAAAGATTCGTAGTTGGTCAGCATATTTCTTGGAGTTTTGGCATCTATGAATTTTCAGTCAATTGGATGAACCCAGCTGGGGGTTGTCATTTTTGCATGTGACGATGTCACCCACACAATAATATGGGTTCGCTGCACTGCTTTCGGCTTTAGTGTGCTTGATTCTTGACTTTCTGCCTTCAAAAGGTAGAAGTTAAGTTATGAATTATGCTCATTTTCGAAAAGATAATTATAGGACTGCTCATATCGTAGTAGTAAAGCTCTATTATTGTCAGACCTGCAAATGTCTTTTTATTTTTTATTTGTAATTTGATCTACAAAGGTCATGTATATTGTTATACTTCGTATATGCTCTTTCCCTTTGAGGATATCTATTGAAAAAAAAACACAACAAATTACAGCAAACAAAAGGAACAAATTACAAAAAAAATAAAGAAACAAACTAAGCTATTACTAGCTAGCCATGTTCGTTGGGCGACAAATTTTATATTTAGTTTTTGGCTAAATTACACGTTTGATCACACAAATTATATAAATGTTTCACGTTTGCCACTCAAATTACTTTTCTTTCTTATTCGCTATTAAACTTTATGAATCGTTTCCCCGTTAGTCATTAACCGTTACACTCCGTTAAATTTGTCCTACGTGGCAGTCAACTTTAAAGTTTGACCGTTAACTAGATGACATGTAAATTTAAAAAATAAAAAAATTTAATTTTCCACTTCATTATCCCACTTAATTTGTCTATATAATTTATCATATTAATCATTTAATAAAATTTAGTTAAATTACAAAAATTAATTAACAGCGGCCGGGAACGATTTAATAGCTGAAACAGTGGGCTAGCTTTTTCCGGCGAAGAAGAAAAATCACTGTGCGACACCAGCGACGGGCTGATTGTGGGCGGTTACTCTCGCTGCTCCGTCGAATTGGGAATGAATGAGCGCGATTCCTCTCGCTGCTCCGATGACGATCTTCATTCTTGGTTCCCACACTAGCGGCCTTCTCATCCCTTCTCCATTAACGTTCTAGAATATGTTGACAAACCCTAATTCCATTCGGTTGAGGCTAAAGCAAATACCCAATGTTATCAATTGAAAGTAAGATCTGAGTGATCTTATATCTACTTACATTGTAAGAGGGAGGAGAAGCTACCGACGGGGAAGTAATTGTAAACCAAGAGCTTCTCATCTTTGGAATAACAGTAAGCTTTCAGAGGAACCTCATTCGGACGGGAGCCTTCTCAAGCGCTTCACCAATCACCACCACGCAGCTTCCGTCCTCCAGCGCCGCCTTGTTCGTCGTCCCGAAGGTCCCTTTCCCCAGAACTTCCGCTAATGCCCTCAGCATATATATTCCAAATCAAAACTGTACCCACTCCCACTCCCACCCCCTTCGAACAAGAAGAGCTTGTTCTTCTACGTACCTTGCACTCTGCTCCCAAACGACTTCGTTTTGGCGTTGTTGTTTCCTCCTTCGCCTTTCCGTTTCCCAATTTTCCTCCGACGCCACCGCTAACAGAACCGCCATCAAAAGAATCGTCGCCCCATCAATTGATACTGTGATGATGAAATTCCTGCTCAGCTTCCTCTTCCTAGTGGAATTGGAGGATGAGAGCTGATACGAAGGGGGAGGTGGAAGAGGCGGTGCGGAATCCGCCGTCGAGTAGCGCTTGAGCAGCTGGCCGCAGAGCAAGGCGTTGCCGCAGTAGGAATGGAGCGGGAATCGCTGGAACGAGGGAGGGATCTCGTCATTGAAGTAGTTGAAGCTGAGGTTCAAGAGCTTTAGATTCTCTAGGGGTTCAAAATTCTGCAAGGTTTCGGAGAATGAACACATAGTTTTTGTAGTTTAATTAACTTTTATTAAATAATTAATATAGATAAAGTAAGTGGGATGATGATGTGGAAAATTATTTTTTTTTTATATTTTCCATGTCATCTGGTTAACGGTCAAATTTTATTGTTGACTGCCACGTAGGACAAATCTGACGGAGTGTAACGGCATGTGACTAACGGTGAAACGATTCGTAAAGTTAGTGACAAATAAGAAAGAAAAGTAATTCGAGTGGCAAACGTGAAACATTTATGTAATTTGAGTGACCAAAAGTGTAATTTAGCCTTTAGTTCTTTTATTATATGAAGAAAAATTTTGTTGAATCAATGAATGTAATTAGGGATGGCAATGGGGCGGGTTTGCCTAAATCATCCCCATCCCCGCTTTCAAATATCCAAACCCATACCCGCCCCATACCCATGCGGGGGAAGATTTTGCAAACCCATCCCCATACTCATGGGTTTTGGGTACCCATGGGTAATACCCGTCTCGTACATCCAACATTATAATACCTAAAATTTTATATGTAAATTTTCAATTATAACATTAAATGCACATACTATATCATGAAGTCGACAAAGTGACAATGATTCTTAATATGGTTCAAAGCATCTTATCCTAAAACATCCCTTAATCAATAAAATAGAGTACAATGTAATCTAAATCATTATTCTCTAACTCTAATTCAAATACTAAGCAATAATTAACTAATATAATCTTGCTAACACGAGGAAAAAGTGAAAGAATGAAGGGAGAGTTGATGAAAAAGAATTAGGTTTTGATTTGGGAGGCCACTCGATTGCATTTCTACTAATTATTTTGTTGAGTTACCCTCACTATCATTGATAGATTACTATTTGATCCATGTATTTTTTATATGTGAACAAATATTCTTGGTGGGGCGGGTATGGGTATGGGTATGGGGCGGGGGAGGCTAAAATCATACCCGCCCCATACCCATCAAACATTTTGCGGGTTTTACCCATACCAGCCCCATACCCGGTCAAAGCGGGAATTCCCCGCGTTAACTGGGTCGGGGCGGTCGGATACCCGTAGGGATGGGTTTGATTGCCATCCCTAAATGTAATAGAATAACTGAGAATGCGTTTCCTAATTAGGAAGGAAAAAAAAGGAACAAATTAAGGAAAACGTCATATATAGATGCAATTGTTTAACTGGTATTCAGTCTTGATTAAGCCCAGGTGTTGTAGTTATTAGGGAGATTATTCCCATATCCTTATTTGTTTGATTCTTCTTCCTCTTTCTCATTGTATTATTAGGTGTTGTTGATATTAATCAATCCAGTATATATAAGTAATGGGAGGAGGGTTAGGAAAGTCACCACGAAATTCCTAACCGATCGACGATGTCATTTGCACCATCAGTCCTTAGGAGCATGGTCAACTTGTGGGAGCAGCTCAAGGAGCTTTCCGCCTCTTCAACTTCCCTGATCACCTCCATCATCTTCCTAACCCTCCTCCTCCTCCTAACAACTACTTTGATTGTCACATCATCTATCCCTAAAGGCGGCGGCGCAATATCGCCGCCGGGGCCATGGAGGCTTCCGGTCATCGGTAACCTACACCAACTCTTCAACAACTCGAGCCTCCCTCACAGGCACCTTGGCGACCTGGCCCGCAAACACGGGCCGGACGTGATGCGGCTCCAGCTGGGGGAGGTCCCACACATAGTCGTGTCCTCCAGCGAGGCCGCTCGAGAGGTGATGAAGACCCACGACGTCGTTTTCGCGTCGAGGCCATTCCTCCTCGCCGCAGACATGATGGCGTACGCAGGGAGTGACCTGGTGTTCACTCCCTACGGCGAAGCCTACAAGCACCTCCGTAAGATCTGCGTGGCGGAGGTGCTTGGCGCAGCCCGGGTCCGCTACTTCCGCCCGATCCGGGAAGACGCGGTGGCTGATCTCATCCGGAGGATGGCGGCTCACGGCGAGGCTACCGTTGACCTCAGCAAGGAGCTGTTCCGGCTGACGTGCCGGGTGGCGTGCGGGACAGTGTTGGGGAAGGCTGAGGAGATGGACAACGGGTTCATCATGAAAATGGTGGGGACTACCGTCGATGTTTTGGCAGGATTCAGGTTGTCGGATCTTTTCCCTTCCCTCAAGTTCCTGCCGGTGGTTAGTGGGTATAAGGCCAAACTGAGGAAGTTGCATGTGGAGATGGAGGCCATGCTCGATGGGATAATTGACGACCATAAGCAGAAGAGAGCGACAAGGGCGGCGGCGGCCGGCGGTGGTGAGTATAGGGAGGATCTTGTTGATGTTCTACTCAATCTTCAGGAGAGTGGGGACCCGCACTTCAAATTGACCATGGACAACATCAAAGGTGTCACTTTGGTAAGTACGTGTTTTACCTGCCCAATAATAGCTAATTGATACACGACTGGACTGGTCCCTTAATTATCTTATCCATCAACTTTACAGCTTGATGCATGCATGCATGTCTTGAAATAACTAATAAATTAGGATTCCAACCATCTCTCGATCTGAATATATATGTGCATTTCACTTGCTCTATATATGCATATAGGAAGTGTTTCTTGCTGGAGTCGAAACCTCAGCAACGACAATGGACTGGACCATGGCTGAAATGATCAAAGATGGGAGAGTACTTCGCAAAGCACAAGAGGAAGTGCGACAAGTGTATCGTGGGAACCAGAACGTTGATGAATCAAACCTTCATGAACTCAAATACTTGGACTTAGTCATCAAAGAAAGTCTAAGGTTACACCCTGCGCTCCCTTTGCTTTTCCCAAGAGAGAGTAGAGAGAAAGTAGAAATTTGTGGGTATGAGATTCCGGCCAAAACCAAAGTTATAGTCAATGCTTGGGCGATCGGGAGAGATCCTCGTTATTGGGCAGAATCCGAGAGGTTTCTCGACTGCTCGATCAACTATAGGGGAAGTGATTTCGAGTTCATTCCATTTGGTGCGGGAAGGAAAATGTGTCCAAGACTGCTTTACGCGACAGCTATTGTTAAACTTACACTGGCGAATTTGTTGTATCATTTTGATTGGAAGGTTCCTGATGGAATAAAGCCCGAAAATCTGGACATGACAGAAGTTTTTACGCTTGTGGTTGGAAGGAAATCCAGCCTGTGTTTGATCCCTGTTGCATACGATACCGTGATCAGTTGATGATGAATCCCAATATGTCATGGCGAGAGTTTTTAAAGGTAGTGTTTGTCACATTTACTACCGTGTTATCTAATAAGTTGAATATGCCGAGTCTGGTATTGTATCATGGAATGGTATCTTTGTTAATTGTTATACAGGGAACGGTTTGTAGTATTTTTTTTTTGTTTTTCAAATAATCACCATAAGTGGTCTTGGCATAATTGGTTCGAAACACCATCATCCCATATTAAATAATTTTATTTAGTAGAGATTAAAAAAGCAACATGTTGTGAGGGTGGTGGTTTGAACCTGATAATATAAATAGTTAACTAAATAGAGAAAGGCATTAGGGCAAGTCTTTATATTCTCATATAAATAGGCCTAGTAGCATGTAGCTGGCCAAATTCTCTGTAACAAAATCATTAATAAAAAAACAACGATAATAGTCTCAGTCGTGAGCTTCTTGAGAGCTCACCATGGATTAGTCTCGTCTACGTCAAAGAACGAGGATATCACGTAAACTTGTTTATCTCGTTTCCTTTCGTACTTCCACGGTTTAGTTTTTATTAGACTCGGATTTGGAGTCGATAGAGAACACATCTCCCTCTAAAATCCCTCTCTCCCTTTTCCTAGTCCGAATCTCGATTCTAGATTTCGCCCTCCAATCGTGTTCCTGTCGTCGCCACAGTCTCCTCGTCTTCTTCCAGTCGTCACCCTCCCCTCGTCCTCCATCCATCGCCGTTGCCATCTCCTCATCCTCTTCCTAATATATATAATATGGGATGATGGTGTTTCGAACCAATTATGCCAAGACCACTTATGGTGATTATTTGAAAAACAAAAAAAAATTACTACAAACCGCCCCCTGGGAGTGCGATTTGCACGCAAACCGCTCGGCCCCATACGGTCAGCAAAACCACCCAATAACCGTGCGATTTTCGAAAAAGGATGCTATTTTTGGAATTTTTCGGGACTAGATGCTATTTTTGAAAGAAGAAAAAAGTGCTATTTATGGAAAAAGTCCTTTCCATACCATAACTAGACTTCAAGAATCTAGTCAAACGGACATCAATCAAGCGTGTCTAGTGTAAGGAGTAATCACGGTGGTGAGTTTATCTCTAATTAGTTCTAAGGTTCTGTGAATTTAATGATATTTCATATAATTTCTCAGCACCCACTACAAGAAACTGCTCCTTTTGCGACGGATTCTATTGCGACGACGCAAAAATCATCGCAGAAAGTGAACATTTTGCAACGAATTTTGTATTTTCGTCGCAGATTGTGTTAATATTCTGTGGTAGGTGGGGTATAGGATTTTGCGACGGTCGATTATTTTTCACGACGACTAGTATCGTCGCAAAAAGTTTTGGGGACTTTGTGCGACGATTGGACGCCGTCGCAGAATATTCATATATTTTCTGCGACGCTCATCTTCGTCGCAGAATGTTTGAGACTTTTTGCGACAAATATCTGGCGTCGCAGAATATGTGAAAACTTCTGCGACGAAATTCTTTTCGTCGCAGAATATTTTGAGCTTTTCTGCGACGCTTATCTTCGTCACATAATGTTCGAGACCTTTTGCGACGATTGTTTTACGTCGCAAAATGTTCGATTCTTTTTGCGACGATTGTCTTCTGTCGCAGAATGTTCAAGCCATTTTGCGAATTAAGAATATTTAGGTATGACTTATGAGTACCTATGCACATAACTAAGTTAAAAAAAAAACTTATCGCATTCAATTGATTTGTAATTTTCATATTTAGAAAGTTTATTTTATAAAAGGCAACGAAAATATATAATTATTTTATGGATTGATAAATCTTGACATTTTTTTTAAACTCTACACGATTAGTTTGTAAATTAGTTGAAGATAACCTTTGAGCTCCGGTCCCATAAACTCTAGATGATTAAGTATTTAAGAGATTTAGACGTACATGGTGGTTTTTGAAATCTTAAGCTTGATTAAATGGGCAAAACCGAAAGAAAAGTAAATTCCACATCTGTTTTGTAGTAGCCTAAGTCGTTAAAACATTTGTCTTCACATAGACCTGGGCTGAAGGTCAGCTGTTCGACTCTCCATGGAGATTTTTTGGTGCGGGTTATTTGTAGGCATCGGAAGGGCATTTTGGTCAATTGAGTGGGTTGTCAGTATATAAAGGAAGAGAGGGTTAGTAAACCCTAGCCGCCCAACTCATCTTCCTCCTCTCTTCCAATCTTTAATTTTTCCCCTTCTTCCTCTCTCGTCTTCTCTCCCCATGTAGACAACAAAAATCTTGAAACAGTCAGTGGGAAATCTCCTCCTCTCGATTAGAAAAGCAAACTGGAAGAAAAGGGTATCGCCGGTAGCCTTGGGGTTCGTCTATGCTGAAGGAAGATTGACAGGGTGCCTGGGGTTTGGCCCTTGGCTGCGACAAATCGGCTCCCTCTTGATTATAAAAGCGAAGATCTGGGTAAGATTCGGCCTGCATGTGTGTTTTTCTTTTCATTTTCTGGTTCAAGAGAACGGGCAATGACATATTTCCTTCTGGGTTTTGGTTTAGAACGAGGGGAGAAGAAAAGGGGCTCTCTGGTGGCTTCCGGTGTCGACGGCGGTGAAAAGAGATTGACAGTTGGCCTGGATTTTGGTCTCTGGGCGCGGCGAATCGGGTCCAGCCGAGCAAGGACGACCAGATCTGCTCTTCCGAACGGGATATGCTCTGTTTTTAAAAAAATTGTTCAAGAGATCTGACTTAGCAAATCTGGATTTTGAATGAGGAATTGATAGTGTACTTAATTTGGGCAAATCTGCATTTTTAGGTTTGATGAGGTGCTTATTTGAGTTTTGACAAAAGAAGGAATCAGAAAACGAATACAAGCGAAAAAATTGTGACCTATACTGAAATAGCCCGAAATGAAATTGTGACCTATATTGAAATTAACCAGAAAATAAATTTGAATTAATTCGAAAATGGGTTTTCTTCGCCAAATCATTTAACTTTCTGCGACGAAATAATCCGTTGCCAAATAACCTTTCTTTCTGCAACGGAGCTATTTTCGTCGCAGAATCACCATTCTGCGACGGCATGATCGTCGCTAAATCATCAAACTTCTGCGACGAATTTGATTTTTCTGCGACGAACCAATTTTTTTTCGTCGCAGAACTTTCTGCGACGCTGTATAGGCGACGAAAGCTTTTTATTTTCTGCGACGGTTTAATCCGTCGCAAAATGATTTTGCGACGGATTTTAGGCTTTCTGCGACGATTTATTTCCGTCGCAGAAAGTGAATTTTCTTGTAGTGACCTAAGACAGACACCGCAATAAAATGAGATAGTCGAAAGAAAAAGTACCAAAATTCGTGGCCTCCAACTGTTTACATAATTTCGTACCTATATTGGTGCTCCTATAAGGCCAGCAAACAAATACCAATGGCCGGCACAGCATATATATTGAAGTAAGTAAAACTATTCTCTTGAGGATGAAGACGAAAGAACACGGCCACTTGACATGATCTTAATGAACACGGCCACTTGTCAAGTTTATCATAATTGTTGGCCGGTACAAGGATCCAAATTCTGGTTCATGAAGTGGTTGTGAAATGTCCATGGAATATACAACAAAAGAAAGGAACAAATTGCAGAAAAAAAGAAAGAGACAAACTAATTAGGAAAACCACAATTTCCTGCCACTACATAATTAGTACACAGCTACCCCTAGCTAACCGGGACGAGATTGCATTTCTACCCCTAAAAGGTTGGAAAAATGATATTCCTATTAATTATAGGTTTTTAACGTAATTAATTTGTGTTGCATTTAATAATCTGTACGAATTAAAAACACATATTAATTACTTTCCTTTTGTACGACTCGCCTCTTTTGGGTTGGGTTTGAATTTTGGATTACACAACCCGTAGAACCTGACCCAACCCGTGTTCCAATTATTGGTATGAGTTCGTATCTAAAAAAATATTTACATCGTATATAGTCATACTTATGAGAAATTTAAGATATTTCGCCATGTTTTTCTCTTATGGTCTCCCTAATCTAATGCATTCTTCGGGTTAAAGTTTTTTGGTTGTGCATTATATCGATGTACGCAACAGTATACTAATGTCGGTAGAGTGACATATATACCACACTTTATAAACCAAAAAATATATGATTAAAGATTACTATGTAAATTTATGCTCATTTTTACTAAAACTTAATAATAATTTACATTTTAATGAATAATTTAAACAAACACACAAAAATAATAATATTTTGTCGATAATGTCTGAAAGAAACTTGACAAAGAAATAATAGTTATTTATTAAAAAAAGCTTTTTATTCATTATGATCAAGTGAAAACATATGAATCGCATGTGCAGTATTTATAATGCATCCTAAGTTCACATTACTAATATTTTCTCTAGGTCATGTTGATTGAGCAAGTTCTATTGAGGTCTTACATCATATGCTAAAAAATTTTCTTTTCAGACTTGGAGTTATTTATTGATAAATATTATATATTGAAGTTTCCAAAATGACTTGAGTATAATAGTTGATGAATTTTGACTGAGACACGAGATCACTTGAAAAATGAAATGTGTGAAATTTAGAGAAATCTTTGTAAAGGATGTACGTTAAACATCACATTTCATGCTAAGAAAAATCTAAATTCGAAGATTGAGGTAATAAATAAACATTAATGTTTTAATTCACATATATAACAAAAAATGTTTTATAGTTACAATAGTGTAAACCGAGCTATTGGGTCAAAAGAAAAATATTTAATAAATATGAGTTTAGTAAGAAAATTGTAACAAGTCTATATAGTTGTGAGTTTGCGATTTCATACCAAATTTTGGCAATAACAAAAAAAATTAATATCATATTCCACGCAAGGAGCTGTTCAAAGGTATTAATTAGTGTTGAAAGTAAAATAAACTCTCTATGTGTGTGTATATATATATATATATATGTTTAGATATTAACAATAGATGTGTCTATAATACATCCAACAATTTAAATACATGTGAAAAGTCACAATGTTTGTATGAATTTTGAAATTTTGCTACAAAATATTTTGTTAAAAAATTTTAAGTTAATTATTCAAGGAATACATAATTTTGAATGCACCTGAAATATTTGTCTGTTGTATACACACTTTACCAATTATTAATATAAGCAATGAAATTTTTGTTCTAGAACAAACACTAAATATAAAGAAATTTTAGTGAATGGACATTCAAATAGTTGAAATATACATTTAAGGAACATGTTAAGATGAGAACCTTCGATAGTGTATATAAATCCTTGGATTCAGATTCTAAACGAACATCTAGACAAAAGGCATGGGTTGAGGAGAAATTTTACAATGCTATATAGTATTGGTGCTATAGGTTTTTGCCTTTATGGTACAACTTGAAATTGTACCTTTAACGTTATGGTACAACTTTAGATTATACCTATACTGTTTGTACACATTCTTTTATGGTATAACTTGAACATGTACATTTATGTGATGGTACAACTTCAAGTTGTAAAGTTGTGTCATAACATAATGGTACAAATTCTTTTATGGTACAATCTAAACTTATACATTTCATATTATGGTACAACTTTAAGTTGTACATTAAAGCACCAATACTATTTAGTATAGTAGAAATGCTCATGGGTTGAGGGTTAGTACAAACTTAAAATATTAGCAATTGTAATAAGTTGCTATACAAAGACTTCATGAACATCAACAGTAAAAATGAGTGAGGTTTAGAGAATTTAATCATTATAAGGGATACGATGTGTGTCAAATTTCAATTGGGATAAACATAATTTATCCAGTAATCAAGTATCTTTTTCCAATAATTTGAACTCTGATTAATTGGCTGAGAGTTCGTACAAACTCGAGAATTATGAATTGATATATGTTGTATAAGATAATAAATTTGAGCGTCTTGGTGAAAAAAAAAATTATATATGATTCTAAATGGGTCGTGATAAACCTTTACGTTCACTTGGCTTGAACGTAATTAGCGTATTTTCAATGGTAGTTGTGCCTTGGCTATTGTGGTTACCCGCAAGATTGTCAGAGCTGTTGTAGAATGGATCTGCGCTCATGGGAAGGTTGATAGGAGACTCGGTATTCAATGGCTGAACGAGAATCTCAGAAAGCTTTGACCCTGCTGCTCATGTTGCTGCTATCCTTTTCTGGGTTTCGAGGGCTCTAGCGTGCATTTCGGACACAGGTGTTTGTGTTCGGTTGGTGGTGTTTGGTCTTAGTTCCATTTTCTCTTTTGTTCAGCAGTATTCGGGTTGATTTGTCTCTGGCTGGTCCTGTTTTGTTGCTGCCTTTTAGTTCTAGGGTTGCAGGCGCCTCTTGTTTGGCGTTTTGCTTTGATCTGGTTCTTTTGATTTTTCCTTTTGCCTTTGGTCCCTCGCACCTCTCGTGCAGCTGTTTGTTACTCTTCTATTTCTCTTTAATATTATCATTTTCACCATTATAAAAAAAAAGATAAACCTTTACGACATGATTTATGATCAGAGGATAAAAACATCACAAGCGAGTGTGCTAACTATTAAAAATAATCTTCGATATAGGCATACCACATATTCACTTATAAAGCGAGAGCAAAAAATGTATACAAGATCAAAAAGTTCAAATATATAGATAAGTTAACTAATATAAATAATAAAATGAAATTCTCCGGCCAACTAACCGGTAAAAAACTAGTAGTACTAAGGCTTGTAGCAATTCTACTAATAATGGCAACCCACGGAATCAATATCTGGATATCAAGTCCAAATAATTTCATCAATGTCGCTTCCTTTGTTTCCTTTCGGAGTAAGTAAAATTTATTGAAACTATGTGTCGGCCAACCACACCATGGGCAGTGGAAACGGGAAATTGTATATTTAGTTATTTACAATGCTGGTGAGCATATGTATTTCTGGGCAGAATAGAAGTTGAATTTATATAATAATTTTGAAGATACAATTTCAATTTGTACTATAAAAAGATTAGTATCAAGAAATTGTTCCACATGCTAAAGAAATAAATTCAGTTTGTATCATAAAATAGAATCTAACCAAAACATGCTAAAAATCTTTTGAAAGATGGTAGATTTTATACAGGTTCATGTAAAAAAAAAAAAAAATCTAACCAAAACATTGTAACCTTCACGTTACTTACCACCATTTTGATTTTAAATCAAAATTAGTCAGCCGGCCCGATCTCACTAATTAATTAATTAATTCCACACCCTCTTAGATGCCCAAAGCCAGAAAGCGCCCATGACATCTCCTAAACTCAGGCCTATATATCTAGTAGTCATTTTGGGGTCATTCAATTGGTAATCATTTCCTTACTACGTTACTAATTACTTACCACCATCCACCATGTTTCCATTGATGTTTCGGGTAAGCTCCACAGAAACCATCAAACCGTCTTCCCCAACTCCTGCCCAACTTGCCACATTCAAGCTCTCCCTCATGGACAACCTAGTCCCACCACTTTATGTACCTTTCATCTTCTTCTTTTATCCTGCTCCCGCCTCCACGGGATCAAAACCAGGGGAGAGAGAGACAATATTCGACACCCTCAGGTCTTCACTCGCCCAGACCCTCACGCGCTTCTACCCACTCGCCGGCAGGTACGTCAATGAAGCCGGTTCGGTTCCCGCCGTCCATTGCAACGACGAGGGCGTGCCGTTTACTTCCGCCACGGTCGATGGCGACATTAACGGTTCGTCCCTGGCTGAGTTTCTCAGGAGACGAGTCGAAATCGACTCGCTCACGCAATTCCTCCCTTTCCCTGCCGATTTCGTCTCGGACCTCGAATCGGCGCCGCAGATCGGCTTCAGGGCTACCGCTTTCCCCTGTGGCGGGCTCGCCATCGGGGTTTGCTTTTTGCACAAGATCATCGACGCCGCCACTCTGGCCGATTTTATGAAACTCTGGTCCGCCGTCGCCAGGAGCGAGGAGAAAACGGCGTCAGCAGCAGTAGGCGGCGGCGCGTACGCTCACAATCTCGCCGGCACGTCGCTCCTTCCGCTCCGACACGACGATGTCCCCGCAGCGGCAGAGGATTTTGCGGGCAAAAAAGGGAAGATGCTGACGAGGAGACTCGCGTTCAACGAAGAAGCGATTCATGCGCTGAAAGCCAAAGCGAAGAGCGATCGGATACCCAACCCGAGCCGGACCGAGGCGGTTGGTGGATTTTTGTGGAAGCACGTGATGAGTGCAGCCGCCAGATCAGCAGCATCACCCGACGCCAGATCCGTTGTCTCAATTGCAGGTAATGCCAACATCTAATGCACAAAGTTAAAATGCAAATGAGTTTTAACTCCAGCTATTGTAGCTACTTGGTTAACTTTTATTTTATGCATGTTTGTCATAGCGATGGTGGTTAACCTTCGATCTCGAATGAATGAACCATGGCCAAATTACTCCATCGGCAACATATTTTGCGTAGCTACGTCATTATGCCGCCACAATCAACAACAAGATTCTTTGGAAAATGGAACAAAGACAATGCAAGAGCTAGTCCATAAATTGAGGGGGTCGGTTGTGGAACTTGATAAAGAGTTTATAGGAAAGTTACAAGGCAAAGATGGGAGACAAGAATATATGAGGAATCTAGAAGGATTATGGAAGCCGGAGATCACGATAGGTGCTGTTAAAAATGAGTGTATAATAGTGCCACTTACGATATCTTCCACGATCGGAATGAGATTGTACGATGTTGATTTTGGATGGGGAAAGCCTGCTTGGGTCACCATGGCTCGGTTCCGTGATCCAATCTCAAATGCGGCCATGTTGCTACAATCCCCAGTTGGATATGGTGTTGAAGTTTGGCTCACCTTGCCTGAAAAAGAAATGGACATACTGGAACAAGAAGCTGAGTTCCTTACTTATGCTAAGAATAATATCTCCGTACTTTGAGCCTTGTTTGCCTCTAACTACCTATTAAGTTTCCTTGTCTTGAAAAATATTCCAACGTTATAACTTCATCAAATAAGTTGTGATTGTTTCTGTTTGTTAGATTCTACCCGATGAATATGATGTTGTGGGTTTTCTTCTACTTCTCCGTAGCTACATGTGTTCGTTGTAGGATTGACTAGTTCTACCCGTAATGGTCTCTGTTATGGGACAATCCAAGTATCACATCGGTAATACAAAGGAAGGAACTCTTGTATATTAGAGTCCACCTAGTCCAATTAGTACGAGGCCTTTTGGGGAGGATACCCTAGAGTAAAACCGTGCGGGCTTGGCCCAAAGCATACAATATTGTACTAATTGAGCTCCCCGGTTATGACAAGTGGTAAAACCGTGCGGGCTTGGCCCAAAGCGGACAATATCGTACTAATTGAGCTCCCCGGTTATGACAAGTGGTATCAGAGCCTGCTTTGGATCCGGGGAGGTGGACCCTCATTCGGTGACCTCGGGATTTGAGAAAAATCCTTGTTGTGGGACAATCCAAGTACCACATCGGTAATACAAGAGAAGGAACCCTTGTATATTAGAGTCCATCTAACCCAATTAGTACGAGGGCTTTCGGGGAGGACACCCAAAAGTAAAACCGAGCGGGCTTGGCACAAAGCGCACAATATCGTACTAATTGAACTCCCCGATTATGACAGTCTCATTGTAAAAGCTGAGACATGACTGATGGATGTTATTTCCTTTTCATAACTGGCATTTGGAGACATTTGGAGATATATGTTTGAGACCCTATTGCCTTTATTTTGTTCTTAAAAAAAGGTAGAGTTAATAATATCATAAATCTTCAATTTTAGATGTCTTGACAGCAAGTTCCAGGATCAACCTCTCATCGAGCGTTCAAAGATGTCCGCTCTAGTTGGTATTATGTCACTACCACAATACTTGAAGACTAGCTTATAACCCGGCCCATTGGTCGGAATGTTCATATTTGATTATTTATATTTTTATGTTACGTTTAAGCCAATCAACTGGTTTAATTTTATTGACAATCCTTCAATCGAGATGATACATAAAGAAAGAATATATAGGTCGAACATTCGGAGAAATACCATCATCATTTAATAATATAAAATGTATCATTAGTTCCATTTTCATAATGATAATTAAGCCCTCGTTAAAATGCTATTGGTTAGTTGGTTTTCAAGAAAGATGGTATAAAAGCTTAGTAAACAATACCCATAGATAGTTTGAAACTAAATCTTAAACCTCACAATCCTACACAAGGGTTTAATGCGCTCCTTTTATGAACAATATGTCACTAATCAAAAAGAAATGGAGAGTTGTTGATTCAAGTCAACTATATACTAACAACTCAGCCAAGAGTGGACCATCAAAACTTAAGAGCAAATGACAAAATTAGGGTTATCTCCAACATACTAATAGACTCAATCAAAGTAATAAGGCACAAAATTAGACACTCCTTGTCTATCAGTTTCAATAGGTTGAATAATAATCGACCTACTTTAATAAATCAATCAACGATTCCTCGTTTTAAGATAGAAATAGGTTGTGATAGATATAAAAACCATAAACATAAAGATCCAATAGCCACCACTCTTCGTTGTACAACCATATTTTTTTTTATCTCAAGAGACATTTTTCAAACAAAAATTCAATTTCTAATCCTCCTTCTGCAACTCCATTATTTATTAAACTCTTTTACTTGCCCAACATAAATCCCCAACAATAAAAGCGACGTGCCTAGAGATATCGAATGATTGATTTCAAAGGCGGGCGTCTACTGGGAAATGAAAGGGGCACAAACTATTGTACGGTGGAGGAAATTAACGAGGAAGTTAGAAAGAGACCGGAACAAAGATAAAAACCACAAATTGAAAATTGAAAATGCAAGGACACAACACGTAGTGACCAAATGAGTTTTTTCCATGTTAGCCAATTACCAATTTACCTTTAGCAAAAAGGAGAGAGAGAATTTTAAAATTGAGAAAATTACATGAAACTCTACTATGAAAATTGAAGTATCGAGCACCATAAAAATACATATGGTATACTTAGTGGGCTTGCTAATCATGATGGAAAGTCCTGTGATTTTCAGAGATTTGAACTTCGTGTATATTTTGTATTAAAAAAGACACAACAAATTTGTTTAGTGTAAATAGTTGTAATTGTTGTCTTTATTTGAAGAAACCTGAGTTCAAATCCTAATGTTGATATTTTTTAGGTGAGATAAATAATTAATCGTAAAGACGAAAATTTCCTTTCTACTTTTAATCTCGCTACATGGGTCTTCATCAAATCTCGCTTTCCACCGTCCCTGAGGAACATATTCTCGTTATGATTGATTGTTATATGGACAAATTTTCTATTATATTAGGCCCTGATTTTGATTGATAGTTGCGGATTTGTTGTACCTTGTTCTCTTTGTCTGTTTCTTCTTATTTTCTTCCTATTTCATTTAATCATTTGTTGATAACACCAACTTGTGTAATCAGCATCCTACTCATTCATAAAAAATAAAAAAAATAAAAAAAACTCTCACCGAGCAGAACACCGCATTAGGCCCAAGAAGCTTGGGAGTAGGGGTGGGCATTGGGTGGGTCGGGTGGATTTTGACCATAAAATGCACCCACCCGCGCTTAAACGGATTGATAATTTTTAACCCACCACCCACCCACATTTAGTCTCGGGTTGGGTCGGGCGGATGGTGGATGATGCGGGTGGGTTTATGGGTTCACCCACATCACAATGTATATAATATAAAGGAGTCGACTTGACATGATAATAGGTGAAGAGAATCATCGAGGGAAACAAGAAGTTGAAATAGGGCGAAAAATATCGAATTAGTTCTTAAATTGGATAGAAATTCTATTATAAAAGAGTTTTCTACAGATTGAGACGATTATTAGGTGCAAGGAATTAAGGAAAATAATTCCACAAAGGAAAGAGCGGTGATCTAGGCACAAGAATTAGAGGAAAAAGTAAAGAAGGGATCTCTATTTGGAAGGTTTGCTTTGAGGTTCAAACTCCAAGAGCAGTCCGAGTTTATATCTAACGTCTCCACTCTCCTCTCTCTAGCGCCAACAACTTTGATTTTTTTGCTGTTGGGTTGAGCGGGTCACCCGCACACTCACCCACAACCCACCCACCATCCGGCGGATGGCTCCCAGCGCAACCCGTCACCCACCCACAGACCCACCCACTTAACGAAATTCGGGTCAAATGCGGGTGGATCGGCCCAAACCCGCGGATGATCCGCCCGCATACCCAGCCCTACTTGGGAGGATAAGAGAGCAAGAGGATTACCAAACACACAAAAATGCATTCCAAAGAAACTATATGTACAAACAGTCACAGATGAGGAAAAAATAGAGGTGGCAAATGGATAGGTGGATTGGATTAGTGTATTCGTTGATCAAGTGGATTGAATCAAATGAATTAGTGGATTGATCTATGAATTCAAATGACATCCAAAACCTTGGATCAATATGTAAATTTTGAAAAGTTTAGCTACAAAATGTCATAATAAAATATTTTAGGTACCAAAAGGTAATTTTCAATGAAACTTTTCGTATAAAAATAAATTTGAGGTACCAAAATGTAAAATATAAAACATATAGATACTAAATCATAATTTGTCATCTGGATCCATTGATCAATTCATGAATCTACCAATCCAATTGGATTTGGATTAAATGGATTGGATTAAATGGATTGGATTAGTTTAATATTTAAGTGAATGGATTGTATTAAATTGATGGATTGGATCGCAAATTGCCACCTCTAAGAAAAATCCACCAAAAATCAGTTTTAGATTGGCTACATGCTATGCAAGAACCTCATTATTTACATCACTAGAGTATTCAAAATGGTAACATATCTGGTTTCCTTTTCTTGTGCTTATTGACATTTTATCTTCTGAACATTTGTATGGAATAATAGTTAAACTGAAAATATTATAGAGTATTCAAAATGGTAACAGATATGGTTTCCTTTTCTTGTGCTTATTGACATTTTATCATCTGAAAAATGGTAACAGATTCGGGAGCTGACGCGGGAACTTCGCCCAAACGACACTGAGCCAAAATTCATAATTTTCCACCACCGTTCGATCCTCCAAACAACCCTGTCCACATAATAAACAAACGACATCGAAACACACGCCTTCGCCGAACTCTCGCCACGTTCTTTTAAGCTAAACAACGTCGCTTCCTATCCTCGCGGTTTCGTTGGATCTTTGCGACACCGTTGGGCTTATCTCACAACGTTGTACTCCACAAAACAATGTTGTTTCCTACACAGCGACATCGTTTTAAACTTGGACTTGGCCGGCCGCCCCTGCCAAAATATTGCTTTTAATTAAAAGGTGCCACTTAGCAATACCGCGGCGTTGTGGACACCTCTTGCGGTATCGTGCTCAACTAAACGACACTGTCCAAGATAATCACAAAAATATTAATTATTTAAACCGGTGAGATTTCGCGTTGGGCTTGGCGGCCTTTGGACCAAGCAGATGTGGTTTTTAACTAAACGACATCGCTTACCAAGGCTTTTCGCGGTATCTTTTCTTAGCTTCGCCGGCATTGTTGAACGCCGCTGGATACGCGACCGCGACATCGCTCTCCATCACAATGTTGTTTAGCTCGCGGCGTTGCTCACCATCGCGGTGTCGTTTTCTTCCCCAAATAGCTTCGTTTACTTTTCCTCCGCGACATTGTTTTATATTAAACACTGTCGTTTTTCCAAGTACAGTGGTACCGTTGAGCTTCCTTACAGTGTCGTTTTTTAACTAAGCGACACCGTTCAAATTAATTATTGAAAATATTTATTAATTAAATTGGTCATTCTAAAAACTTGGGCATGGCAATGTTGTTAAACATCCGCCGCGATTCTCACCCCGCGGTGCCGTTCTTAGCTAAACAACATCGTGTCCTAGTCCCGCGATGCTGTTGAGCTTCGCGACACCGTTGAAACTCTCCGCGGCGTCGCTTGACTCCAAACGGTGTCATTTCTCTCCTCCTCCGACAAGGAATAAAGGAAAAACACCCCTTTTCCAACAGCAACACCACTCCTGCGGCACTCCCACATTGTTTTCTAGTAAACAATGTCGTTTCAAGTACCACGGTGCCGTTGAACTTCCTTACGGTGTCGTTTAAACCCTTGTCATGCCGCTCGATTGCAAACGACACCGTTTTTTGTCCTGCGGTATCGAATTAAATGCCGAGACGAATTAATGCGGCATTTTATTCGGGCCAAAATAATTTTAGGTGTCAACAAAGGGATTGTTGTTGGTGTGCTCTTAATGCTCTGTTTGTCTCCTTTTGATCTGTTGTGGTCTCCTCTGCGGGCGAGGGGCTTCCGATTTGCATGCCGGTGATCACAAGGCTGTGGAAGCCTCGATTGTTGTTGTTCTTATCCTAATCCAAAGAAGGTTGGAGGTAAATGTTGGGAATGAATAGCTTTGAAAGCTATATTGAATTAATTATCCTGTATTCTTTCTAGATACAAATATAAGATGGATAATTAATAAAGGAATATTCTTGAGATAATTAGGATTAATTATCTTAATATAATGTATTTTAATTATGGGAGTAATTATCTTCCTAATTAAAATGTGGCTTATTCACAAAGAAAGATCCACTCCAACAAATTCGGCCTATTATGACGAGACGATTTTGTCATATTAGATAACCATTTTTTCATATTAGGTGTAATATGACAAAAGGTGTTGTGACAAAGGTTTGTCATTTTATCGCCGACAGGATAGATCAAATGTGACAAAATTTTAAAACAAGGCTGTCACATTTACTTTCAGTATAAATGAGGTTCTAGGTAGTCTATTGTGACAAACATAGATGTTATGACGACATATATTGTCATTGCGGTTGTCATAATCCGGTGATTTTGGTAGAAATAGTTTTTGGAAAAACTGACACAAATTATAAATTAAAAAAAACTTCCAACGTACCCGGATCATGGCCTGGATCTTTGCCAAAGAATATATATTTCAAGTTTTGGATTCTGCTAAGTAGCACCACACTCATTCAATTAATTTCATTCAAGCAACAACCACTAAATAAAAAAACTCATATCTGCAAGGGGTACAAACGACAAAGAAGAGTACAAACGGCGAGAGCTCGATGCGATGACATTCAGATGCAGGATAATTGAAGAAAGTCCCAAAAAAACTCCAAAAAAACGCAGAACCCCAAAAGTATTCTCGATTTGCTCGCCATAGCAGAGAATGAAAGGAATTTCATGTGGTGCACAGAGTTTTGTTTTGATAATTTCTCAACCTAACCCTATTAGCCTACGTTCTAAAGGATTGTTTCTCTATTCTGTAAACCACCGTATGATGCATGTTGGAAGAAAAAAATAACCGGCAAATTCTCAGGCTGCTGAGATCAATAAAAGAAAGGGTAAATACAATTTAATATCCAAACTTTTTATTTTAAACTATTTAATACCCAAATCTTTTCGAAAACAGTCTAATATCCAAATCGTCAACTTTTTGTCTGTTTGACCGTTAGTTGACACTTCAAAAAAGTTTGAAGTACGACACTTCATCAATATCCATTGATATCTTCTCTGAAAAACCACCAACATATCGTAGTTCCAAACCCGAGATGTCCATGACTCCACCATGATGGTATAGAATATCTAAATATTCAGTCATCTGCAATGCTAAAACAAGAAACAAAGTTGTATTGTGACAATTTCCCCTAAACAAAGTTTTTTTTAAGTGTCAACTAACGGTCAAACGAACGGAAAGTTAACGATTTGGATATTAGATTGTTTTCGAAAAGGTTTGGCTATTATATTGTTTAAAATAAAAGATTTTAAATTGTATTTACCTTAAAAAAAATATTGAGAACTTTTCCTCTTTCGCGAAATAATCACAATATTTGGAATGTCATGTAAATCTGACCGTGTAACATTGTCTTAGTTCATGTGATTTTATTTTCTTCCGACTCTAAAGTACTATATATTACCAATCTATGTGCCTGCTGCACCTCAGCTTCTAAACTCTGTAATTAGCTGATTCATCAGGCGGCTTCATCTTCCTCCTTTTGGACCTACTTGTCCGTCGTTGGAAAGAAAGTCAACTGAGAATTAACTATATGCGCACAAAATTCAGCTATAAATTATTGAACAGATAAGAAAAAATTGTGACATATCAATTGTCACAATTAATAGACAGTTGGGCATTAATTATTATTGGTCAATCAATAAGAAAAAATCTTTCATCAGATACCGTATATATAATAGGTTAACAGTATAATTTGGCCTTTTAATATTGGTCTTTCTCAAATCATCAAATGTATCACTAATTCACTATGGCTTGGTCTTGGTACAAAATATTGGTATGCAAAATCTTTAATCATGTCAAACTCAGATCGTATTATCGTATCACAGTGATACGATAATACGATCGGAGTTTTGCATGTTTTTTCATACTGAAATTTTATACCTTATCCGCTAACTTATTATATTCTCATTTTTTCAAACGTTAAGTAATTAATTGCAGTCACTATCTATCTAGCCTCTACCTCTCACCTCAAGATAAAAGTATGGTTAATTGGATTTGGACTGCATTATTGCTTGTGTATATACATAATTAAAAGTATAGCATTTGTTATTATAGAAAAAAAGTATAGTATTTGACTGCAATATTGCTCACGTATATACATAAAAATTAATCAAGGAGAATTCAAAGTTCCTACCCACTTTCACTGTAATGATAGTGACTTAGGTTTTTTGACATTTTCTAGTAGGTCTTATAGGTTGTATCATGTAAAACCTAATGTTTATTAGGTAACGCTTATAATAATACATAATAATTATAGGGCGGTCATATATAATAGTTAAATAAAACATGTTAAGTAAGGTAAGGCTGATAAAAATTAGAGGTGGCAATTGGATCGGATTCGTGGATTCGTGGATTGGATTGATGGATCCATGGATCAAATGGATTGGATCCAATGGATTGGTGGATTCATGGATTGGATCAAATGGAATGGTGGATTGATCCATGAATCCAAATGACATCCAAGGCATGGACCAAAATGTAAAATTTGAAAAGTTTAGGTACTAAAATGTCATAATGAAAAATTTTACGTACCAAAATGTAATTTTCCAATGATATTTTTCGTATAAAATATAAATTTTAGGTACCAAAATGTAAAATATAAAAAATATAGGTACCAAATCGTAATTTGCCATTTGGATCCATGGATTGATCCATGAATCCACAAATCCAATTGGATTTGGATCAAATGGATTGGATTTAAATGGATTGGATTAGGTGGATAATTTGGTGGATGGATTGGATTGGATTCATGGATTTGGATCCTAATTGCCACCCTAATAAAAATGCCTTCACAATGTACGCTATACCGTGCTAATATTCATTATGCAATAATATCATTTATTGCGTAAGACTTATTTAACATAGGGTTATAGGTATAATATGCCCCTCTACTATGTCGTTTTATCAAACGTGCCCCTCTACTATTTTTTACATAAAACATGCCCTTATACTTTGTAAAAATTATCAAACATGCCCTTATGTTGAAATTTTCATCCAAAAACCGTTAACCACGATCAAACTTTGGTTTGGGAGACACAAATGTCTAAAATACCCCTAATAATTTCACTTTAGAATCTTGTTTGGTTCTTTTGTATAGCCAAATGATTCTTATAATTTCACTTTAACGAGACCCGAGAAATAAAGTAGGGGACAATACTGAAAAATTTCCCTCCCATTTACCGATTTCTGGTCGTCTAAATTTCGGTTCAGCCATGATTGATAGATTTTTTCAATGAGAATTTTAACAGAAGGACATGTTTGATCATTTTGTCAAAATACAAGGGCATGTTTGATGTAAAAAATAATAGAGGGGCATGTTTGATAAAATGACATAGTAGAGATGCATATTATACATATAACCCTTTAACATATTATTATATTCTAGTTGCAACTTAACTTTTATGTAAATGCGAATGCATTATTACGTAATGATTATGGAAACAATAATTATATTGTATCCAACCATCTAGCATACATTTTAGCTTAAAACTTTCGTAATGACTTTTGCACTTTATAAAGGTTAAACTTAATACTCATACATAACATTATCATCTATTATATAAAAAGGTTACAAAATATACCGTTTTACAATGTAAGATAAACACATGTTATATAATAGAAGTTGAATATACTACAACGTTAGAACTACAATTTCAATTTGTAATATAAAAGAAGTAGTAAAAATATGTATAAAAAATGAACTGAATTTATACGACAAGAATAAAATAAAAAAATTGTTTTAAACAAAACCACCTGTACTGAGTAGCATAGTAAGCTCAGTAGACAAGTGGTAGCTAAATGCTACTATATATAGTGACGGTGATTGTTATGGAAGGTGTCTCAAAAGAAAGTGAGAGAAAGGAAGGAAGGAACTTAAAGCAAAAGGAGAGAGATAAGCAACTGGAGCAAGTAAAGTCGCCGGTGAAATGGATGAACTTGCTGCACTTTCCCTCACCATCTTCATACTAATAGCGACCAGCTGTGTCGCTATTCTCATGGCCCCGACCCGAAAGCCTAAAACCGACGCGCCGACGCTGCCTCCGGGCCCAAGAAAGCTGCCCATACTCGGGAATCTGCACAACCTGATGGGCCCAACCTTACCCCACCGCCGGCTGATGGAGCTGGCCGTCGAACACGGGCCTCTTATGCAACTCCAGCTAGGGGAAACCTCCACCGTCGTCGTCTCCTCGCCGGAGATAGCCATGGAGTTTCTCCAAACCCACGATCTCAACTTCGCCACCAAACCCTTCCTACCTTCCGCCGCCACCCTTCTCTACAACGGCCGAGACATCGCGTTTGGGCCTTACGGAGACTACTGGAGGCAGATGCGGAAGATCTGCGTCGTGGAGCTGCTGAGCCCAAAACGCGTCAGGTCGTTCGGCCCAATTAGGGCCCAAGAGGTGAACGAGCTTGTGAGGTCCATATCCATGGTAGCTGCGGGAGGAGGGCATGAGGAGGCTATAAACTTGAGTAAGTCGCTCTTCTCCATAACCTATAGGATAACTTGCCGCACGGCCTTTGGGGAGAAGGCCCAAAACCAAGAGGAAGCCTTTTCGCCGGTTCTGGAGCAGATTATGAAGGCACTTGGTGGGCTCAACCTGTGGGACTTGTTCCCTTCCAGTAACTTGGTGCGTCTAGTGAGCGGGACGGAGAGGAAGCTAAAGAAGCTCCACTCGGAAGCTGATGTCATCCTCGAACAAGTAATCCGCGACCACGTGGCAAGACGAAGAACAGAGAGAGTTGATGGTGGTGTTGTTGATGATCATGATAAGGATCTTGTTGATGTGCTTTTGAACCTCAGCAGCAAGAATCATGGCCTTGGATTCTCCATCACCCACTTAGAGATTAAAGCAGTCATCCTGGTAAGTATACGTGGTATTGTTGACTATTTTATTTTATGAGGAAATGAAGGGTTTTGGTGCATACATATAAGATATAATATTGAGGCTTAATAAGTAATTGAGTGCGTTGGTGATCACCAGAAATTTTCTTAAGAATGCTAGATAATCAAAATCAAATTCATTAATATCATAATGTCATACTTGAGTTATCCTCTTATTGATTTAACTAGCTTTGCCCCCAGTTCGGTCGGCCTGTTATACAATACTGTCTGGGTTTGTAATGAATTAATTATTAATATGTGTAGGACATGATTTTGGGAGGGAGTGACACGTCGGCAGTGACGGTGGAATGGACAATGTCCGAATTGTTAAAGCATCCAAGAGTGATGAAAAAAGTACAAAAGGAGGTTAAACAAATGTTCGATGGGAAAGGAATGGTGGACGAAGCGGACCTTGATGAGCTGCACTATCTCGATATGGTTATCAAGGAAAGTCTAAGGCTACACCCTCCTGCACCGTTAATAGCTCCTAGAGAGTGCCGAGAAACAACGGTGATCAATGGATATCATATACCCGCCAAGACTAGGATCATCGTCAATGCATGGGCTATGAAACGAGATCACCGGCACTGGAATGAACCTACAGAGTTTTATCCAGAAAGATTTCTCAATACTTCGATAGACTATAATGGACAGAATTTCAAGTTCATCCCATTTGGAGCCGGACGAAGAATATGTCCAGGAATACAATATGGAACTGTGGTGGTTAAACTTTTACTGGCTAATCTCCTCTATCACTTCACCTGGAAGCTTCCCTATGGCATCAACCTTCAAGATTTTGACATGTCTGAGGAATTTGGACTTACTGTGAAAAGGAAACATAATTTGTTCCTCATTCCAATAGCTTGTCATTCCAATAGCGTGTCATCCTCAACTATCCTAGCTTGTATTCCTAGCATATAATTTCTTTTCCAATCGTCAATTTAAATAAGTGAATTTCGTTTTCATTGTGTTTCGTTCTCTTTATACCTAATCTATGGTTCATTCGGTTGGCAAAGAAACCCCCCATAATAAACATGGAACATCAACACCAACTCCCCTAATCAGTCCCATTAGCCAAGGTAGTTAAGTGGCACCAGTTCCCATCCTATAACAGTGATATATTTAGTCCTGTAATCTTGTTCTTTAAATACATTCAATTAATTATATAGATCATAACGAGTATGTTTCTTATGTTCCAATTTTTCAAAATGTGAGTAAAAAAAGAAGGTGGTACCTATAGGTGACTAGTGGTAATAGGTTGTATAAAAAAAGTTCATTGAAACGAACGATTAAGATAACTAATTGCACGACAATATCCTTAATTTCACCCGGAGTAAGCAACCATATATATTTTTTTTATAATATTATATATAAAAATTAAAAACTTATACCAAAAATATTGTTTAAACTTTAAATTAATTGCGAGCACTCAGCCATACCTAATCACAAAAGATAATGTGCAAGCATTGAGTTGCCACTTTAAGCTTGTGTTTTGTAGTTTTGATTGGTGTAGTTTTTTGGGTAATGGCTATTTTTAGCCGAAAAAAATTCGGATTCTTTTTTATTAGACAAACCTATCGAAATATTAAGAATTAGTCAAATATTAAATTTCAGTTAGCACTTTTGTTAGTAATATTGACTTGGCAACATGATTCTGACTTGGAAGAGACATATGAAAGTCAACATTCCAATATTTTAGTATTTTAACTAAGAAAATAGTTACAAAATTATTAATGATGATAACGTAAAAATGACTAATAATTTGATGTATTAAAAAAAATTGGCTAACTAATAAAATTTTAATAGGCCTGGGTAATATAAAAAAATTGGATAAAAAATAGACATTATCCTAATTTTTTCCGGTTTTGTCTCTTCTTTTTCACTGTGTTGTTCTTTTTGGTTAGGCAGTTAGCGGTGGCACCCTAGAGAAACCTGGTGTTTGTGTCTTGTCTGCTATTCGTAAGACTCTGGTTCTTTTTATTTATCAATGAGATTTCAAATATTATAAAAACAAAAGACAAAGAGAAAGAGGGCGAAGGATCAAACAAAAATGAAGGGTATAACTTATAAGAGAATAATGCATAATATCCCTAATAGTTACAGCACTTGGGCTCAATCAAGATCTGTATATCACTTAAACAAATTGCATAAAAAAATAATTATTATTCAACACCTTGGAATCAATCAAAAGATTTGAAATTAACGAGTTAAACAATTGCATCGTCGTCTTCTTCCTTACTTAGTTCCTTTCTTTTTGTGTTCCATTATTCTATTACATTCATTGATTCAACATATGTATCCTTCATCAATAAAAAAATATTATAAAAATATGTCGGCCAACCAAACATGGCTGGCTAGCTAGTAGCTAAAATACTAATTATATAGTGATCAGAAATTGTTGTGGAAGATGACCCTCAAAAAATAGTGAGAGAAGGAAAAAGGAAAGCAAAAGGAGAGATCAGAGTAGCTATCGAAGCAAAGTAAAATCGCCGGAGAAAATGGAGGAACTTGCTACACTTTCCCTCACCATCTTCATACTAATAGCGACCAGTTGCGTCACTATTGTCATGGTCCTGATCCGAAGGCCCAAACCCGACGCCCCGTTGATGCCTCCAGGCCCGAGAAAGCTGCCCCTACTCGGAAATCTGCACAACCTGATGGGCCCAACCTTACCCCACCGCCGCCTGATGGAGCTGGCCGTCGAACATGGGCCTCTGATCCAACTCCAGCTCGGGGAAACCTCCACCGTGGTCGTCTCCTCGCCGGAACTAGCCAAGGAGTTTCTCCAAACCCATGATCTCAACTTCGCCACCAGACCCTTCCTGCCCTCCGCCGCCATCCTTCTATACAACGGCCGAGACATCGTGTTCGGGCCGTTTGGAGACTACTGGAGGCAGATGAGGAAGATCTGCGTCCTCGAGCTGTTGAGCCCAAAACGCGTCAAATCGTTCGGCCCGATTAGGGCCCAAGAGGTGAATGAACTAGTGAGGTCCATAGCCATGATAGCTGCAGGTGAACATGACGTCGAGGCTGTAAACCTCAGTGGGTTGCTCTTCTCCCTAGCCTATCGTATAACTTGTCGTACAGCCTTCGGAAACAAAGCCCAAAACCAAGAGGAAGCTTTTTTGCCGGTTCTGCAACAGATTATGAAGGCACTTGGCGGTCTCAGCCTGTGGGACTTGTTTCCTTCCAGTAACTTGGTACGTCTAGTGAGTGGGACAGAGAGGAAGATGAAGAAGCTCCATGCGGAAGCCGATGCCATCCTTGAACAAGTAATCAACGACCACGTTGCAAGAATAAGAACAGACAGAGTTGATGATGATGATGAGCATCATCAAGATAATGATCTTGTCGATGTGTTTTTGAACCTCAACACCAAGAACCATGGTCTAGGCTTCTCTATCACCCACGTAGAGATTAAAGCTGTCATCCTCGTAAGTATATGTACGCTTTAATATATATGTTTATTTATAATGAGTTGAAGTGTCCTATTGTATACATCTGAGGTTACTTTGACTCTATGATGACCTGAGAATATGTGTAGGACTTGTTTCTTGGAGGGAGTGACACATCGGCTGTAATCGTGGAATGGGCAATGTCAGAGTTAATGAAACATCCAAGAGTTATGGAAAAAGTACAGAAAGAGGTGAGAAAGATGTTTGATGCCAAAATAGTAGTGGATGAAGCAGATCTTGACGAACTACACTATCTTGACATGGTCATCAAGGAAACTTTAAGACTGCATGCTCCTGCTCCGTTAATATCTCCCAGAGAGTGTCGAGAGACAACGATGATTGGTGGATATGAGGTACAAGCCAAAACTAGGGTCATTGTCAATGCATGGGCCATCAACAGAGATCCAAGACACTGGGAGGAACCTACAGAATTTTGCCCAGAAAGATTCATCGATACTCATATTGATTACAACGGACAAAATTTCAAGTTCATTCCCTTTGGAGCTGGACGAAGAGTATGCCCCGGGATACAATCAGGGATGGCGGTGGTTAAACTTTTATTGGCAAAATTACTCTATAATTTTGATTGGAAGCTCCCAAATGAAGACAACTCACTAAATATTGACATGTCTGAGGAATTTGGGCTTGCTGTGAAAAGGAAAAATGAATTATTTCTCATTCCTGTACTACGACATCCTCAACCAGAGTAACTTCTGTATCCTTAGCCCATGGTTGTTTCCGTGCCCCCTTACTCTTTTTTTTTATTTTTTTTGCAAGTAATATAATTTCATTTCAACCGGCCGGTTTAAATAAATTTTAGATTTCATTTTCATTATGTTTTATGCTCCTTCCTTCCTTCCTTCCTTCCTTCCTTCCTTCCTTCCTTCTTTCGATATATATATATATATTTTCTCGATTGTGCTAGTTAAGGAGGCGTATTATCTAGGAGATGAGAAAGGATGTCAGAAGAATCATGAACAAGTCCTGCTAAACTTATCACAATTTATAACTTTGAAAACATATTTCAATTATCATAAATAATATTTTAAATATCCATGACCAGAGTAATTTCATATTTGTCAGGGCCATAAACAAAACAAAATCAAAAGGTTGGACAATTTAGAATAAGTGATGTATAGTTTGTACGTTGTAATATATATATGTCAAAGAAATGTGTAAGCCTATATTTGGTTCGGTGTTTAGAAGTATTTTTCTGCTTTAAAAATTAAGTTGGAACAAATACACCTATAAGCTCGACTTTAGAAAAGGCTGAAAGTACTTTCTATAAATAAAAGCAAAAGCTCCGATTTAAAACTTTTACGAAAAAATATTTTTAAAATACAAAATCATGCTTATCATACATTAAATTTATTTCATGAAAATATAATTCTTTTACATTTACGCTATAATTTTGTCTTTAATTAGAGACAACAGTATTGAGGGTCATATTTACATATTATATGCGCCGCTAATAGAGTTTGGAGGTAAATATATTATCTATAGACTATAGTACTGGCTAATACTCTATTAGGTTTTCTTGTAATAACCAACAATATACAAGAGCGGAACAACTAATTAAGTTGATATTAAATTGAACCCATTGATTTCCTTTTTTCCTTCGATTTTTTTCCTCATTTTTTTCTTACATTTGCTAAGTGATTCTGTTGATATGGTTTGCAATTAACCTTGTGTGTTCAACTATATGGTTCTTTTCGCAATTAACCACCCTAGTTGCAATTGTCTTGCACTCTTGAGAGATATAGTAAATTAGAATGATGATGACCGACTCGGTGACGTTTTTCCAGGCGCATCTGCTGTTCACGGACGGAGACGACTCTTCAACGTAGGAAGCCAGGTCGCTGCTTCCAAACTGTGGCGACAGTACCTCCAAACCAGTCCCAAAGAAAAGAAAATTGGTAGGATGATGACTGACCTTCGAGATATCAGGCAGAACTCTTCTCCTCAACTATATAGTGATGAAACCTAAACTAAGAGTTTTATTTTTCGTTGATTACTTTCGATCGTCAGAAAAAATCATGCACGTAAATCACCGTGTCATTTATATTTCAGGACCTTTGAGTTTTAAACCCTATCCCATTTTTGTTTGATTCTATATCGAACTATAGCATACCCTTAATTCCATACTGATTAAGCTCCCAACAGGAGATCGAATAATGGATTTGATTCCATCAAGTAAAAACTCCCCAATCAGTGAAATATCTCGAATTATCAGGTGCGTTTGCATGAATCTCCACAAAAATGGGCTTACCTGCTCTTACCTTAGTTGCCCTTAACCAATAAAAAAACTCTTCCCATATATTCGTCACCCTGTTTGTTATAAATTATAATTATTGTCGATTTTCGTCAAATACCGCCAGCGTAATTATTATTAGTGTAATAATCAGATCGCCCTGTTTTTTCTGTCTTCATCGATGGGGGCCACTCAGCCAGCCAAGATTCTGAAGAAACCTAATATAAGAAAATGTTCACGTTCCATATTATTAAACAAGTCCCTGCCCAGCGCCCCATTTAGGAGCAACCACCTTAATTATTACTTTATTATAGTTTCCAAGTCAAATTGAGTGAGCGGGTCGGTCTAAAAAAAGATCAGTTTGATGCCAAGTTGCTAGGGTTGAAGGTGTTTTTAGAATTTGAAAAACGAAATACTTTAGATTATTTTAAAATACTTTAAATGATTTGTTAAGGTGCTTCGGAGATCACAACCTTTAAGACATTCTTATCATCATGGATAATTCATTTTATTAATTTTAACGGCACTGTGATGAATTACGTTTTTAGTGACGTGGTGACTTTTTCGTATTGACTTTGTCATGTTGGAATTGTTGGTATTTTTTTATAGTTAATTAACTTAAACAGTAAAAAGAAATGATCCTTTCATTATATAAGGCAATATAAAACTGAGGGGTAGCGTACATTCATTAAGAAATGTATAGTGGCCGTTCTATCATTTTCTTACATGCGAATAATTTTACAGCAATATACGGCTGTAACAGAGATAGCTAAGTTAATTCAATTTATCGGATAGTTTTCATGAAAATGAACAAAATTTTGCAGATGCAACCAATCCACTATAATTGAGCTGCCAAAATTTGACTAAAACTCAATAATTATAAGTGGCATGGAACCATATTAAGCTTAATCGTACTTTTATAATATGGAGTCAAAATATGGTAGCGAACATATTATCTTTTTTCACATAGCATGCATTACATTACTATTTATTATCAGACCTTTTATATTAATTAATGTACCTACAATGAATTATCTCAAGATCGTGGCTATATATATATAGTAGTACATAACATCCATTAATCCACAGATTACAGATTTCTATAACCCAAAAGCAACCGGCGATCCAGTACAACATATCTATATCGAGAGTTAGGATGTCAGCGGAAGCGGCGGCGCCAAAAACCGGAAACGCAACCGGTGATCCATTAGTTGGTCGAGACTCAGCAACCTTTCTTCCCACAGTTTGGGGCGATCACTTCCTCCACAATAATGTGGACGACTCCCCTCAGGTTGGTTAATTACGTTACTGGAGCTTCTTTATTTCGCTTTTTTATTTTTTTATCATTGCCTTGAGTTAATTAGCCTTTTTCGCAACCAAGAAAATGGAGACCAGAAACACAAAATTGGGTCACTAATACCTCGTGGTGTTGGACGACACATATCCCGTTGCGGAACTCCTAGCGTGACCAGAACGAGAACTGGTTGCGAAAAAGAAAAAGAGTGGAATATAATCATGTCGTTCTTAAATATTAATTAATGTCCCGTATAAGTATATATTAACAACTCGATCCGGTCGTGATTTATCTTTAGGGTGGGCTCCTTTCGGTCGTTATGCATGAAAGCGAGTATGAAGTTTTGAAGGAAGAGGTGAAGAGGATGGTGACAACCGATGATGATGGTGGTGATGATACTCCCCAAGCAATTGCCAACAAGTTGCGGGTGATAGATGTAGTTCAGCGACTAGGTGTTGGGTATCACTTTGAAACGGAGATTGAAGGAGAACTTGCAAAGGTGCATGCTCTTGGAGGCGAACTATTCGCTATTCGTGATGACAATAACACGACCCCCAATGTTGATCTATATCATGCTGCTCTTTGGTTTCGAATCCTCAGACAACAAGGCTTTCAAGTTTCCCCTGGTAAAAATTATACTACTATATATACACTTCCATATTACACTTACTATCCACATGTGATGCTCCTGATGAAGTGACACAACCTGAAGCGTTCATTCGTTTATAAAAGTATTGTTTCACGGTACTCCAAGTATCGTTATTTTTAGGAAGAAATAAATAACATCATCAACCCCATCTTGAATCATGAGCAGATGTATTTAGAAAGTTGAAGGACACCAGAGGAAGGTTCAAGGAATGGTTGGCTTCGGATGTGCAAGTGCTTCTGAGCTTGTACGAGGCAGCACATGTGGCGGTCCATGGAGAAGACATATTGGATGAAGCCCTGGACTTTGCCACCAAGACTCTCAAGTCCATTCTCCCTGAACTCAGCCCTTCGTTCCAGAAACAAGTAAACTTTTCCCTCGGCCTCCCCGCATGGAAATGTGTCCCCAGGACACTTACTAGGAACTTCATCGACTTCTATTTTGAGGATCCATCTCATAACAATAAACTCCTTCAATTCGCAAAGTTGGACTTCAACATGCTTCAAAAATTCCACCAGCAAGAGCTCCGCGAAATATCAGAGTCAGTACTTATGGACACTCAAATTATTTTCGTCAAGTTACTATTGCCAATATAATACCCAACTATTAGACATGTTGATTATGTACCTTATAGTTAAATTGTTTGGTTAATTAGGTGGTGGAAAGGTCTTAAAGTGAGTACCAAATTCTCGCATGCAAGAAACAGGATTGTGGAGTGTTATTATTGGATTTGTGCTATTTACTTCGAGCCTAAGTATCGCTTAGCAAGAATGATACTCACCAAGATCATATCAACGGTGTCAGTCATAGACAATGCAGTCAAAAGCGCGATTCTACCTAGAAGCGGAAAAGGGGAAAAATCGTAAAGCGTAGAATCAAAGCGTAAAAGCGTAAGTTTTTGACGCATACTGAAAAAATAACTAAAAATATATTAAGTAGGACATATGCTATGCAAAAAATGAATGCACAGAATTTAGATAAGTCAATAAATACATGTGATTCATGCCTAAAGTAGAACCACTTATAGCATCTTAATAATAAGTTTGTAAACATAAATTTTAATAATAAGCCACTTTTCACACTATGATAATGAATTTGGGAAAAGCCTAACGGGTGAATTAGATTACTCTATCGAAGTTGAGAATGCATTCAAGTACCTTATAAAATATTGCTGGTGATTTACTTTTAAAATATACTTTTCATAATTAATTTCATGAAAATAATACTCATTTAGTGAACTAAAAGCGTAAAAACGTAAAGCGTTTTGGAGAACTAGAAGCGTAAAACCGTAAGCTTTTAAGCTTTAAAGCGCAATTTAGTCCGATTTTATACACTTAAGTTTTTATATGGAAACAAAAACGTTTTGGTGACCTAAAAGCGTAAAATCGTACGTTTTTAAGTTTTAAAGCGCGATTTTGACTGCATTGGTCATAGACGACACTTATGATAACTTTGCTTCGTATGAGGAGGTGGAGGCCCTCACAGAAGCTATTGAAAGGTCAGTGCATGCTCACCTAGCTACCTCACAAAATACACAAACCAAAACACAACGGAGTTTTCTAGATTGATTCTTTGCACGAGATCAAGTTTGTTGTTAATTGATGATTAAATGCTTACTTTATCTCAGGATGGATGTTGGGGCTCTTGAAACATTACCCGACACAATGAAGGACCTATATCATGCCATCATTAAGTTGTATGACGATATCGAGATTGAACTTGGAAAGAGGGGGCCTACGTTTGCTGTTGATTATGCTAAAGGAGAAGTAATTAATAATGATATCAATTATTTTTACATTCATAATCCTATCACTTGCATGTGGGGATCTCATTAGATAATAAACTAATATATCATGTATATATATTGTTCTTTAGTTGAAGAAAATATGTCGAGCCTACTTAGCTGAGGTCCATTGGCGCGCAAAAGGCTATATTCCAACGCTGGAGGAGTACAAGCTCGAAGCATATGTCAGTGGCGGTTTACCCCTTCTCTGCACATCTACTTTCATTGGCATGGAACCTGAAATAGCTACGAGGGAGGCTTTTGAATGGGTAACCAATGAACCTAAGATGGTAAGAGCCGTCGCTCTTATTGGTAGGTTCCAAAACGACATTGTTTCTCATGAGGTATTCTTTTGGTCCCTCTTTATCATTCGAACTCGAGTTATAGTTTCTAACGTGGTATCGTTATATAATCAACTCAGCTAGTCCATTGATCATACCACAAGTAGCAAAATGATTTTGAACGGTGAAGAATTTTGTTCCCCCTCAGTTCGAACGAGAAAGGAAGCATGCAGCTTCGGCAATCGAATGCTACATGAAGGAGCACTCGACATCAAAGGAGGAAGCTATTGAATTTTTATGGAATGAGATTTCTAAAGGTTGGAAAGATATAGCTGAAGAGTGTCAGAAACCAACTCCACTTCCAGTAGTCCTCACAGACCGCGTGCTCAACTTTGCACGTTCCATTAGTGTGATATATGAGAAGGGTGATGGCTACACGGATTCTAATCTTTTGAAGGCCCACATTGCTGCACTGTTCGCTGTTCCAGTACCTCTTTAAAGAATATTAATATCAACAATATTTCTTGTTGGTGGTGTTCATTTGCTTAATGTCATGGTTTGTTCTTCTTTTTTCATCATTTTTTCTTCTCGTTTGATTGTTGGTGATCAATAAACATTCAATTATTAAGGACTTTCATCTCTTCTATTTACCCTAATTTTTTACGTATAAGTAATCCTCTTGAAAATGGTGAGGCAAACCTCAATGAGAATGTTGAGTTCCAAAGGGAGGTGTACTGTTATAGTTTAGGCAAAATCTCACATCCGAAAAGTACGAGAGAGATCCATGGTTTATAGAGAAAGCCAATCTTAACTAACAAGAAACGTTTGTGAAATGGATGAGTTCTTATAAGAATTCTGAAATTAAAGTACTCAATGTGGAGCAGTGCAGAGATGGGCGATCTACTTGGAAGTCACCATAATGCACCCCACAACCAAAACTGTAGGGTAAGCCAAAAAATTACTCGGAAAAAAACGTACTTTTAAAAAGTGGATGTAGTATCAAATAAATTTGCCTCCAATTCCTTAATTAGTAACAGATATTATTTGCATCTACATTTACTTCCAAAAGGAATTAGAGACAGAGGCGTCCGGTGCAAATAATATATTTGCTTCAATAGAGATAGAGAATCAAATAAATGTCATTTTAAGTCAAATAATCTCTCCTCTAAAGCTAGGTTTTCTCGTAGTGAATGGAGATAAACCCCTCATATTTGCAAGCTAACCGATCCCCATCTTGTGCATAATTTTTCTTGTTTTCTTTCACATTAGTATGCATGTGTAATCATCATATTCTAAACCCATGATAGCAAAACCCATGATAGCAAGTGTACTAACCATGTCTAAAGAAAATGCATAACAGATTGAGGAACGAAAGTTTGGGTTCGGATATGGTAAGAAATTAAATATTATATATATGTAGAAGATCCACTTATTTAACAATTTAGTTACGTTGAAATCAAACCATTTATAAAGTTATTGGGGTAAGATACATAAATAAACTTAAAGTAGTGTATTAATCATTAAGAAAGACATCCGTGATACTTAAGAAATAATTATCCCTCAATAAGCTCTATTTAATTGATACATTCGTGATATTTAAGTAGTGTGTTAATCATTACAAAAGTATTATATAATGCGTCTATTTAATTGATACATAAAAAATAATTATCACCCGTAAGCTTTACGTATCTTAATCATTAGGGTTTAGTTGTTATTTGAAAGACTCTGTATTGAATCTCTATCAATAACAATAGGAAAGAGCTTGTCTGATTAAGAATCATTGGGAAAAAGAAAGCAAGTCAACTACCTTCGTAGCTCGACCGATAGAGAGAGGAACGAAGTAGCTGACTCATGTATTATCTTTGTTTAATTGACAAATAAGAAATAAGCATCCCTCCGTAACCGGATACGAAGGACAACTTGTTAAGTTTATGTGCTGCACAAGAATTAATAAAAAAGACGATACAAGTCGATTAAGAAAAATAAGAAACTATGAAAAATCATTTAATTTCGACCAATTAATTTTGTATCTAAAGCACAATTAAAAACTTTATTGGAAACTTGGGTAAACCTTTGTAAGAAAGTGATTAATTGTCATACATGTACATCTCCCAACAACTCAAATATTAAAGACCAATTGATTCTTGACATGGTATCAGAGTCTTTTGTGATTGAGAGATCTTCTGTTCAAATTTAAATTACCCCATTTGTTAGGCATATGATACTAAAATTTGTGCAAACCCATATATGAATATGATGGATTTTCTTGATTAGCCTAAAAAAGAAAATGTAGGGTCCACCCTAGGATTAGCGGACTAAAGCGTCACTCTAATCCGCCTACAGGCTACAGCTTAGTAATCCTGACTCCTGAGCGATGGTTTAAGCGCAAATTTGAAAGAACTGTACGTTCAAAGAGACCTTTCCCTTTTCCCTAATTAGTAATTTCTCATTTCCAATCGGCTTCTCCTCCTCTTTCTCACCCTCGCAGCTAACGGCGGCTATTTCTGTCGACGATCAACAGAACGTCGGACCTATAACAGTTTGCTTATCACAATCATATAATCCAGCCAGGTAAAGCTTCTCAGTTCCACATAGTCCGACGAACCAGATCGAGATATTCACAACGTATATATGTGTTGTTTACAAACTATCATGTATGTATGGATTGATTCAACTGCTTCATCGCTTCAGGAATCAATGAATTGGTTGGATTGCGGTCGACAGCGAATTGATCGGTGAGAACGTCTTGCTGCAGCGAAATAGAATAGCAGTATCGCCTCGATCCCCTGATGAAAAAGGTACACGGAGGTCAATCATTTTCATCCTAGATTGAGCAATCTTGCGGTCTGTTTGTTTGCTTGCTTGAAAGAATCTAGATTCTAAGTTCGGATGCTCATGCATCAAATGTTTAGCTCAGTAGAATCTATTGGATTTGAATTGGTTTCTATAGCGTGATTATTCCCCTCATTTGCTTCGGCGTTAGCGTGTGTTCTGAGAAGGTCGAGCATCATGTGGAAGCATACCTGCCATGTGTTTGTGTTATTGTTTGTGTGAGGAGCTTCAGTCGATTGCACTTTTGCTGATTCAGTTTAGGAATAGATGGAACAACTTTAATAAGTCCTGATTTATTGAAATAGCTTACATACTAACATAGAATGCATACAGAACACAAGAACATAAATGTATCTCCTATTCGGAAGATATACTCATGAATAATATATTCTTAGGCTGCCACACTTTTGTCAGAAAGGGGGGTGGAGGAGTAAAAAGAACTTGTGTCTCTTTTCCATGAATACGTCTCTACTTAGGTTCTTAATCGATTTTAGCGGCGTTTGAGATAACTCAGGAATCCAAGCACCAACAGTAGAAGTCTGATCTGGATAATGCCAGCAGACCTTCTGGGCTCATCCTCTCCAGCTCACTTTGCCTCCATGCGGCGAGGTTGTTTCGGTTCTGTGGGTCTGAGGCAAGTGAGTAATCTTCTGCCCCATGTCGCTGGGATCTCATTCGAGTATACAGTCTCATTGTTGCCACACAATCTTCAAATGGGTCCTGGATCCCGGTTTGAATATCATACCTACAAATGGACATGTTAGACCAGCTAAGAACAAGGTTTCATCATAGCAAACAACTTAGGATATGTTAAAGGCATCAATCAAATACTTACCCAAGATAGGCTTGTGTTAGGTACTTAAGTGAGTTGCTGAGCTTGCTTGTCTTCATTAATGGAGGGTACTTTGCTGTATCCCTGTGTAGTTACATCATTCCATCCATTAATTTATTCCAGACAGGATATTTCATGGTCAGCCGATCCCATTTTGTACGAGGGACACTGGTATATAATTCAAGCATCTAGCCTGCTAGGAAAGGTCATGTTTGAATATATAGCTTTATACCTGATCATCACAGCTGGATATTCCACTTGCAGACGGTCAAGGTCGTGGTCCAAGCCATGACCGACAAGAATCCTAGCCCTTCCCCCTCTAGGTTTGACTTTCCACATGGGCTCTCCATTACAAAGGAAATCTTGAATCTTCTTTTGGGCTTGGCGTAGTGGCATTGCGTCCCTCAGGTATTCTGGCCTTATCCCTGTGGTGTCATACCTAGAAAGTTTTTTGCAAGAATCATGATTGTTAGTGCTGCTTTTTGAACACTAGAAAGCTCATAGATGCAGCTTTTGACTAGATATTCACCATATAATAGTTAAGGAAGTCACTAGATGATTTGATCATACCTGTAATTCGTGACTGGAATCAATGGTTTGATATAAGAGTGGAAAAGAATATTCTCATTTTCATCAATGAGGCAAACCCTTCCGCAAAGGTCGAGGGAGCCATCACTTCCTCCTCCAACCATCTTGCAGGCCAGTGCAACTACTTGTGTTCCTCTGGAGTAGCCATTGTCAATATTCAAGCTATCTCGTATGCCCAGGGTAGCCATTCGAGCAAGTAGTCCCTGAGGAAAGAGGCTGTAGCATGAGATATCATCCGGAAAAAACTTCACTAACTATAGAATACGTAATACGAAGAGATGAAATTGAAGAGGGGGATAAACTAATTAAGTTTCATGAAGCTTTTCACATTACCGCATTAACATTAGAGAATTGGCATCTTTCTTGGTGAACCCTGCGGGCATTTGAGCTTTCGAGAATGGTTAAACAATATCTGCATCCTCGGATATTGAAGATGTTCTTGCATTCTTGTTTAGGCAATGGTCCTGGAAAACCCAGCCTAGCATGTAAATACCTCATCGAAGGAAACCATACCATAGAGGGAGCTATAAACCATGTTTAGAGGGTCCTTCCGAAATTTACCGATAAGATGTTCCCTGAGGGACTCAAAGGATCTGCAGTGCTTCCTACAGATCCCGCACTTGGATTCATGCACAGAGTGGAAGGACGTCCTCATGTGATCCACCAGGTGTTCCATTTTGTTGAACTGCCTAAAGCACGCGGCACACTTGTTCCTGCCACTGTTGGAAATACACAAATCAATTAATTGTGAGCTCATGAATTGAAACAACTATGTGATTGTGAATGTGCGTGTGCATGAAGAGCAAAAAAGAGAGATGGGAACCTCGAGTTGTCAGATGACTCATATCTATAATCCATATGTAGGGATTGTTTTGATTGGTGAAGAAGCTGGTCTACTAATGTTTCAATATTACAGACAGATGTTGGCTCGGGAGAGGAGTGAGCTTATGGAAAATAGTCAGGGGAAAGAATGGTATTTATATTGGCAGGGAAGAAAGGTTTCTTCCAAGTTGAACATAGAGATGATTCCTCTTGTGGTCATTATCATGCATGAACTCTTTTGCCTTATTCTCTCTTTTTTGTATCTATATGCTCTTTGATAGCACTGCATTTTGCTGAACTTGGGAGGGGGAGTCTTCTTTCCGTCGAAACATCACTGTTTATTACATCATCACCATACAGTGCCTTTAACATTCGTGGTGATCTCAATCTTCTTTGAGCCCACCAATTGATTCACCACTCAACCAGAATGATCCTCTTCTATATACTGTTTTGACTTTCTTTTTGTTTTCTAGGTAAAGAAAGGTGGAATATGCGGAAGATTAATGAAAGCTATTCAATTTCCACCCAAGTCGATTCCCCGCGCTTTTTACTGCATATCCTCAGAGAAATGGGGGACTGGGAAGGAAAAAAAGCTACCTGCAGCAGAGCAGAGGATATAGATGAAAAGTGGAAGGAATCTAATTACATGGGGCTCTGCTGATAATGGAACGATACATGACAATCATTCTATAGCAGAGAGGGCAGTGTATATCATGTAAGTGATTTTTTACCCTAAACAGCAACCGCTTGCATGATTATCAGTTTTCTTTATGCTTTCTGCACGTTCTTTAATTCTTTCGGTTAATGGTGATGCCATATCCTTGCTTTTTTTCTCATCTCCCTTTGAGTGGGTGGAGGCTGATATTATTGCGGTGCAGTCCTAATATTCTAGATTCTCCTTCTTTCAAACCAAGAACCAGCACTTAAACTTGGCACTTCCATTAGGATTTGCGTAGAGATGGAAGAAGAGAACCCTGATTAAGATACTTTTTGTTGTTGGGTTTGTTTCAGATGATTTAGGAATCTGGGTAGCTGTTGAAACGAAACCTAATTACGGACTGTACTGAAACTTTGCAGAACTTCATGTTTTGAGTTGTATGACCCAACTTGCTGGCTAGGTAGGGTTAAATGTTGATTAAAGTCAACTCAGAGCTAGCTTGGTTTAATTATGGCCTGCATTCCGTTACAAAACCCCTTTCCCGCAAAACCCTGGTTGTATGATCATATCACGACTTGTGTGATACGATGATACAACACGATTATACTTAGTATGATACGATGATACGAGCGGGTTTTGCAGGCCAGTATCTGCTCCCTTTAATTATCTAGTAGATGTATACCAAGATAAGACTTAAAAGGTCGACTATTCAAATGTTTGGTTGTGGTGGTAATATGTTGTAGTGAGCACTCATCCTTATTTATTTCCACGCATGTTGTCGGCATCCCTTGAGTTTTGTTTTCTTTCAAGTTTTTGGCCAATGTTTTTGGAGGTCTGGAACCAACGGCCCATCAACTCGACTAGGGATGGGAAGGGTGAATGCATTTTGGCCTACACAAACAAACACTCTTCAGTTTGTACCTCGTCCCCGCCTTTGTTTCCTGCTCGATCTAACTTGTGCTTTGTGCTTTGATTCTTTAGGAGAGAAAAATGGCAGTGTCAAAGTGGCCATGGGGTTTCAGCTTTTGGGCATTTCTGATCCTTATCCTGCAGAATTTGCAACTGCTCATGATGCTCTTTCCTGCTCCTCGGTGGTGTTTGTAGAAGGAAATTCCATCGAGACGTGGTCGGCCGCAGTCATGTTCCCCGAGATTGTTTTGAAATGGCGTTAGCTTTAGATTCAGGTTTAGAGGGGTCCCTAGCTAGGAATGACAGTTGGATTACCCACAGAATTACACACAAAGCCTTATTTCTGACTAGGATAGACACAAAAAAAAAAAAAAAAATCAACACTCAACTTTTTTTGAAAGTTCAGTTCTTTGTTGTGTCTCATAAGGATGTGGTGTATATCACAAGAGAAGGGAACATTACTTGCATAGTAGAAAATGATCATAACTACAAATATCTGTCACAAAAGTGGTTTAGTGCTCATTGAGGTTAGGACGCTCTAGAGTGATCCATGGTCACTGGATTGTTTCCTGATTCATGATTAGTGATGGCAATGGGGCGGGGCAGGGTGGGGCGGGTCGATCCATTCTTACATATTATTTGAAAAAAAATACATGCAAATTTTACTTTTTGCGATAAAACGAAGAGAAAAACACTTTATGAATGAAAAATAGTGATAATAGAATGTGTAATTAAGTCTAATAAGTTGAAAGATCGACTCTAACTAGTTGAAGAAAAGTCAAAATAGAAGAAATATGTATAGATACTGTAAAAAATTGAGATAAAATGGGTCTAGAACGGGGCGGGTCAGAATTAGATACCCATATCCCGCCACACGCTACTACGGGTCGGGTAATACTCACCCCATCGCAGATCAGGTCGAAATTTCCATCACTATTCATGATTGTCGGATACAAAATCGCTCTACTGTGTATATTAGACTCTGGCACTAACCCCAGTGAATATATAAGCAACAGAGTAAGTACTAGTTAGCAACTGGCTGGTGAGGTAACAACAATAACGAGGAAAATGGCATGCTAGTGGAGCAGCATAAATAATTTTGAATTGGATGGGCTCTTCGCTTTAATCGAACCATATGCTTTTGGTAAAGGAAAAAAAAAAACAAAAGAGGAAACATAGCTGCAGACAAGTAGTGGCTTATCATAAATCTTTCTTTCCCTTGGTCCAGTATGAGTTTTGTAGGCACTGTTTGGAGAATCTCGGAGGATGAGGGAGAGGAAGGCTGACTTTTTTTTCTCCCTCCCTTCATCGTAGAGGAAGGACCTCATTACTTTTTTCTGTATATACGGTGTGGGCCGTTTTGGCTCTAGATTCCCATTCATCCCTTTTCATTCCATGTTGAACGTTTGACTGCCCTTATTGAGAAAAGGGACGTTTTGAGGTCCAGTAGCATCATCCCTGGGCTGGAATAATCCACATTCCACACCAATGAATGAAGGGGATGTTCCTTTTGATACCCATGACATGACTCCTTTCCCTCACACGGTTGCAGGCTTTGGTTCGTTCTCACCAGGGAGGTGGAGGTGTTCAAATAAGAATCTCTATCACATTCAATTTGATTTCAAATAGTAGTGTTATTAAAGATAGAATGCAAATCGATGCATAATTTTACAAAGCTTAGTAACCTTACTATGAAGACCAACATAAACCCATTTGGAAAAAATAAAACACTCTACATTTGTAAATCATCTTTATCTTTATTTAACGGGTTAATATATTTGTATGTTCTGAAATTTTCACAAATTAAACATTCTGGTCAATCTTTTCGATCTATAACTTCTTGGTCTCAACTATTTATCAAAGTTACAAAATTGGCCAAAACCCAGATTTGACCATTATCTTCGACGGTCAAACGCGTTGACTAACGGTCAAAGTGTCATGTCAATGCCAAGTTAGCACAGGTCACTTAAAAATTTTGGTTTTTTCCACCTATTACCTTTTGAACGCTGACAATTTTTAATTTCATTTCCTTTTTTTCAAAATAAAAAAAGAGAAATGTAAATAAGTGGAATAACCAAAAAAATTTAAGTGGTCTATGTTGATTTGGAAGTGAAGTGGCACATTGACCGTTGGTCAACGCGTTTGACTATCCAAGATAACGGTCAAATCTCGGGTTTGGCCAATTTCGTAACTTTGATGTATAGTTGAGGCCATAAAATTATAGGTAAAAAAATTGGCCAGAATGTTTGATTGTGAAAATTTCGGACCATACAAATATATTAACTTTACTAACTCAAGTAACTCTTTTGATAGGTGTTGACACGTAACCACAACAAAACAATACAATATTTAACGGTGTTGAATAAGAGGAGAAGAGAATGAAAAGATCTCTTGATTGTCATATAGTTTACGCAGAAGATAGAAATTGGTTCTTAATGTGATTACTGATTAGTGCATGGATGAGCAAGAAATTATTGAGACGGTTTGACTTTGTTGAATTTCACACAATCTAAATCCATAATCCAACCATGCACAATCATTATTTTTTTTCGTTGAATCACAATCATTATTTTCAGTTCTCACCCACCCACAAAATTTATTTAGGATAATTAATACATATGATTACTTGAATTGAGTAGCATAAATGGATGGAGTTTCTGAGTTTCGGGTTGTATTTGATTCGAGGATGTTATAGCGACCAATCATATAGCTAGCTTACTAATTCTAGACTACACGTAACACGTCCAAAATTGTGTCCATGATTGGCCGTGGTCGTCATTTTTCTTTGTTTCTAGTCACAGTGGTGTGTGGTGCATGCTGTTTATAGTGGTTGACTGTCTTTTTGGGCCATGGAAGACCACAGTCTTCGTATTATGGCATTTATTCTTTGGACTGTTGGAGAAGGACTTGTAGGGCTTGTGTGGACAAGAAATTTTGGAAAGGTTTGGATACAATCAAGTTACGTTTGAGTTATATATTTTGTAGTTTGTGCACAATATACGTACGTACCTTGCCAATGGTGGATAAATCCGTAATTTACTCATCTCAATCATTCCGTTCTTACATGTTTTAATTTCTTTCTATCATAAATTGTTGGATTTCAATAATATTATTTTTTGTGAGAACGTTAATCATAGAATCTTATATCATTTTCTTACACGTCTTTCTCAAACGAAAGTCAGCTTACAGGTTGAAGTTTGCACACATTCACCATATCTTGTGGTTGAATCAACTATTGATAGTTGAAGTTGTGAAGATTCGAACAAACTATCACTCGGCCGAACCAGCTCTAGTACCATGTCAAGAACCAATTAGTTATCCCAATGACCATGGTTCAAATCCTTTTAGCTACAAAATTTTATAGCCCCTCATTCACATTTCTGGTATGACTACTGATGGCTTGAGTTTCCATTCATAAGTTCTGGTTATTCGGTTTCGGTATCTTCGTACGATTGTGGTAAACTAGTATAATTACGTAGAGCAATGGTCATCCACGTAATCCCTCCCCGTTCTTCACACGATTCACTGAGATTTGGAGAAAGAATCCAACTATTCATAAGTCAAAGCCGTCGTACACCAATGATGCAAAAAGGAATGAACAAGGAAAAAGATAGAGGAGCGAACCTCAAAGCTTTATCGATAGATATATACAAGAGGAAAAAAGATTGAAAGAATTGATTCAAAATTCATATGCATTTGAGGCCAAAAACGCCGAGACTCCAAATCCTCCTCCACCCCATTTTGCCATATTTACGTAGGAGTTCCACAAGAAATATTTTGTTTGATAAGTGTTGCAATTGTGTCTTCATATAGCACCAGAGCAAGGTTTAATAGAATAACTTTCTACCAAAAGAATTGGACATAGTTATTCATGTAGATGACCAACATTTACTTAGTATATCTTTTCTTTTTCGAATATGTAATTTTTTTTAATGTGAATAAAATCTCATATTCAGTTATTCACATTGATAATCAACATTTACTTATTATTTGGAATTTTTTTTATCAAACAAACCATCAAACCAATCCACCATCCGTCATCACCCTAACCCACTCATAATAATACAAATGACGGGTGTATAATTTTTTCGCCACCCACAAAACTATAAGTATGAGAATTTTTATCCTAATACACACTCAACCCATACATCGCTCATCGATGATTTCCAGGCTCCAGCCGTGGAATTCCTAAAAGAAATCTAATTGATTAACATATCGTGGGTAAAATAACTCAGGTACCACTTAAGTTTGAAAATTGGGGCAGACATACCACTTAACTTTGAATATGGCGTCGGGTACCATTAAAGTCGCCAAAAGATGGATCCGTCTAGTTTTTCATCCAACCCAAAATTTTAATTGCATTTTGGTACCCAAATTTTTTTAAAATATCCAAAACTACATTTCAAAAATTATTATCTAATAGAATAATTAGACAACCTTCTAAACATAGTATTACTAGAATGACTAATGAAGCAAAAACCAACGAGAAATGCCCATAAAGACGTAACAAAATTGGGACACACTATTGGTTTGGGGGTGGGAAATTGGACTGTTTGTCATTGTTCTGTTGTGATGAGACACTGCTGACTCCCAAATACATATAAAAACAACGAATATATATTTTCTGCGTTGCTTTGTTGGGTATGGATTCGCCATCATTGAATTGCTGGAACACCTACCCCTTCTTCTAATCAACCTTAGCTCCCTGCTTTATCATCGCAGATTCTTTCACCTTCGTACTGCTTAGTCTCCCTCTCAATCATTTTCTTTCTTTCTCTTCCTTTTTTTTATAATAATTTCTAAGGATAGGTTACAAAAATTATTTTTCAGGACGAGTCCTACCTTCTTTGAAGATCCAGTGATAAACTAACAGATTGACTACTACAATACAATGGAAACCAAAAGTCACAAAAATTACATTGATTAACTAGGTAGTATGTACACTTGTTATTCTCTCTGTAAATATGAGAAATAATCAGTAATTACATCACAATCGTACTTAACCAGCTACTTGAACATTGTCGTACAGAAATTGATGTGATTTCCAATAAAACCAGCAGTTCGGTACTCATTATTACGAGATCTGGTATAATTTTTATTTATTTATTACTTGCCACTTCAACTAGTCCTCTTCAATTTAGAACATATCACTACACATCCATAGCTATGCTAATTATTGGAAGTTTTGTCTTAATCACTTCCATTTCTTGTCAGCTCAAAGGGCACCACCACTCAACTGTTAGTGTTGTGGTATATGATCCACGATTGAACCTCTCCCAATAACTCGAGTTATTGGGACTAACTGGTTCATGACATGGTATTAGAGCCTTCTGTGATCGAGAGGTCTTGTGTTCGATTCCCGATGACCCCCATTTGTTAAGCACATGGTATTCTTGTCTTCAGACCTGTGCAAACTTCAAGCCCTTGTGAGTGGCTTTCGTTTGAGGGGGCATGTTAGTATTGTGGTATATGATCCACGATTGAACCTCTCCCAACAACTCGAGTTATTGGGATCTAGCAATTGGTTCATCACACCAACTACTATACTCCAAATATCTTAAGCATATCCTCCGGCAATGGATGATAAATAATTAGTAGGTTGAGTTCGGCGTTGAAAAGTTTGTAAAACCCTAATTAAACACATATACCTAACATTAAAACAGGGCCCCGATATATTAAGCCCTAAATTACGTCGACTAACCACCTGCAGGCCCCAAGGACAGGACATATATAAAGGGGTTGCATTTTCCATTGCACCGTCGGAATATATGCTTTTGGTCAAGATCAATTGAGTCATAATTCATCAATAATTAACAATAATACTGTCCTGTTCATTTGTATATGCATATAATAATGCTTATTATCTATTATTGTTATCAGAACCAATACGCATAACTGCATGGAGATATTGTTATTTATTTTAATGAGGAGATTATTGACGTCCAGTCCAATAACAATATTTGTCCTTTGGGTCTAGTCGACCAATTGAGTTTTGTGCTCGTGTGGGTAGCTTTCCTTTCTAGTTGATTTCCTGACCCTACGCGTATTTGTGGTTTGATTTGTCTATAGGGACAAATAAGAAGCCAAGAGTATTATTATTCAAACATTTTGCTAATGAAGTCTCTAGCTCTTTTTTCTTCCTTTTCGTTATATCTCTGCATTAATTTGTACCTATTTGATATCAATATATAAACGCCGCCCATAGCTACGCTGCTAATCACTCTAATATTACTGATTAAGTTATACTTAAGCTCCTCCTCCATCTACTAGAGAGCGGTTTGCCACGTGTACATAGCGCTACCAAAACATCCCGCATGTAGGAATTTTCCTACAACGAAACAGAATGGGCCGTCGTGCTTCTCCATAATGGCCGGACGGCGCCCCATAACTAGTACGAATCTATATTAGCGCCGGCGGCCGCCGTCCCACCATGGACCACAACCGAGGAGGGTGTGGGATGGGAACAATCAAATGTTGAGTAATGTGCAGCCGCAGACAGCTGGCACAGCTGCTGGTGGTCCACGTGGACCCCGCTTATCCGGAAAGTTCAGACGATCCGTAGGAACGGACTCCTAGAAAATGACGAGACAAAATAAAATTTTCGGTCCACGTGTACGGCTGTCATTAAGCCTTCATGCTGTGTACTCTGCTGTCCGCTGTCACGTTTGCCTCTACTCTGTTTCTTTTCAGTTAAAAAGCCGTTAATCGCGCCAAATTTCCCCCCTCGAACGGCTTTCCCTTCTTTCATGAATCCCAATGGACAGGTTAATCGAACCGGAAAACTTTTGTTTCATGTATCATTCCATTCCTTTCTTTTCCATGAAGAGATGGATCGTGTTCCTGCCTCGCTAGCTTCATAACTGTAAGCATAGATTTGGAACTTCACGTTTTGCTAAGCTAGCACTGCTAAGACCCAAGAACTCACGTTTTGCTATTGTATACCATCATAAACTAGCTTTTACTAAGACTAGATCGTTCATTCAGAATTCGAAATGTTTTATAAACCCGTACTTAACCCCACTTGACTTTGGTATTATTATAGTTGAAGTTTTCATCAATTTATGTATCTAGATATATGAAGATACATACCCGGGGAGACGAGGAGAGAGAGAAAGAAAGAGACGAAGGAAGGAAGGAAGTTGGAGAGAAGTCGCCTTCCTTCCTCTCATAGTCTCATTGCTTCAATACTCCATCTCTATGCAACCCCACAACTTCTTCATCCAATACATCCATTACATACACTGATACATCATAAATATATTCCCATTTTATAATCTGCCCAAACCTATCTGTATAAAATCCTTCCAAGAACAACTTTCTTTTCTTGTATTAACTTAATGCCACTTTCCTTCATCTTCCTTCCATGTGTTCTGTTAGCTTATATATATGTAACTCCAAACCTCAACAACAACACCCCCACAACACACGCACACTTGCCCATTCACCCACCTCCATCTTCGTCCCCCCTCTCCTCATATACCTTCTGTACATACATGTAACAATTTCACACCAGAATCACAACAAGGAGATTCATACATCTAAGAAAACCAGAAAGGGGGAAGAAAAGGTATGAGTTGCTTGTTTTTGAACTGCAATTCTGTTCTGGGTTCTGCTTTACTTGTCATTTTCTCTGCATACCTTACTGAATTGTGTCTCAATTCATAAACCCATTTGATAATTTCTGCTGATGTTTCAGAAAGTTCGAAACTTTGACAGAAATGCCAGGGCTAGCCATCATGGGTGGTTCAGAAGAAGTACCAAATGGTGGCCACAGCAGCAACAACAACAACAATGGCGACTTCTCTCCAAACAAGTCAATTCTCGGCTTCAGCCAGCAGCAGAAGTCGCCAAGGAGCACGTTGAGCCAACGCAGCAGCGACTCTATTGACCTAGCCATGGACGGGGTGATCGACACTTCAATAGAGCAGCTGTATCACAATGTCTGCGAGATGCAGTGCTCTGACCCTTCCCCTTCAAGAGGGAGCTTCTTGTCCTATGGCGAAGAATCGAGGATCGATTCAGAACTCTGCCACCTCATCGGGATTCCAAACATGAAGGAGATCACAAAAGAGGTTTTTGTTGTGGCAGAGAACAACACAGAAGAAGAACAAGAACAAGAAGAGATCATCAGAGAAGTCAACAGCGCGGCCATTGACCAGAATGCCAATTCAGGGAAGGAGAGAAGAGTCTATAATCAGCAAACAGAATCTTCTAGGAAGAAGAGAGCTTCCCCTAGAAGGCCTCTTCCAAATGGAACTAGTCCTTTTCGCAGCCCAAGGAGACTTGCTTCATCTGTTGCTGAAACTGTTGCAGCTAATAATGGGCCTTTGTTGCTCAAACAAGCAAGAGACATGATTTCCTCAGGCGAGAACCCGAGGCGGGCTCTCGTGTATGCCCTGAAAGCAGCAAAGGCATTCGAACCATCATCAAACGAGACACCAAATTTGGAACATGTCATGTCGCTCCACGTTCTAGCAGCCATCCACTGCAGCTTGGGGAACTACAACGAGGCAATCCCGGTTCTAGAGAAGTCAATCCAAATCCCGGCCATCTATTTGGGCCTGGACCACGCTCTGGCCAAGTTCGCCGGCTGCATGCAGTTGGGTGACACCTACGCAATGCTGGGCCAGGTAGAGAACTCGATCCTCTGCTACACTGCTGGATTGGAGATTCAGAAGCAATCCTTGGGGGACAAGGATCCACGTGTCGGTGAGACGTGTAGGTATCTCGCCGAGGCTCACGTTCAAGCATTGCAGTTCGATGAGGCTGCCAACGTATGCCAGATGGCGCTCGACATTCACAGAGGGCCAGAGGAGGAAGCAGCGGATAGGAAGTTGATGGGGCTGATCTGCGAGGCGAGGGGAGATTATGAATCTGCCCTCGAGCATTATGTTTTAGCAAGCATGTCTATGGCTGCGAATGGACGGGAAGTGGAAGTAGCTTCAGTGGATTGCAGCATTGGTGACGCGTACTTGTCGCTGTCGCGCTACGACGAGGCTGTGTTCGCATATCAGAAGGCGCTCGCCACGTTCAAATCGAAGAAAGGAGAGAGCAGCACCTCAGTGGCATCCGTTCTGGTGAAGCTGGGTAACTTGTACAACAAGATAGGTAAGTTTAAGGAGTCGAAGACTCAATGTCAGAATGCTCTCAAGATTTACGAGAGTAGGCCTAACTCCCATCAAGTGGAGGAGGTGGCGAGTGGTTTCATCGACATTGCAGCCATTTACCAGTCGATGGACGAGCTTGATCAGGCAATTAGGCTGCTCAGAAAGGCACTGAAGGTGTATGGAGATGATGTGCCGGGACAGCAGAGTACTGTGGCTGGGATCGAAGCTCAGATTGGTGTTATGCATTACATGATGGGGGAGTTCTCTGAGTCGTATAACTCGTTCAAAAGCGCCGTTTCGAAGATGAGGGCAAGCGGGGAGAAGAAGTCTGCCATGTTTGGGATTGCTTTGAACCAGATGGGGTTGGCTTGCGTACAACGTTATGCGATCAACGAGGCAGCTGAGCTGTTCGAGGAGGCGAGGGGAGTTTTGGAGAAGGAGTATGGTGCTTATCATGCTGACACTTTGGCTGTCTACAGCAATCTGGCTGGAACTTATGATGCTATGGGAAGGTGAGTGTCTTTATGATTTAAATAGCGGTTCTAACAACATTCAATACAAAAGCATTCTAAAGTTTTCAGATTTTGATTCACAGGTTGGATGATGCAATTGAGATTCTAGACCAAGTTGTTAGAATGAGGGAGCAGAAGCTTGGAACAGCTAATCCAGAAGTGGTGGACGAGAAGCGACGGCTGGCTGAGCTGCTGAAGGAAGCAGGAAGGGCAAGGAATAGGAAGTCAATAGCTCTGTTAAGCTTCCTTGACACTGAAGTTCAGAGTAAGAAGAATGAAGGCATTGAGGTAGCTTAAAAGAAAAATGTATGGAGAAATGTGTATATATGTATACAAATACAAAATGGTTCCTGTTATGTGTAACATATTTTCTTTGTAAAGAGAGAGAAAGAGGCTAATTGGTAATTACAGACTTGGTTCTAGTGCTGTTTGGTGGTGTGCTGATTTTTGGCCCATTGGTTAATTTTAATTCTTTTGTTGAATAAAGGATGAAGCATTTATTAATGTTGGGAGATCATTTTCAGTTTGATGGTGAACACCAAACTGCAGCCATTACAGCTGAATTTTAGTTGATACTTGAAGCTTTCTTTTAGTCTATAACAAAACTGTTCTGAATGCAACTTAGGATCTGAATTTTGTACTTCCCAATGCACTGCGGTTTTGCTTGGAAGGATAGGTAAGAGGCCTGAACTAGAAAATACAATCTTCTTGGGGTTCACAAAAGAAGAAAAAAAGTAAAATACCAGGTACCGAAAAGTAAGACATTGAAACTTGTGGTACCTGAATTTGCAAGGTTCCTATACTTGTTGCCTTGTAATCCAAGTCACGGAGCAGTAAGTTGAAGAGTCAAAAGTTATCACTTTGGTTTTCACTTAGCTTTCTGAGGAGTCCAAATCAAGTAAGGATTCCCTGAAAATCTGGGTTGCTATTTTGATTAGTTTCTTGGTCCCTTTTCCCCAGATCCAAAGCAAAAAGTAAAAACCATATATAAAAGAAAAAAGAGGATGCCCAGCTCCTGAAGCAAAGAGTTTAAGCTCTGCTGAATTATGTACAATGAGGTCAACGTTTCACCACCAGCAATGAAACGTCACAATACAGTTAGCTACTAGATAAATTTGAAGAAAGTATAACATAGAAATGGGCTGGAGCCAGGAAGCCTGGAACAGAAGAACCAATAAGCTTTAAACTTTCATTCATCTCTCCAATTGCATGTTGTATACATGGTAAGGTTACTTTGAACCGAAAAGAAGGCCAAGCCCCTCCTTAATGGACTGAATCCTCCTAACTAAAGAAAAGACTATAACTAATTCCGATTAAGGAGTTGTTTACCTTGTGGAAGTTGGCTCCACTTCACCAAACCAAGTAGTTCTCTGGATAGGTTGGCTAGCTATTTGGAAGTGGCTTTAGTAGTGGCTGACGATGATGACGACGATGTTGCAGAGGAAGATGATGCAGCAGTAGCAGAGTCTTGTGTTTGAGCGAGCTTGCGAAGCCTTTCCTGAAGACCCCGAACTCTGTCCTCGGTCTGCCGGAGCTTCCTCCATCTGTAGGTGAGATAGAGGCCAAACCCACCGTACACAACAATGTAGGAACCCCACACATAAGGGTAAGATTCTGCATGCTCTTTTAGCTTTCGATACTGATCCAACACTCTCCCTTGAAAACCACCAGAGGAAGTGCCATTTGTCACCACGGCCTGAGCCTGCTGCTCATCATCAACTCCTTTCTGTTCAGTAGCCATCTCGTTCCCTCTAATAGCCTGCTTCAACTTCTCTTTCTAGGGAAGGAAACAAAGGAATGGGGAATTCCCTTTTAGTTAGTACCTTAGTCACACCTCAAACTCAAACAAGGGATGTTTTCTATAGCTTAACACAATGTTTTAGTTCATCCAGGAGCAATTCTATGGAGAAAGGAAATTAAAGATCGAGTCTTTTTTGGGTTGTAACTTCAGACCAGCAGAGCTTCTTCTGCTTTAAGAATGAAGTTAAAGAAAGAGTGGTAGACCCTAGAACGAGTGTTCTGCCTTTCTATTGGACTTCCATCACAACAATTACAAGAAAGCAAGCCATTACTAGAACTTCAAAAAAGCCCCAATTGAACTCCAAACCAAAACCCCCAATCCTACCAGCTGTTGATGTACTGAAGTCGGATCATGTATATGTAAGTTCAAGCAACTAACCAGATCACGTTTTCCTCAGTCAAATCTTAAAAAGAAAACCTAGAAGAGGAAAAGGGCGTTACTTGATTGTTGAATCAGGCGGAGGCGGCGAGGCTGCGTCGATCTTCAGCCTTCGTTCAGTCGCTGCTGCTACGGCAGCGGTGGAGATTGTGGAGAGCTGCGGCAGACGGGGAAGAGAAGCCGAGAGCAAGTGACGAGATCTTCGGCCTTCGTTCAGTCGCTGCTGCTACGGCGGCGGAGATTGTGGAGAGCTACGGCGGACGGGGAAGAGCCAGGGGCCGAGAGCGAGTGACGAGTTGAAAGTGGGATTTGGATCCTTGGAGAAGGGGAAATGGTTGGGCCTGTCTCTGTTGGGCTCCTGGGCCCATTTTGTGGAATCTGAAATTCAAGCTCTCCAGTCTCCACCAGTAATATCCATGGCTAAAGGGATAAGGTGATTAATCATTCATCGTCGGCGGCGACTAGAGGTAACAGAGAAGTGACGGAGGAGATGGAGAACATAACGGCGAGCGAAGTGGCCGGACTTGGGGTCGGAGCATTCCTTGTACTCGCCACCGTCGCTGCTCCGAAAATCGATTCCCTCATCTCTTCTTCTCAGAGAAGGTTTGTGAAAGACCCCAAACTCCCTCACTCTTCTATTCTATCCAAAGGTCGCCTCTTTTACCCTGCATTGTTTCATATGCAAGCTTCTATTGAAGTCATTCCAGACATTTCCCAACTTCCTCTGCTTACTCGTCCAGTCTTCCTAGAGCAACTGGTTGTCTGGTTTGCGGAATGACAATCCATATAATGTGTACAATTCTTAGGGATAGTTTATTTCTTGGAATGTGAAAGAAGTGAATTTCAGATATTCCATTGGTTGGTTTCAAATTTTGTACGATGTGTTGAGACATTTTAGAGAAACCTTCACTTTTATTTCACTTGAAATTAGCACATCAACAATAGAATGTTCGATCTTTCCACATTTCATGACTGCATTCCATCATCCAAACCAATTGTCAATAGGAGATATCAGTCAAGGGTAGGATTCCAGCTGTTAATCTACAATGAGCATAGTATTTGGACTCGTGACTGAACTAGGACCTTAGTCCATTATGATTCGGATCAATCTTATTCAAGTCACAGACAATATATAACCCAAAAGTAGAAATGAAGCTATAGTCAGTCAGTCTCCTTAGTAACCACTTCATTTCGGCTGCTTTGCAAAATCAGATGATTCACAAAGATGTGCAATGCAGAAGCTGTGTTTCATGGTGCCTAGCAAATCGGTGAACTTTTGTACTGATCTCTGCCTTTTGCAGTTCTCTGGGGATGTGCAGGAAATGTGGGGACTTAAAGATGGTAGCATGCTCAACCTGCAAAGGAACTGGATTAGCCAAAGCAGGTGGCGCGCCATTTACTTTCTTGGATGACTTGTATCAGTCTGTTGGTGGGGAGACAGAAGTGAACCGGGTGAAATGTAGTAAATGCAGAGCCAAGGGCCACTTCCACTGCCCTAACTGCTCCTAAGGCCAGTCTCTGTAAAATTGTTGGTTACACTTGCCAAGCTTTCACCTTTACACGTTACATATTATTACCATATGAATTCTTTCATCCTCCCTGTGTAATGTTGAACCCGGGGTAAAGCCGGATGTGGATGCAAGTTGGTTGGAAGTAGTCTTTGCTTGTACAGACTAGTGGTAAAATTTCTGCAGCCTTTATATGCAACTTTATGGTGAACCTTACAAGTTTTGTGTAGTCTTAAACTTTCCTTGTCAATGGAAATTGAGACAACCCATCTTTGGCCACATCTTAGACGTGTGGGGGACTGGGAATAAAGAAAGAAACAGTTGGAAGTTGAGCAAAAGAGAGGAAGTTAAGTGCAGAAATGGTGCAAGCTGTATTTCTCATGCATGATGCATGTTTATCTGAGTTTTCGTTGTTGTAGTTGGCAGGAGAAATTATTGCCCAAGTTTGAGTAGTCTGAAATTTTATCAAATAAGTGGAGGTAGTGGTGCTTTGCATTAAGTATGTTACGTTGTGGATATAGCTGTGTTGAGACTTGAGACCCTTTATAAACCGTACTTTTTACAGAAATTTTTTCGTTAATCGGTGTTGGCATCGACTACTCCTATGGAATGCAGGAAGTGCAGGTGTAGTGCCCTGCATCAGAACTGAGCATACTCCTCCTTCATTGCTCTAGGCTGCTCCTTCCTCCAGGTAAAGCGTATATTGACAAATGACAATTGATCTGATACCATCCTTTCTGAATATGGATTGGCTTACTTCCTTTCTTTCTTTCTGAAGAAGAAGAAGAAGAAGAACCACAGCTACTCCAAGAGGGAAAGCGGGGACTACCTAGATTAACTGATTGATTGGTCTAGAGAAAGGGCAACTAGAATGCTGCTTACCACTTACCAGTCTAGGAATACAAATAATTGACAAAAATGGCGAAACAAAAACATAAAATGGTCTTGGGGAGGGCCACAAGAAATAAATTGGTATGGGTCGTCGTTAGATGAATTTCACATCGACAAAGTACGAGAAAGATTTATGGTTCATAAATAAGAAATAGGTCTTAACTGACAAGACCCGTTTTGGGATGAAAATGAAAAGTTTTTATAACTTCGAAAGTAAATGTGCTCCCTATGGAGCACTGCAAGAATGAGTGACGTTATGGGAAGTCATCTTGTTATGCACCACAAGGCAAAATCTGTGAGGGTTTAGCCTCAGAGCTAACTATATCTTGTGGAAAATAGTTCGAGATGTTATGGAAAAAAGGAGTAAATGCATAAAAAATAGAAAAAGAGTCATAAACTTACATGGATGAGTGTTTTTTTTTCATCAAACTATTTTAACACATGCTACAATGGACTTGCATAAACACCAATAACATTTTGCAAAATCATTACTTAAATGAAGGTATAAACACTTAAGATACTGAGGAACCAAAACAATAACAACTTTTCTATTCCACATTCTCAAATCTCACCACATGCTACAATAGATTTGCATGAACACTTTTCTAAAAATGCTTTTACAACTTAGAAATGGAATAAAAGCCCTCGTGTGTGTCATACTCATTTCCATCATTCCTAGCCTTTCTGCATTAATGGGGGCAATCATCAAATCCCATCATTCCTCCATAAAGCCATGTATTAGAGTAAACAATTTCACATTCTCTTTATTACAATTTGGTCACTTTTATGAACCTTGTTCAAGGATTGAAGGACACAACCATATATGTTTTCCTACATATATTTACAACAATAAGAAGGGTTTTTGGTTTGCATGTAATTAAACTCGAAGTAACTCATGAAATTAAATATTTGATTAGATCCATTTACCTTGAATAATCTATTTAATATGATCTAATTTGGTGGACCACATTGTTGTCTACCCTTAAAAAAGAAAGGGTGTCAAACTGTCAACAATTTGGCCTCGTCCATAACCGAATTGAACCAGGTCCAAAAGTAAAGGAAATTAGGTGCAAGTGCAACATCAAATAAAAATATCTTTATCCCCTTTTATACTTGAATATTTCATTAATCAGGATCGGACAATATCATATTTACTCTTATTTAGTTCATGAAAGTGAGTAGCAAAATGCATAATATGTGTTCCGATCCAAATAACGATTTGATCAGATTTAATTGGGACATGATCACATGGAATAGGAGTTGCAAAATTCTAGAATACAGAAGGAAGGGGCGAGGAACAAAGATCTGTTGAAATAAGTAATTAATTAAAATCTCATCCACACACGCCATCAACTCACGAGTCATACCTGACGAGTCGTTCTTTTATAATTACGTGAAAAAAACAACTTTCATCATCTTATCTTATCGTAACTCGGCGGCTACTCCAACTCAGTACCGACTGCTAAGTGCCAACAGTGAAGCTGAGCCAAGCGGAGCTCCCTCTCCATCACCCAGGTGCTCTTCACATTTCTCTTCCTTCCTTCCTTCCTTCTGCATTTAATCTCCCTGCTGTGAACTGCAGTTTCCGTTTTCCCCCAATCCTGTTTCACACTCTCTCGCTGACAGTGACACCTTTCCTTTCTTGTATTTGTATTTCCTGCAATGCCGATCGGAATTTGGATTCTGTAGATTTCGATTCTTCCGCCGGTTGAGGTTTTCGTTGCAGCCGGCGAATCCTTTGAGGGAGTGAGAGAGAAGGGGAATAATCAAGTGGAAGCAGAATGTGGAAGCTGAAGATAGCCGATGGAGGGAGTAATCCGTGGCTGAGGACTACGAACGATCATGTAGGAAGGCAAGTCTGGGAGTTCGATCCGAAGCTCGGATCTCCCGAGGAGCTCGCCGAGATTGAGCAAGTTCGTCAAGATTTCTACAAGAATCGGTTCCACAAGAAGCACAGCTCCGATCTCCTCATGCGCAAACAGGTGCTGCACAACAGTAGCTCTAGTAGTTTTTTTGAATTTGCTTTGTTTCTGCCGCCATTTCCTTTTCTTCTGCGGTGTTTTGAATGGTCACTCAGATGTCAAATAGTTGATGTTACTTTGCTTTGGCAGTTTGCAAAGGAGAATCCGCTGGTTAATGTGTTGCCTCAAGTGACGGTGAAAGAGAAAGAAGATGTTACAGAGGAGGCAGTGACCATAACTTTAAGAAGGGCTTTGGATAATTACTCGACGATCCAGGCTCATGATGGACACTGGCCAGGGGATTATGGAGGGCCTATGTTTCTCATGCCCGGTTTGGTAGGCTGCTTCTTCTGCTATGTTTAATTCGAAATACTGTCTGAGTAAACTAGCTTTGTGATATCAGGAACTGATTCTTTTTCTGCTGCTTATGCAATGGATCAGGTAATTACTCTGTCCGTGACAGGGGCATTGAATGCAGTTTTGTCAGAAGAACACAAGCGGGAGATGCGCCGGTACCTCTATAACCATCAGGTGTGTGAGATTTATGATGAGCATATTGTAATTTGCAGTTTATATGCCCCTTCCAGATCTTCTCAGTTCTTAGGACTACGAGATTTTAAATGTTGCAGAATGAAGATGGTGGGTGGGGCTTACATATCGAGGGACCTAGCACCATGTTTGGAAGCGTTCTCACTTATGTAACGTTGCGCTTGCTTGGTGAGGGAGCTAATGATGGAGAAGGAGCGATGGAGAAAGGGCGTGACTGGATCTTGAACCATGGTGGAGCTACTGCGATAACCTCGTGGGGGAAAATGTGGCTTTCAGTTCTGTAACTAACTTGAGCTTGTTCATTTTGTTTGTGGTGTTTAGTTATTACTTGATGGAATATATGTGTTGCTGTTTGATTGAACAGGTACTTGGAGTCTTTGACTGGTCTGGCAATAATCCCCTGCCCCCTGAGATATGGCTCCTTCCTTATATTCTCCCAATCCATCCAGGTTAGCTACTTTTTTGTCTTTATGATGGTTGAGTACCTGAGTTAGAATGTGCATTATTTCTACTGGGAAGTTTTAAGCCCATTGTTCTACACTATGATAGTTGAGATTGACTTGCGATTCTCATCTCGGAGGAACCTGTGTTACAATGGATATGTGACATGCTTTTTTGAGTTCCATTCATTTTTTTGCCATAACTTAAAGGCATAATACTTCATGTAGCTTTCTGTCACATATTAAATCAAACACCATTTCCCTCGTTGTGCAGGAAGGATGTGGTGTCATTGCCGGATGGTCTATTTGCCTATGTCCTATTTGTATGGGAAAAGGTTTGTTGGTCCCATCACCCCAACAGTTTTATCATTGAGAAAGGAACTTTTCAATGTACCGTTCCATGAAGTTGACTGGAATCTTGCCCGGAATGAATGTGCAAAGGTCAGTAAATCTTGAATGCTTCACTCTTGATTGGAGGAATTTTGTAGTGAGGAAAACTTCTTAACTGTTCTGTTGATCATTGTAGTCATTTGTATGAGCATATTTGAATAGATGACGCAATTTTTTTTTTTTTTTTGAATTGCAAGTGCTTATTGCTTCAATTGTGGTGGCAGGAAGATCTCTACTACCCACACCCTCTCATTCAAGATATGCTCTGGGGGTTCCTTCACAAGTTCGTTGAACCTATTCTGATGACCTGGCCTGGAAAGAAGTTGAGAGAAAAGGCACTTCAGACTACAATGGAGCACATACACTATGAAGATGAAAATACCCGTTACATTTGCATAGGACCTGTAAATAAGGTGTGCATCTTGAATTATCAGTTTCATTAAAAATAGTCATGTCTACTTAAATGGCAACTATGCAGAATGTATTGGCAGATGCTGTATTTTATCCTTCATTTGGTTTCTTTCCTTGTGAGGTTTATGATATGAGTTGCAGTTTGATTTTGTACTTCCTTTTGATTTGTAACTAACTAGGCAATTATTGATTGGATATATGAGTTCCACAGTAGGGTGGTCAATTGCATGGTTGTATCTTCAATTCTTCCATTTGACTTTGAGCCCTTCAATGTACAGGTATTAAATATGCTCTGTTGTTGGGTGGAGGATCCAAACTCGGAAGCTTTTAAGCTGCATCTTCCAAGAATACCTGATTACCTTTGGGTTGCTGAAGATGGAATGAAAATGCAGGTCCAGCACTTGACTATTTATCTCAACTTTCTTTTCCCAAAACTTGCTATATTGATATTTGATAGTCCCTAGTTATTTTGGTAACTTTTGGGATCTCAGAAACCATAGTTATGGTTACCTGCTTCTAAATTGTTTGATGATCGACGTGATATATGATATATCACAGGGGTATAATGGAAGTCAGGCATGGGATACTTCATTTGCTGTTCAAGCAATTCTATCAACCAATCTTATTGAAGAGTATAGTTCATCACTTAAAAAAGCACACACATATGTGAAAAACTCACAGGTATTCCCTTGCCATCTGAAGTCGAAAAAATTCCTTTTATTTGCAGAGATTGGGAATTTGTTTTTACATAATTGTCAGATAAATGTTAGAGCTTATGATATTGAATTGTAACCTTATTCACGATATCTATGCATACAAGGTTTTGGACGATTGCCCTGGTGACCTTGATTATTGGTACAGACACATTTCTAAAGGTGCATGGCCTTTCTCAACTGCTGACCATGGATGGCCTATCTCAGACTGCACAGCAGAGGGATTAAAAGTAACGTCAAATGAATTTGAAGTTGTTTCTGTTTTCTTGCGTTGATTGCCTTAACTAATACAGCTGCCCTATCTAGGCTGCTCTTTTACTATCACAAATGCCATCAGAGCTTGTTGGGGAACCATTGAAAGCTCAGAGATTTTATGATGCTGCAAATGTGATTTTGTCATTACAGGTACCTTTTAATTTAAGCTCATAATAAATTGTGATCTGTGTGTTAAAATATGCAGAGTTTCTTGAAACATTGATTGGTGGTTCAAGAACTAATAAAACCAAAATGTATAGCTTACTCTTTGTGTTTCCACTCATTAATGTATGTAATCTTATTGTTGCTTCATCCTTGTTAGAATGCTGATGGTAGCTTCGCTACGTATGAGCTCACAAGATCCTATAGTTGGTTGGAGGTAGGTAGTCTCTTTGGCTTGCACAAATATTATACCTTAACATCTTCCACTTCTAGTAGACATTTAGCAGCTCATGTTAGACTTTAATTCCCAGCTTTTCATGGTCATCTTTGTTTCCGATTTTGACTTTGTTCCTCTTGCTCATTGTTAGTTGATCAACCCAGCTGAAACATTTGGTGACATCGTTATTGATTACCCGTAAGTTACCTTTTAAAGATTATCGGTGCCATCTTTTCTATATTGTTATTCTTAAAACTCTGGTGCTAGCTGTAACGTCTCTTTAGTTATGTTGAATGTACTTCAGCTGCGATTCAAGCCTTAGTACCATTCAAGAAACTTTATCCTGGACATCGGATAGCAGAAGTGGATGGTTGTATCAAGAAGGCTGTTGCATTCATTGAATCCATTCAGGCTACAGATGGCTCATGGTATGTGAACTTGTCCCAGAAAAGTTTCTATTACAATACCTATATTTGAGAGCATTGAGGTGCTTATTCTGAAAACCTGAAGTTGTTTAAAAGGTATGGTTCCTGGGCCGTTTGCTTTACGTATGCTACATGGTTTGGCATAAAAGGATTGGTTGCTGCTGGAAAGAACTTCGACAATAGCTCTTGCATCCGGAAAGCATGTAACTTTCTGTTGTCCAAGCAGTGTCCTTCTGGTGGCTGGGGAGAGAGCTACCTTTCATGTGTAAACAAGGTTGGTTGTATTTTCTACTCGCTTTTACTGTTAGCTTACAGTTTTAACAAAAGTTGACAGAACTTACAACGATGTAACCTGGAGCATTTAGTGATTGACTGTTTCTTTGAAAGATTTGTAAAACATTGTCCTTGATCTCTTTATATACAGGTATATAGTAATCTTGAAGGTGACAGGGGCCACGTGGTAAATACCGGATGGGCGATGTTGGCTCTGATTGCTGCTGGCCAGGTAGGCGCACACAAGTTTCAGTTCATTAAGATGAACTTATGCCAACTCGATGCGCTGTTTATTTCTTTCCAAGTTGCCAAATTCCCTTTTTTCATTTTTTGTTTGGTTGAGCAGGCTGAGAGAGACCCAGCGCCACTGCACCGTGCAGCCAGATTCTTGATAAATTCCCAAATGGAGAATGGAGATTTCCCGCAGGAGGTAATGTTGTCACATTCTCAACTTTGCTAAGGTTGACTTTGGACAACACATATTTCATAGTCCTAATCATACCGCGGTGCCTGGAAAATGCAGGAAATCATGGGAGTTTTCAATAGGAACTGTATGATTAGCTACTCAGCTTACAGAGACATTTTCCCGATTTGGGCGTTGGGAGAATACAGAACCCGAGTCCTTCATGCGTTGTAAGATTGATCGTTGTCTTCCAACAAATCGAAATACCATTTCCAACAACTGCTGGTTTCTTGGTCCTGAGTGTTGGCCATCATCGACTTGCACTTTAATGCTGCGCCTTATCCTCCTTGATGGATTTGCAGTGTGTTAACGGGCATCAATCATTTCCATTTTCCAGTAGTCTTCTTCAGAAAGAAAAACAAACAAAACGTGGTTCGCTGTAGTTCAGCATTTACTCTTTGGTTCGTGTTACCAGAACAATGTCTTGGTTTCTAGAGGTTCAAAGTGTAGTGTTAATGGATTAGTCTAATTCTCACTTTAGCATTACTTTCTACTGATAACTAACTTGCCTGTGCAGACTCTTGTTACAGAGTGATTTTGTTGTGCGTCTTAAACTTACACTAGTTTGAAATTTGTTAATGTGAATGTCATCTTTTCAAATGGGTGCACCAATCAGTAACAATCGAGTCATAAGGAAATGATACAAGATATACTTTTGGAACTCATGATATTTAAGTTATTGAGATTCGGACCAACTAATTCTTGACACAATATCAGAACCTTTAATCGAAATCCCTCGTGTTCCATCCGAGTGGCCCCAAATAGTGCAACAAGTGCTACTATGCCAACTCGAACATGGAAAATTTGCCAATATATCGGTTTCGGTACAATATTGTTGATGTCTTTTTATGCTAATAGTCGATTATTTCGGCGACGGCCTTTCAGTACCAATGCCGAATTTATAAATCATTTGCAGCAGGGGTTGTAGAATGCTGACGGTAGCTTCGCTACATAAGGTCCTATAGTTGGATGGAGGTAGTCTCTTTGGCTTGCAAATACTGTACTGGTAGCTTATGAACATCTACCAAGCAGTGTTCTTCGGGTGGTTGGGGAGAGAGCTACCTCTCATGTGTAAACAAGGTTAGTTGCGTTTTGTACTCGGCTGTGCTATTGCTTGCATTTAGACCTCACTGACAGATCATATAACCTGGAGCAGTTCGACGATTGACTTGTTCTGTAAGGATTTGTATACCATTGTCCTTGATCTCTTCATATACCAGGTATATAGCAATCTTGAAGGTGACAGAGGCCACGTTGTAAATACTGGATGGGCGATGTTGGCTCTCATCAGTTCACTGCTGGCCAGGTAGATGCAGACACCAGTTTCACTTACCTTCGGATAAAACTTAGGCAAACCTTGATGTGATGTTCTTTACTTTCCTTTGTGTTGCTGGATTGTGAAGTTATGCATGTTGGCATCTGAACTCTTATTGCATTGCTTTTCCCCTGCGCTATTTTTTTGGTTTGTTTTAGCAGGCTGAGAGAGACTCAACACCGTTGCACCGTGCAGCCAGATTCTTGATAAATTCTCAAATGGAGAACGGAGATTTTCTGCAGGAGGTAACACTGTTGTTTCATCCTTAACTTTCATATGATGGTTGGTCGCGTGCTCTACTTGGTAGGGCTGTAACTGTGGCCCTTACTACCCGTCAGCCCAGCCCGGCCCAGCCCAACCCTATGGGTCGGGTAGGGTCAATCAGTCTTTAGGGCCAAAATAGGGTCGGGTCACATTCTGACCCTAGAGGGTAGGGTATTTTTGGGTTTTACCCTTAAAACCCATTCAGACCCATTTTTGACCCATTTTAACCCTAAAATCCATTTCAGCCCCATCTCTTCTTTCCGCTAACATCTCCTGATCGCATAATCGAGCCAACACCTCCGCCGTATCTCCTTCATCCTCTGCGCCGATCCGGCACTCAGGTTCGCCCTCCGCCGCCGCCCTCTCCTGCCCCCCCGCCGCAGCAGGCAGCAGCTTCCCTTCCTCGTTCTCGCACCCCGTCGTCTCCCCGGCGCGGTTGAAATCGCACGACGTGTCGTCGAAGGAGAAGCGCCTGGAGGAGTAGCAGAAGCTCTCCGTTTCGTCGACGACGCCGTCTTCTCCTTCCTCCTCCTCCTTCTCGTCTCGGGGGCGACCACGGCGCTGGGTTTTTTCACATCCGCTGGAGATTGATGGGTGTGGAGGGAAAATAGACCCAACCCAGCTCTGAATCGGATCCCAGCTTCTCTGCTCCCCAAACCCAGGTTCGACTCACTTTTCGTATCTTAGTGTGTAATTAGTGTGTAATTAGCATTGGAGCCCAGAAACAACGCTGCTCCTCGCCTTAACCCACGCCAGCTCCTTCAATTCTAGCCTGTAAACCTCCACATGATCCACCGTCTCCATAGATCTAGTCGAACACAGAAAAACCAGCACTACTTTCCCTTCTGATTCCACCAAACACTCCCTGAACCCCGGCGTAGCGGCCACATCTGAATCAGGAACCACTCTCTCCTTGCCCAATTTCGTAATCCGCTGATCGAAGTTCACATCTTCTTCTACAACAGCGAGCGTGCCTTCCACACTCAAAGCATAGAATCTGTCCTGAAACCAGATCCCATTGCCGAATCGCATCCAACTTAGGGATGGCAGTTCAACACGGACCCGCGGGTACCCGACCCGACCCAACCCGGTCAAACCGGGTAAAACCCATGTTGACTGGGTTCGGGCCGGGTTCGGGTTTAAACCCGGTGACTGTTTGGGTGGGTTGGGGCGGGTTCGGGTTTGAGGGAACCCGACCCGTGGATACCCGGACATATGGAGAAGAGAGGGGATTAAACCTAAACCTAAATCCCTAATCGACCAAGAGTACTCGGCAGCCCCTCTCCTTTCTCCCAAAGACTTCTGCCGCCCCTCTCCTTTCGCAAATCGCGATCTCCAGTCATCCCTACCAGAACCAGAGTCCAGTCTCCAGTCCGGCACGGCGAACTCTCCTACGCGGCCGCCGCGCCTACGACTCCACTCCCGATTCCGTCCCGGCGAACTCTCCTTTCTCCTCTGCTACGCGGCCGCGCCTCCGACTCCTCTCCCGATTTCAGACTTCAGTCACGACGCCCTCTCCCTGCTCCTCGGCGCGCGCCTCCAACTCCACTCCCGCCGCCCTCCCCCGCCGGCCTCCCCCGCCGGCCTCTCCTTGGTCTTCTGCTCCGCGAGAGCACTTCTGCAAAGGTAAGCATACAGGCTTCATTCCCCTCGAACGACCCTCTACCTTATTGTTCTTAGCCAACGTTGACTGCCAGGGGTCAACAACCACAAGCCTAGAACCTTGTCGTCCCTCTATTCCCTTCGATTAGCCCGCTGCCCTGTTGCTTTACATCGTCGTCAACCATAAGCACCTAGTAGCCACAAACCCAGAACCTTCTCATTGTCGTCCACTTACCCTTTACCTAGCCCTCTACCATGCTGCTCTTTGTCGTTGTTGACTGCTAGTGCCAAGTGGCCACTAGTTGTGAATCGTGATTCCTGACTCACCACTTTCTAAATCATCCTTCTCCTCTTCTGAAAGATTTAACTTTTTTCTCTTAATACCTTTGGATGTAAGTCCGCATTTTTATCTGGATTGATTTCTCTGGTATTTTGCTTGATTATCCAAAGCTTGATGATGAAGAAAAATGGAATATAGTTTGGTTGTTGAATTTCAATTCATGGAACTAAAAATGTGTCTTCAGGTTCTCTGATACTTTCCAGAATCAGTCTATATCATGCTTTATGATTCTCAATTGATGAACTTCTTCCTGATAGCTCAAGAGGCTCTAGTAGTTTTTCCAAGCAGCAGGGTTTGTGCTAAGCTGCTTTACTATGTAGGCTGGCCCTGGCTTGTTATAATCAAGATATACTGCACTGACTTAACTGTTATTGAATTTTGCATTAACCAAGCACCTAACATGCTCTGCCACTTTTCTTAGTGTTGTGATCGAAATTGATTGGTTTAAAGTATCCAAGATCTTGATCTGAACCCTTTGATGGTCACAGGTAATGAAGCCAGTGTGAAATGGAGGACACTGACTGAAGAACATGCAAGAGACAGCTTTGAAAACCTTCTCTTCAGTGTATGCCGGTTCAGAGAGCTTACTGGAACTTATCCTCAAAATATAACGGTATGTGCCAATATGTAGCTTTAGAAACAATGATTTCATATAGAGGGTTTAAGCTAAAACTTTTAAAACGGCACATGATTTCAGTAGATAATATACACTTAGCTCATTCTCTGCTGCCCCATCCTTCATAGTGTTGATAATATATCATCTCACAACATATTCTATAAAGAGAAAAATAAGTCCAAATTCGTTCTCTGCCTTTCTTGTAGCAATTATGAACTATCAGTATAAATATTTTTATTTTTAATAGCTTCTTGTTAATTATAATTTTATAAATATTTTACCAAAAAAACCCGCGGGTAACCCATCAACCCGCGGATACCCAGCGGGTTGGGTTGGGTTTGAGTTTTTCAAACCCAGCGGGTTTTACCCCGGGTTTTTTTGACGGACAAACCCATGGGTTTGGGTTCGGGTTTGGCAAAACCCGCCCCAACCCGACCCATTGCCATCCCTAATCCAACTCCCACGGGAACAATGTGTGTAATCTGCTACTTTGAGTGGATGAATTTACAATAGATAAATGCTTGTCACTTGGAATAGATGATCATCTCACTCTTATCATTCTGATGCCTCCAAGGATAAGTCTAACAGAGGAGGTTTCATCTGTGCCTTGTCCCTTCTCTTAAACTTCCCTTTCCTTTCTGTCTTTAAACCCAAGGCCTCATCAACTGCTTTTCTGCTATATAGGACCGGAGTGTTATGAAAGTACCTGTTCAAGATAACAAAATGGTTTCCTCATTCCAGGCCGAAAGTAGAAAATGTTATCACAAACAAAGATAAATGAAACACAAGAAAAGTCTAAAAGGAAAAGGGGAAAGACAGCACCAGAAAGGAAGATCGAGATATCAAAAGTAGCCCAGAGTTTTTTTGCTATACGCTTGTAAAATTCAGTTAAACATATTCCTTTTTATGCCTCCTTTGACTAACCAAATGCCTGGTTAGAGAAGGACTGTAGAGCAAGATGATGCTACCACGATACTACAACATCAAAACCGAAGTAGCTTCTCCTCGCTTCTAACTCTAATTACACAAAATCCAATGGGAAAATCCAGAAGATTGAATCAGAAGAAACAGAAAAGGTGGTAGAATCACTAATAATCTTTGTAGCCAAAGAACAGAGGTGAGGGATTGCAAGAGAGTAGTGAAACTATGATCCACATGAAAGATGAATATAAACATACCGGATGAAGGATTCTTTAGTCAGAACATTGCCATGAGAAGCGCCAGGTAAAAGAGAGCCACTAGTAAAGCCTGCAACTCATATGTTATACAAGTGAGCCATGATAGTGAAACAAAACTTTCTTAACCACAGCTCCAGAACACCAACACAAGCACTACCCTTGAGGATTAAGATCGTCATTTATAGAAGAAAATCAAGTCAATTGATATCCTAGATTAAGAGTTGCCGTGCAGTTAATGCCTTATACTGCCGCTCGGGCAAGCTTTTACAAAATGATTCAGTACAGTAGACAAGATAAACTCACTAAACTGGAAAGGCAGAACTTCTGCTATTAAGATATGATAATGAACCAAACAAGAAAGCAGACAATAGGCTTTTGTCAAAACATATCATTGAAGCAAGTGAACATCCAGATTGCAGGTTACCTTGTCTACAATTAGCAGCTGAAACTGATCTCACTGTGAAGTCAAGGTTACCTTTAGAGGTTGACCCAACTACATGTTCTTGAGATGACAAAATGACGCGTCTGCCAAGAGGAGACCGAATACCCTGAAAAACAGAGAGTAAGATATAACTTTGTCAATGCCAGACCTACCATTACAGAGTTTCACATTCGAAACCATATCTATGGATAATAAATTGACAAATACAATACATCAGCTAAGCTAAGTATCCCGTTTCTGGGACCGAGGAAAGGAAGTACAATGCTGATAGGAAGTACAATAATAGGAGATCTCTTCCTAAAAGGTATAATATCACCATAACCAGAATGAATCTGAAAAGTCGAGGGCAAAGCCAAGAACTTAATGCATAACCAAGGGATTTATGTAATCAGCAATATCAAGCATAATATTGCACTTTACGGTCCCAAGATATAAGCCAATATGAGGGTTTGAGTTTACCTAAGCCAATAGTTCTTAGTTCAAAAGAACAGTAATCATATAATGTACGATAAAGGCATCAATGATAAGTGTCTCAACTCTCAATCACAAACACAGTCCATCATCTCAATTGAAATCTCATAAGCTCGGCAATGCTTTGTGAAAGTCCTAGACAAGAAGGTTCAAGAACACAATCTACCTTATCACCAATCGCTCTCCAAGCCATTGACAAGCTTCTGCAACTCTGCACAAACCATCAGGAAGAAAACAATCAGTTAGAAAGCATCGAGCACCAACACCCCCAATAGAATAAGGGAAAGACAAGCAAGCTTGTGGCCTTATCGGCTTCCAAGATACCATTGATTTCTTGGGAAGACATCTATTGCCCTTTACACTCCATAACCAATTAGCTTTTTCTCGTTACAAAACTTGTTACATAAACCAGAACATAGAACTCAAATTTCCATATCCAATTACTTATTCTAGTCCCACCCCATCTTAGTAAGCAGGCAAAAGAACCAAACTTTCTATCCATCTTCCATAAATTATAAACAACCCAAGAGGAAGGCGCCAACCCAAACTGAACCCTTCTCATTGATACACAAGCTACAATGCTTACCTTCCGGCAACAAAAACAAACAGCGCCACGGACGAATCACCGCTGCAAGCCAATTACCAACTACGGAACGGATCCTTAACGAAGAGCTCGCAATTCATGAACCAAACTAGTCCGCTTCGCATCAATGAGATCCTCAACGACCGAAAGCTGTCTCCGCTGCCCCGTGTATCCAAAAGATTCAAACTTGGAAGCTGTGTTTATGAAATTTAGCGGATAACAGGGACAGGCGGGAGCCGAGGTTCTCCCGGCCGCAACTGCTACTCCGGAAAGACGGTCCGGTCCGGGTTTCAGGTTTGATGTGAAGCTGCGAGTGGGGAAGGGATTATCTCACAAGTCGTAACACATTTTTAAGGAGTATCAAACAAGCCCTCTGCTTTAGGTCATATACAAACTAACACCTCTACTTTAATTTTGTAACTAAAAACGTGAAACGCCCCCTCCATTTTCCATATGATATGAGTGATTGACTATAAAAAAAAAAAAAAAGAAATTTCCATGTGGGTGCTTGGTTATAAATTAATAAAAATTTCATATGGGTGAGTGACTCTGTCTTAGGATGCCCTAAAATTAGTGATGTTAATGGGGCATGTGAGTATCTTAGTACATACTTGTCCGCATTAAGTAGGATCGGGTAATACCAGTGCGAGTGAGTATGGACGGATAGACTTATTATTGTTATGTATTATTGAAAGAGTTTTTTTATTTTTTAACGATAAAATAAAGAAAAAATAGTTCATAAATAACAGTTTGAGATAATAGGTAGGTTTATTTAGTTCAATTAGTGAAAAGAAGTCTTCACTTATCTAAAGTATCATTGGATGAAAATATGAGTTCAAATAAATCAAAATAGGATAAAAATAGATATTGGGACAAATTGAAATAGAACGAGTCAAGAACTAAGCGAAAGTGCGGGATGAAAGTAGTACACATGCTCGCCCCAAGCAGTCGGATATTAATCACTCAGTATGGATCAAGTCGTGTAATACCCGACAGAGCGAAATCAAATTAGCATAACTACCTAAAACGTAAAAAAGTTTATTATGGCGTAATTGTAAACAAATTTCATCCAACTTGAGCAATCAAATCCATTGAAGCAATCTCTTGGAGGCATAACTTTATTAAGAAATCGAGTGAGATTTTTTACATTAAGGTGACAAATGAATGTTTCTATTTAGCTGTGGGAACATTTTGTTGAATGGGAAAAAAGACGGATCAAGGACGGGCTGTAAATAGAGTGCCAAATCAAGGGACTAGTTTGTTTTACGATTAATTTGAGCAGCAATTTGTATCACATTAGACTTGTTCTGTATTGCGGTTTTTACAAAAGCAGCTTCTTGTTGGAGCTTCCAAGAAAAAAACAACTGTTTGATGGAAAAACTACGTTGCTTTTCACATAGAAATTTTTTGTTCAGCATGAAAAGCAATTGAGTGTACACAGACGTTAGACATACACCAAATGCAAAAATGATCAATCACAAAAGTCACCACTTGAATTCCACAAACATTTTTTTCGTTCTGTTTATTATTGCATACACTAACGAAAACAACAGAATTCTCTACGAATAGCAAGTTATTTGGCAAACACGAAAAAAATACACAACCCCAAACAATCGGTGATATGTTCTACAAAACCATCGAGTTTCTGGACATAAGAGTTGGCAATTCATAATACGTGAAAACAATTATACAATCACGGACATCAAGCAGCAACCTGGCTGAAGAGTAACTTGCGGATCTGCAACACACAACAAGAACAAGCAAAGAATTCAGTTCAGGTTGGAAAGGTAATCCACATTAATCCACACCAAACAGTTTTCAACAGTCGTCGACATGCGAATCTATTTCAGGAATGGAGGTGAACAGGAACGTTCATCCTAAGATTCAACTTTCAGGAATCCCAATAGCTGGGAAGCAAGAGTTCTATTATCAAGCGATAATGGAAGGAAGGCAGAGGCAGGGTAAGACGTTATACGAAAACGCTCTATGGGGAGGAAGTTAAAGCATGGAGTGCTTGTTCCTGCTCTAGAAAAGAAGTGAATGGGAAAAGGTTTGATTTAATCAATGAAACAAATACACATTTTACATTCCAAATTTAGCAACAATTCGTCCTATTCCTCATAGCTTACTCAAATCCCAAAGTCACATCAATAAATTAAATCTCGTTTCCAACTTTGTTCCTTTGCAACAAGAATCTACTTGCCTGTAATAGTTACCTGATTTTTATTATATCGTTTTTAAACACACACCCATCCTATTAGTTACCTTGCATTGCTGTAAACATTTCATAGCCATCAATTCTACTTTTTCTAGAACTCGATCAAATCCTAATCGGAAAGGAAAATGAACTCAGCCAATCCTGATTCATTTCTTCTACCAAACATAATAGTGTCAACTCTCTGTTGGAAGAATGTAAAAATAGAGAGAATAACAGTGTTCATACCACGGGGAGCTTCTGACGGAACACAACATCCAGACGTGCATCGAGGGTATTCTCAAACACGATCTTTCCATCTCGGGACGCCAGGACCACACCTCCAGAGCTAAGCCAGAAAACATTGAAAGTTATCAGGAGAAGGATTTGATTGATCTGCAAACCTCTAAACAAATCCACTACTATACTATTAAATTTAATGTTAACCATAAACTTACCAAGAAAGAGCATGAACATTGTGGTGGCTAGGAGCAGGTGGCAGATAGATTTGATGGTCCAACAGAATTTCTGGTGCATGAACCTGTGCCTTTTCAGCATATTCCTCTTTGGCGGATTCCAAGACAGATTCTACCAGATTGACGTCCGCCTCACGGCATCGCAGCAAGACAGCAGGTTCCTTCAGTCTAAGCAAGCTCTGCAACCAGCCAGAACGTTGCATAGCAATATCAGAACCGAAGACAACTAAAGTCTCACATGACCATATGTAGGCAATATTTTCTCCAACCGCACCAAGGAAAGCAAACCCATGTGCGGTAACAAATCAGGAACAATGTAGGTTTATGGTCTACAAAGAATAAACATTCACAAGATGTTGACACATCAAACAGAAGAGTAATTCATTATAAAAAAGGTATCTTTCCGGTCTCAATGATGTATTCTGGTCATCTCTCATAACCCAGTATATGACTGCACATGTATTGCTCACCTGAACTATGAGATCCTGCAGAAGCTTCTTGTACTTATAATCGTCACCACTCACATTCAGAAGATCCTTAGCTGCTGACTCTTTCATGGAATTGACCACATCACTCTTTCATGGAATTGCTCAAGTTGGATGAAATTTGTTTACAATTACGCCATAATAAACTTTTTTACGTTTTAGGTAGTTATGCTAATTTGATTTCGCTCTGTCGGGTATTACCCGACTTGATCCATACTGAGTGATTAATATCCGACTGCTTGGGGCGAGCATGTGTACTACTTTCATCCCGCACTTTCGCTTAGTTCTTGACTCGTTCTATTTCAATTTGTCCCAATATCTATTTTTATCCTATTTTGATTTATTTGAACTCATATTTTCATCCAATGATACTTTAGATAAGTGAAGACTTCTTTTCACTAATTGAACTAAATAAACCTACCTATTATCTCAAACTGTTATTTATGAACTATTTTTTCTTTATTTTATCGTTAAAAAATAAAAAAACTCTTTCAATAATACATAACAATAATAAGTCTATCCGTCCATACTCACTCGCACTGGTATTACCCGATCCTACTTAATGCGGACAAGTATGTACTAAGATACTCACATGCCCCATTAACATCACTAATTTTAGGGCATCCTAAGACAGAGTCACTCACCCATATGAAATTTTTATTAATTTATAACCAAGCACCCACATGGAAATTTCTTTTTTTTTTTTTTTATAGTCAATCACTCATATCATATGGAAAATGGAGGGGGCGTTTCACGTTTTTAGTTACAAAATTAAAGTAGAGGTGTTAGTTTGTATATGACCTAAAGCAGAGGGCTTGTTTGATACTCCTTAAAAATGTGTTACGACTTGTGAGATAATCCCTTCCCCACTCGCAGCTTCACATCAAACCTGAAACCCGGACCGGACCGTCTTTCCGGAGTAGCAGTTGCGGCCGGGAGAACCTCGGCTCCCGCCTGTCCCTGTTATCCGCTAAATTTCATAAACACAGCTTCCAAGTTTGAATCTTTTGGATACACGGGGCAGCGGAGACAGCTTTCGGTCGTTGAGGATCTCATTGATGCGAAGCGGACTAGTTTGGTTCATGAATTGCGAGCTCTTCGTTAAGGATCCGTTCCGTAGTTGGTAATTGGCTTGCAGCGGTGATTCGTCCGTGGCGCTGTTTGTTTTTGTTGCCGGAAGGTAAGCATTGTAGCTTGTGTATCAATGAGAAGGGTTCAGTTTGGGTTGGCGCCTTCCTCTTGGGTTGTTTATAATTTATGGAAGATGGATAGAAAGTTTGGTTCTTTTGCCTGCTTACTAAGATGGGGTGGGACTAGAATAAGTAATTGGATATGGAAATTTGAGTTCTATGTTCTGGTTTATGTAACAAGTTTTGTAACGAGAAAAAGCTAATTGGTTATGGAGTGTAAAGGGCAATAGATGTCTTCCCAAGAAATCAATGGTATCTTGGAAGCCGATAAGGCCACAAGCTTGCTTGTCTTTCCCTTATTCTATTGGGGGTGTTGGTGCTCGATGCTTTCTAACTGATTGTTTTCTTCCTGATGGTTTGTGCAGAGTTGCAGAAGCTTGTCAATGGCTTGGAGAGCGATTGGTGATAAGGTAGATTGTGTTCTTGAACCTTCTTGTCTAGGACTTTCACAAAGCATTGCCGAGCTTATGAGATTTCAATTGAGATGATGGACTGTGTTTGTGATTGAGAGTTGAGACACTTATCATTGATGCCTTTATCGTACATTATATGATTACTGTTCTTTTGAACTAAGAACTATTGGCTTAGGTAAACTCAAACCCTCATATTGGCTTATATCTTGGGACCGTAAAGTGCAATATTATGCTTGATATTGCTGATTACATAAATCCCTTGGTTATGCATTAAGTTCTTGGCTTTGCCCTCGACTTTTCAGATTCATTCTGGTTATGGTGATATTATACCTTTTAGGAAGAGATCTCCTATTATTGTACTTCCTATCAGCATTGTACTTCCTTTCCTCGGTCCCAGAAACGGGATACTTAGCTTAGCTGATGTATTGTATTTGTCAATTTATTATCCATAGATATGGTTTCGAATGTGAAACTCTGTAATGGTAGGTCTGGCATTGACAAAGTTATATCTTACTCTCTGTTTTTCAGGGTATTCGGTCTCCTCTTGGCAGACGCGTCATTTTGTCATCTCAAGAACATGTAGTTGGGTCAACCTCTAAAGGTAACCTTGACTTCACAGTGAGATCAGTTTCAGCTGCTAATTGTAGACAAGGTAACCTGCAATCTGGATGTTCACTTGCTTCAATGATATGTTTTGACAAAAGCCTATTGTCTGCTTTCTTGTTTGGTTCATTATCATATCTTAATAGCAGAAGTTCTGCCTTTCCAGTTTAGTGAGTTTATCTTGTCTACTGTACTGAATCATTTTGTAAAAGCTTGCCCGAGCGGCAGTATAAGGCATTAACTGCACGGCAACTCTTAATCTAGGATATCAATTGACTTGATTTTCTTCTATAAATGACGATCTTAATCCTCAAGGGTAGTGCTTGTGTTGGTGTTCTGGAGCTGTGGTTAAGAAAGTTTTGTTTCACTATCATGGCTCACTTGTATAACATATGAGTTGCAGGCTTTACTAGTGGCTCTCTTTTACCTGGCGCTTCTCATGGCAATGTTCTGACTAAAGAATCCTTCATCCGGTATGTTTATATTCATCTTTCATGTGGATCATAGTTTCACTACTCTCTTGCAATCCCTCGCCTCTGTTCTTTGGCTACAAAGATTATTAGTGATTCTACCACCTTTTCTGTTTCTTCTGATTCAATCTTCTGGATTTTCCCATTGGATTTTGTGTAATTAGAGTTAGAAGCGAGGAGAAGCTACTTCGGTTTTGATGTTGTAGTATCGTGGTAGCATCATCTTGCTCTACAGTCCTTCTCTAACCAGGCATTTGGTTAGTCAAAGGAGGCATAAAAAGGAATATGTTTAACTGAATTTTACAAGCGTATAGCAAAAAAACTCTGGGCTACTTTTGATATCTCGATCTTCCTTTCTGGTGCTGTCTTTCCCCTTTTCCTTTTAGACTTTTCTTGTGTTTCATTTATCTTTGTTTGTGATAACATTTTCTACTTTCGGCCTGGAATGAGGAAACCATTTTGTTATCTTGAACAGGTACTTTCATAACACTCCGGTCCTATATAGCAGAAAAGCAGTTGATGAGGCCTTGGGTTTAAAGACAGAAAGGAAAGGGAAGTTTAAGAGAAGGGACAAGGCACAGATGAAACCTCCTGTTGAAGCTAAATACGTGCCCCCTAAACTAACACAATATATGAAGTCCTCTCAAGCTAAAATGGTCGACATATTTGAAGGCATGACCATCGTTGAACTTGCCAAGCGTACTGGTGAGTCAATCAGCACCTTACAGGATGTTCTTCTTAATGTTGGGGAAAAGCCCGGGTCAGAGTTTGATCCTCTCAGCATTGATGTTGCGGAGCTCATTGCTATGGTACTTCTCTTTTCTCATTATGCCCCAAAGAAAAGCATAACCATGCTAGCTAACAGAGTGGGAACAAATACTTCTGTAATCTCTAGTATACTACCGACAGAATTTGAATAATTTCAGTTATTTGATTATCAATACTTTTCTGGGTGGAAGTTCATGATCAATGCTCCACATAGACTCTAGGGCTAGGGTTGTTAGGACTCTTACAAGATAGTAGTTCTATTTCATCATCATCATCATCATCTTTCTTAGACCAAAATACTTTTTGCCTGTTTAGAAGCTTACAGGAAATGGCTTCGTATTGGTTCTTGCAGGAGGTTGGGGTTAATGTCAAGAGGCAACATTCATCCGAAGGCTCACAAATCCTTCCACGACCTCCAGTTGTTACAGTCATGGGTCATGTTGACCACGGAAAGACATCTCTCCTGGATGCCCTGCGCCAAACAGCTGTGGCTGCCACTGAAGCTGGTGGAATAACTCAGCACCTTGGTGCTTTCGTGGTAGGGATGACTTCTGGGGCATCAATCACATTTCTCGACACGCCAGGCCATGCTGCATTCAGTGCGATGCGAGCAAGAGGTGCAGCAGTCACCGACATTGTTGTTCTTGTAGTTGCTGCTGATGATGGGGTGATGCCTCAAACATTGGAAGCTGTGTCCCATGCAAAATTAGCCAATGTGCCAATTGTGGTTGCTATCAACAAATGTGACAAGCCAGCTGCGGACCCAGAGAGAGTCAAAGTCCAGTTGGCATCAGAGGGTTTGCAGCTAGAGGAAATGGGCGGTGATGTCCAGGTAGTTGAAGTCTCCGCTGTTAAGAAAACTGGGTTGGATGACTTGGAGGAATGCTTGCTTCTTCAAGCAGAGTTGATGAACCTGAAAGCTCGTGTCGATGGTCCAGCTCAAGCTTATGTTGTGGAGGCAAAACTCGACAAAGGTCGTGGACCACTGGCCACAGCAATAGTGAAGGCAGGAACCTTGGTCTCTGGGCAGCACATTGTGGTGGGGTCAGAGTGGGGGAGAATAAGAGCTATAAGGGATATGGTAGGGAAGTTGGCACAGCAGGCGACACCTGCAATGCCAGTTGTGCTTGAAGGGCTGAAGGGGCTTCCTATGGCTGGAGACGATATCGTTGTTGTGGAGTCCGAGGAGAGAGCTAGAATGCTGAGTGCTGGTAGGAAAAAGAAGTTCGAGAAAGATCGGCTGAGACAGATTATGGAGGACAGGCCTGTGGTTGAGGAACCATCAGAAGAAGACGGGCCTGTAGCTGTAAGGGTTGAGATGCCGATTGTAGTGAAAGCAGATGTTCAAGGAACTGTCCAGGCTGTCACTGATGCTTTGAAGACTTTGAACAGTCCTCAGGTATTATATGAACAGTCCTCAGGTATTATATGCTTAGCAGTATTATTATGTCCGATCTCATGACTAGCATAAATTCAAGCTTAAAAAGTCGAGCAGCTTTTTAATTCACACATTGTAGTTGTAGTGGGATTAGCATTCATGAGCCAGAGTCTGTGATAACATTCCAAAACTGAAAAACATAGTCTCTGACTTCTCATAGCTATCTTCTTGTGTCACTTATTGATTAATGTCTTGTTCGTTGGAATGGTGCTACCAGGTTTTCGTGAATGTAGTCCATGTAGGCGTAGGTCCAATCAGTCAGTCGGATATCGATCTAGCTCAGGCATGCGGTGCGTGCATAATTGGATTCAATGTCAAAACTCCACCTGGTTCAGTCAGTCTTGCAGCAACTAAATCCGGCATAAAGGTACGTAACTTCTGATTATTTTCTTTATCCTAATCCTCCAGGAATTCCTGAATCGTATGTTCTTTAAATGGGTTGGTTGAATGAATGCCCAGATAATGCTGCATCGAGTTATCTACCGCCTTTTAGAGGACGTGGGCAACATGATAGTAGAGAAAGCTCCCGGGACTTCTGAGACTCATGTAGCCGGAGAGGCCGAAGTCCTTAGCATCTTCGAACTGAAGGGGAGGAGCAAAGCCGCAGGAGGAGACATGAAGATTGCGGGCTGCAAGGTGATAGATGGCCGAGTCAGCAGAGCATCAACGATGAGGCTCCTTAGGAGCGGTGAAGTCGTGTTCGAAGGATGCTGCTCGTCCCTCAAACGAGAGACACAGGACGTGGATGCAGTCGGTAAAGGGAGCGAGTGCGGAATGATGCTCCGTGATTGCCAAGATTACCGTGTTGGAGATGTGATCCAGTGCTTGGAGCAAGTCGTTCGGAAGCCCAAGTTCGTTTCTTCACAGAGTGGCGCTGTTCGGATTGAATGCTGACACACACCCTCGAGCATATGGGGGTTGCTTACTATTATTCTTCCTCCTAGTTTGCAGCCTGCAAAGAAGTTTTGATGGAGAAGTGCTTGAGAATTAATCAACACACCATATTATTTTTTTGTTGTTGTACATTGCGAGAAGGGAACTTCATTTCATCTAGTACTAGAATCAATACCCACGACTACGTCGCGGGAACTAAAGTTACAATTGCATGATCATATGATCATATGGTGGCCAATTGAGGACACATCAATTTGGTGATAGTTGTTCTATTAGCAACGGTGTGGGTTTAAAATTGTTGAAAGTGTGTGCAGGAGACTTTTGTCTATTGAGTTCCATAGTTAATCATTATATGAATATAACCCATGACACAATTGCATGCAATGAAAATATAATCCCATCCTAAATTATATGTACAATCATGAGCATGTGATTAAGCGCTGAAAAGATATAGACAACATCGAATAACAATTTTCCTCTTAACCTAATGAATAGCCGAATAATAAATATACTTTAAGAGTTTCTTAAAGAACCAAACTTATTGACATAGTTCTAGTAAGGAAGAGTTTCCTCATAAAACCTTACAAACCTCTATTTAGTTCTACACCTGCATCTCTTAGGAAGAGTCTTCAAGTTCAACCTTCGACCTCTTCACCTATTCTTTCTTTGGTTTGTCATTCCATCTGCAATCTTCACCCTTCTGCTCACCTCCTTGGCTTGCATAATCTCATTAACTCCTAATGTTTTCTCTCCGTCTGGGATTGCCACCAGTTTCGTTCCCCCTGCTGTCATTGCTGCTCCTACGATTCGTTGTCTGATGTGAAGGGGTCATATGATGAGGCTATAATCTGGCCACTGCCTGTGCAAAGAAGAATTTCACATCAGCCAATTTGAATTGCAGGAAAATCTACAAAGGATTGTGAGCATAATTGTTTAGTTGAGAACGAAGTTACTTATACATATTGGCATTCAATTAGACAATTATGTAAAAATCACTTTTGTAATCAGCTTATTCTGCAGTATTGGATCATCCGTTTTAGCCACTTTGAATTCTCACTTCTTGCTTAGTGATGGAGTTCTGCCCTGGTGGTGACCATTCGCTCATTCAAAGGCAACCTGAAAAGTTCCTCCCTGAGCATTTGGATTCTTTGCCTTAATTGGTCTTTATGTCGTTTCTCTCCATAGTAAATAATGGCTTCAATCTAAGTAGGAACAATAACCAATTGATTCAGCCGTAGCCAGAAAATAGTTGCTTCAGCTAATTACTCGGATGAATAAGAGACATTCAATCCAAGTATGTACTAATAGTATCCAAAAATGGTAACAGTAAAGTTACTATATATACTGTCATGTCAATTAAACACACGTAAAAAAACACTTTTGTAATCAGCTTATTTGAGCTTTGCTTTTGCCTTAGAGAAATGGAATTTAAGCAGCGCAAGGTTTTTTACCTTTCTCTTTGTTATCAGAAATTGCATCCTACGGCAGGGATTTCTTTTCTGTTTGTCCAAAGGCAGCATACTCTTTAGGCACTTCCTCTCCATATTTGCAGCTCCCAAGCACAATAAAGACATAGTATTCAGGGTTGTGTTAATCGAATTACCTACAACACATGGAAGAAGATCAAGCATGGTACTCAGTATATGCATTGTTTAGAACTTACTATTATGTGTTCTTTATTTCAGCAAGAATTATCAATCTTAAACTTGCTCACTCAGGTTGATCAGTTATGTAGGAAGAACCTAGTGGCCCACTCTAAGCAAATATAAAAGAACCCATTACCTTAAGCAGCATAAGATTCAAATCATGCTCCTCTGAAACATGAAAAGGGAATCAATTTTATGGCTGCAAAGCAATTTGTAATAGCAATCAAAGAAGAAACGGTGTAAAACAAATGAAATATGCTGCCAAGCAAGCGGAGACCACATTTCACTGTCCAATTAGAAATAAACATGGCAGACACTGATAAGAAATAAACATATGCGTGATTTAATTCTTTGGTGTTGGATCTGTTATGAATGAGCAAATATCAAATATGTTTTGACTCATAAAATGGAAAGAGATACCTACTGGACTGTGAAGGTGTTCTCCCCATAATGCAAAACCATTTCCTCAAACGTATTTCTTACTCAAGTCCTTGCTTTTAGGAGCAGCAAAAGCACGTTTATACTGCATCATGTAAAGGTAAGCAAAATGGAAAAGAGATTTTTGCCTCTAGTACTAAGATGTTCTCAGGCTTAAGGACTCGGAATATGATCCTCAGCATGTACAGGCAGTCCAAAGCAAGGAGAACATCTGCAGCATAGAACCTGCACAAAGACACATTAACTTCATTCATGTAGCTCAGTAATGAAAAAGGCAATCATGGGAAGAAGCAGAATGATATATAGCTCACTAAACTAATTTTGAGGTTGAATTAGAAGTTGAGATAACTAAGTTGGGGACTGATTCGGAGGAGAGAAATCAAGCAAGAAAAAGGGAATTGATTCTGAGAAGCTTCAGCTGGGGAAGGAAATATATGTCTGCAAATCTAACATGGTGATACAGAGAAAAGAAAACATGAACTATTGTGTTATGAACTTCCAGTGTATATTAAGTCCAATACATAATATAAGGGTGCTGTTTCAGAAACTATCAAGTTTATCAGGAAAAAAGACAGTTTTTACTATGCAGAGAAACAAAACAAAAACAAAAAAACAATTAAGAGTAAAGGATCTGAACAGGGCAGCATACTCAGGGAAGAACTTTCCAAGTTGCTTAGGCTTGAGGGAATGGTCACCACCAAGACAAAACTCCATCACAGGCATCTGTTTAAGAGGCTGAGACCGAGATGTTGAGCAAGAGCTCAAAGGAGGGCTGTTGGGGACTCTAGGAACCAATGATTTCTTGTTGGTCTTTGTTGAAAGGCTAACTCCTCCATCATCAACCAATGACTCCATGGAAGGCGGAGCAGTAACTCAGAATTCAGAAACCAAAGCTGCAACAGAAAACACAAAGGGATTGGTTGATTATATGAGATGGCAGAGCTTGCAGCCTTTGAACAGAAAGCACATACTGAGAATTTAGTGAAAACATACCGACAAGTGAAAGTCCGACAAAATCAGCCCAGAGCTCATTGAGCGTCTTCTATTCCTTCTCCTTCTCCGTGTTGTCTTTTTCAGCTTCTCCTGCTGCTTCTTCTTCCACCAGTAAAACAAAGAGAGAGATGGGGAATGAGGTAGGGAAACGCTTCCAGGGTGGGAGTGGTATTCCGCGATGTCACTCTGTCTGCCGGATCATCCCCTTCATTCTTGTCGCCTAACGTCTCACCATGCTCCTCCTGTTCCAAAACGATCCGTCTTCATCCGCTTTTGAGTTCCACGACGGCCAGCAGCAGGAGAAAAGAGGGGGATTATGGAGGGGATAAAAGGGGAAGCATACAATCGAAACCAAAAGGAGGAGCAGAGAGAGAACATATCCAATTTCAAATCCGACAGTAGGCATGAGGTTGATTGAAAACAGAGAATACAATACTTACCGTGCACAATGGAATTGTTAATTGGTCTGCAGTCGTACAAAGAGGATGGCTTGTGCCGTGTCCAAGCAGCTGTACAAAGGCGGTAGCGTGCGCGAGGAAGAGGAGGCAAGGCGAAGCATACAAAGTGTTGAGGTAGGTCGGTGCTCCCATACGCCACAACCCATGCCTACTACAGTCTACAGTCCTAGTGGTACTCATCTGGAGAGACTGCTTTCCTTCTTTGCCTCCATTATCTCGGCTTGGAGTCCTCTCTCTAATGGAGCCATGCTTTAAAATTCAAGCTTGTCGATTCGCGTACGGAAAGAATGGGCCACGAATTGACCAAGTGAGGAGGAGGGAGGGCGTTGATTTGAGAGAGGTAAGCGAAGCGGGGGAATAAAGTGGGTTCAAGGAGTTCTCAACTACTTGGGCGCTAGATGCCAAGAATTGAAACAGTGTTTAGAGTCTTTGGGGCGAAAAAGCGTACCTCCCTTTCATGTTTTATAGAATAGGGAAGCAAAGGATTCTGAAAATTCTTTTTAGGGGACATTCTCTGTACGCGGATTATGAAAGCTGGAGAACTCGTCCTGTGTTGCTCCATGCAATAAGCAGCAGATGAACCACATCCTTTTAAGTCATGGTTCGTGAAATTGTAAAGAATGCAAGGTCGCGAAACTGTATCAGAGTTTGGTAAGAATGCAAGGTCGCGAAACTGTATCAGAGTTTGTACCAGACAAATTAGTGACTTTTACGTCTTGACAAACCTTCGTGAGTGAGAAAGTACCAAGAAAAGAGAAATGACTGATGAAGTTGATATGTGAGAAGACCAATGCTGCATGGAGTCGTCGACGGACAAGGATGGATGGATGAAGGGATCTTTGATGTTTCAGTTTCACCCTCCAAACTTAAGGCTAGCCGGCAGGGCTGACTATCTATCCATTAGAAAAATTGGATGGCCAAAACAAATTCTAACCAGACACGAAAACCATTATTAGTGTGGAACAAAGAAGCTTACTTAGGTTAGTTACTTTCCCACTAGACACGCACAGGGTAAAAGAAGACTGAAAAGAAACCAAAAGAAAAAAGGCTCTTCCTTTCCTGTTTCTTTCTATTATTTATACAACAATAATGATCCTCATCAGGTCAGGGCCAGTCCTTAAAGTTACCTCAACATTAGAAGAACTGGGTTCTGTGTGGACATGTTAATTACAACTAGGGCTGTAACTGTGGCCCTTACTACCCGTCAGCCCAGCCCGGCCCAGCCCAACCCTATGGGTCGGGTAGGGTCAATCAGTCTTTAGGGCCAAAATAGGGTCGGGTCACATTCTGACCCTAGAGGGTAGGGTATTTTTGGGTTTTACCCTTAAAACCCATTCAGACCCATTTTTGACCCATTTTAACCCTAAAATCCATTTCAGCCCCATCTCTTCTTTCCGCTAACATCTCCTGATCGCATAATCGAGCCAACACCTCCGCCGTATCTCCTTCATCCTCTGCGCCGATCCGGCACTCAGGTTCGCCCTCCGCCGCCGCCCTCTCCTGCCCCCCCGCCGCAGCAGGCAGCAGCTTCCCTTCCTCGTTCTCGCACCCCGTCGTCTCCCCGGCGCGGTTGAAATCGCACGACGTGTCGTCGAAGGAGAAGCGCCTGGAGGAGTAGCAGAAGCTCTCCGTTTCGTCGACGACGCCGTCTTCTCCTTCCTCCTCCTCCTTCTCGTCTCAGGGGCGACCACGGCGCTGGGTTTTTCACATCCGCTGGAGATTGATGGGTGTGGAGGGAAAATAGACCCAACCCAGCTCTGAATCGGATCCCAGCTTCTCTGCTCCCCAAACCCAGGTTCGACTCACTTTTCGTATCTTAGTGTGTAATTAGTGTGTAATTAGCATTGGAGCCCAGAAACAACGCTGCTCCTCGCCTTAACCCACGCCAGCTCCTTCAATTCTAGCCTGTAAACCTCCACATGATCCACCGTCTCCATAGATCTAGTCGAACACAGAAAAACCAGCACTACTTTCCCTTCTGATTCCACCAAACACTCCCTGAACCCCGGCGTAGCGGCCACATCTGAATCAGGAACCACTCTCTCCTTGCCCAATTTCGTAATCCGCAGATCGAAGTTCACATCTTCTTCTACAACAGCGAGCGTGCCTTCCACACTCAAAGCATAGAATCTGTCCTGAAACCAGATCCCATTGCCGAATCGCATCCAACTCCCACGGGAACAATGTGTGTAATCTGCTACTTTGAGTGGATGAATTTACAATAGATAAATGCTTGTCACTTGGAATAGATGATCATCTCACTCTTATCATTCTGATGCCTCCAAGGATAAGTCTAACAGAGGAGCAGATCTGGGTTATGTCTTTCATGAATTGGTTTGGATTTGGTATTGGCAGCAAATGTTGTTCATGGATTTGATTGAATCTGTTAGTAGCTCCAGTCTTTCCTTTGCAAGATAGGACAGTCATTGTTGGTGAAGATGATAGCTTTAGATATGATTTTGCATTTGTTTGTTTTAACTGAAGTCTTAATTTTACTGAATTTGCTATCCATTAGTCTTTATCCCCATGGGTTTTGTTTGAGAAATCACGAGTCACAGCAGACTCATTTTACTACTATAGGCATTGGAATCATGCTTAGTCGATGAGGCTTTAGCTTCTGAGTTCATATTCTGCACCCTTTCAAGAGTCTGATTTATATGCATTGTAAAAGTCTCATTTTATAGTTGGCGTGGAAAGTTGTTTTATTAGTATTAAGTGTGGTATTAAGAAAGAAAAACATGGTTTGTGTTTGAATGTAGGACTTGAAATCTTAGCCTTCTCAAATCTAGTGCTGGGGGCTTCTTAGGCGATTTGATCAAATGGAACTTTGAGAAGTTCTTGGTGGACAAGAACGGTAAGGTTGTCGAACGTTATCCGCCAACAACATCGCCTTTCCAAATCGAGGTACTTGTTTGCATCAAATCGAGGTACTTGTTATGGATTATTGGTGCAGAGTTTTCAAGCTAATTAGTATTTGATGATTGTGCAGGTAATCCTGACGCCTACTCATCTGGCGATTAGTGGTGTTAAATGCTTAACATGAAGAGATATGCTTAGTGGTGTTAAATGATGAATATTTTATAATTATGGATGAATTTAGTATTTTGATTTTGCATGTACATATGAGATAATATTACCAAGCCGATATTGGTCCTACACCCGGGCCCACCTTGAACCTTTTAGGGTCTTTTTTGCGAAGAACGAATGAGTCATGCCGATGGGTTATGCCCACGGGAGACCACTTGTCTTCACAGCCCATCCCTTGTAATTAGATCAATTACCCAACTACAACCACATGCATTTGATTGTTCGTCATGAGACCATAGTATTGACCACCTTTTAGGTTAGATCCAGCCATTACTAGATAGATGGTTTTATTTTTCGAAACATAGTTTTGCATGCATCTATGTTATGTACGACAATGTATATGAAATGTATCATCATCTGAATATTGTAGTTTAAGACAACCCAACAAGTGGAATAACAATTAAAAAAATCCAGATAAAATTCAAAAATCCACACATGGTGTAACTAGAAATAATACATGTATTTGTGAGATTAAGTCGTTTTTTTTGTTATATTGAATGAGAATACATGCATTCACTTTTTGGAGGTCCCACCACAATCACTCAAAATTGAGGGATTGTCAATCTCTACTTTTTGTTGAGATTGTTAACAATCACTCAAAATTAACTTTTATACCTTTACAACAAAAGCACAATCTAAACCCAATACATCAATTTGAAGAATCACAACTTCCAAACGACCCCTAAGTAATTGAGGCTTAGTCCCATATGGATTTCAGGTTTTTAACCACTCTTTTCATGATGTTGGAGTCGGCTTTGAAATTTCAAAGGGCATTTGAGAGGTTAGAGGAGGAGGATCCCAAGTATAAAGTTGAGCTTGAGAAGTTGAAAGGGACTCCAAAGGAGTTGGACTGGTCTTATGTGGAGTCTCTAGTTCCATTTTTGAAGATATTTTATGATGCTACAATGAAAGTATCGGGATCTTTGTATGTCACAAGCAATGATCTCTTTCATGTAGTATATGGAATCGCTTGCATGCTTAAAATGGAAACTTCATCTAAAGTGTATGGTCATAAAGTCATGGCAAAGAGAATGAAAGCTAAGCATGACAAGTATTGGGGCAATTTGGACAATATTAACCCCTTGTTATTTATTGCTGTGGTTCTTGACCCGAGATACAAGCTAGAATATGTGGTTTTTGCACTTGATGAAGTTTTTGGGAAAGATAATGGGGGAGATTGGACCAAGGAGGAGTTGCATAATAAGGTGAAGGGTTTTCTAGATGACATGTTCAAGAACTATTCAGAAATGAGAGGGGTTATTTGTGCAAGTTCTTCAAGAAGTGGGGGGAGTGTAGAGCCAAATGACGAGAACGAGGAGTGTGAAAATGTTGAGGATTATCTGAAGAGAAAATTTAAAAGAAAGAGAATAGAAGACAGAGCTGGAGAAACTACTATTTCGGAACTTGAGAGGTATTTAAAGGCAAACATTGAGGATGATGAGGATAAGAATTTTGATATCTTAGCGTGGTGGAAGAAGCACTCTAGTGAGTACCCGATATTGGGTTTGATGGCTAAAGATGTGTTGGCGATTCCAGTATCTACTGTTGCATCCGAGTCCGCTTTCAGTACCGGTGGACGCGTTCTAGATGCATTTCGGAGTTCTTTGACTCCCTTGGTCGTTGAAAGTTTGATTTGTGGTCAGAATTGGCTTCGATCGAGTACTCTTCCAATTGATATGGAAGAGAAGTTTGAGGAAATTGAAGAACTTGAGCAAGGTATGAATTTTATCAACAATGTGGTTTGTAACACTTTATTATTTGTTTATACTATTATTAATTTATTTGTGGTTTTGTTAATTTTGCAGAGTTAAAGGAGTTTTGCTTGGATGTAGTACTATCATGAGTGATTTGGTTGATGATGATTGAAAGATGATATATTTGATATTATCAGCGATGCATTTGATGAATTGCGAAATTGTGTACTTTTTTTACGTACTTTGCATTTTGTTTATTTTATTTGGATTTATTGTAAGGTAATTTTGACTTTGTAGATGTAATTTGCATTTTGTTTATTTGATTTGGATTTATCGTAAGGTAATTTAGACTTTTTAGATGTAATTGGCATTTTTTTATTTGATTTGGATTTATCGTAAGGTGATTTAGACTTTTTAGATGTAATTTTAATTTTTTGGAATTAATTTTGAGTCTTTCGAATTAATTAGGATTTTTGGTATAAGAATTTGGACTAACTTAAATTTTCTGGAATTAGTTGGAATTTTTGTAATCAAAATTTTATTTTTTGAATTAGTTTAAATAATTTATTTATTTAATTTAGATTATTTTTGTTATGAACTCATTTAAATTTTCTAGTATATACCTGTAATTTTTTGAAATTTAATTTGATATTAAATAGTTAAGTGGGCTAATATTGTATAAAAAGAAGTTGGGCCGACCCTATGGCCCGACCCGACCCAGCCCAGCCCGACCCAACAGGGCCATACAGGGCCAAATGAGAATAGGGTCGGGCCGGGTCGGGCCAAATACTTAAGCATACAGGGCTGGGTTTTTTTGGGTAGTGACAGGGTAAGGGCTGGGTTTGGCCCAGTTTCACCCCTGCTACTTGGCAACAAACCAATGTCCCCAATCATGATCGAGCTTCTGGTCTGAACTGATGGAGGAAATCATGGGAGTTTCTAATAGGAATTTTATGATAACCTATGCAGCTTACAGAGACATTTTCCCAATTTGGGCACTGGGAAAATACAGAACCCGAGTACTTCATGCCTCGTAAGATCATCGTCAACGAACGGAATGGCATTCCAAGTTCCAATGACTACTGCTAGCTTGGTCTCGTTTTCATAGTCTTCATTCCTCTGCACTGTAGGCCTTTATTTGTTGGTTTCTGGCATTCTGCTGTGATAATGCAGTGTTAACTTGTTCAGTCTAGTGCTCGCTTATGTCGGAAACTATTAGTATCTTAATCTATCAGAATTTTTTGAGTTTGAAGCACACATTCTATAGGGGGCAAAAAAACCAAATCTGCAGCATACATGCTCTGCTCAAGACCGACGTACCAATAGTGTTTTGATTTTGAAGCATACATTCTATAGTGTTATGACAGAAACTACTTGTATCTTTATCTATCAGAATATTTGTAAATTTTGCAGCATACATTTAACCAAAAAAATAAATTTTCAGCATACATGCTTATTCAAGACCACGAACAATGTCACATAATAGATTTCCGAGTTTACTCGATTCAAACTGGATTAGCTGAAGCTAATGTGGTCGAGAAAGGGAGGGTGCAGAAATTAGCAAAACAAGGCGCTAGCTAAAGAAGTGTTCTGATCCTAGACATGCTTACAAGCCTCTTGAACTGAAACAGCCGGGCGAGATAGGCTGCCGTTGACTATCCTGTTAGCAACCCACAAGTTAGCAGCCTCTGAGTAGTGTACTCCATCCCAGCTCACGTGCCTCGAAGGATCCTTGCATGGATTACCATACTGTTGGGAAAAGCTTCGTACTTTCCCGCTTCGTGAAGTTAAGATAGGCACTTGAGTAGTGATGGGAGCACACAAGTTTAATTCTCCAAATTTGGAGAATTCTTCCACTATACAAAATAATAGTAGGCTTACAAGAATAACTCACTCTATGGTGGCTCACTCAAGCTTGAGGATAGGGACTTCTCAAGCTATCTCTCTTCTCTCTCTCAAAGAGACTCTCACCTCTCTCACTCTAGGAAGTGGTTTTTCTCTTTGTGCTTTGGATTGATTACAAATGAGGAGCACAAGTCCTTATATAGCTTCCACCTCCTCAAATGGACGGCTAGGATTGATTTGATCCTACGGTTGTGGATGAGTCTCCAGAACTCTCCACAAAAATATCTTCTTACACTAAAAATATCTACATACAAATATCTATTCTCTAGAATTATCTAGGGAAGGCTCCATCTCTATAAGGTTCCATACTCCTCCACACTCTTCCATAAGGTTCTGGAAGGTTCCACACATCTCCAGAACATTCCAGAGGATTCCACACTGTTCCACAAGCTTCTAGAGAGTTCTATACTTCTCTAGAGTTCTCCGGTTGTTTCTAGGAAATTATTTACTTCTCTAGAAACTCTCCAATTAAGGAGGGATCCCAACAATTCTCCCCCTCCCGAGTTAATTGGGGGGTAGTAGCAAACCTGCACCTTGACAGCAATCTTCAAACTTCTTGTACCACTGCCTCGGTGCTTGCTTGAGGCCATATAAACTCTTTGTGAGGCGGCACACCAAGTTTTCCTTGCCCGGAACTTTGAATCCCTCGGGCTGCTCCATGTATATCTCTTCCTCTAGGTCACCATGAAGGAAAGCCGTCTTGACATCGAGTTGTTCAATCTCCAAATCTTGCACTGCTGCTAAGCCAAGGACAACTCGGATGGATGACATCTTTACCACGGGAGAGAATATCTCTTCAAAGTCAATGCCCTTTTCTTGACCAAATCCTTTGACAACTAACCGTGCTCTGTAGCGAGGTTTTGGGCTACTGTCTTCGGTCTTGATTCAGTACACCCACTTATTCTTCAAGGCTCTTCTCCCTTTTGGCAGCTTCACGAGCTCATAAGTGTGATTCTCATGCAAGGATTGCATCTCTTCTTGCATGGCTTTTCCCCACTCTTCTTTATGAATATCACTGATTGCTTCTTCATAGCTTTGCGGCTCCCCCTCATCCGTGAGTGTCACATACTCCTCGGGGTTATACCGAGTGGATGGTATTTTTTCCCTAGAGGAGCGTCTCAGCTCTGGTGCTGGCAGAGAGCTAGATTAAGGATCTTCCTGCGCTAGCTCACCATGGGTCTCCTGGTTACTTTGCTCTAACACATGTTCATGTTCATCAGCATCATTGTCTTGAGGTGTGTCATTACCCTCACTTCGAACTAGAGTAGGTTCGGTGCTCTTGCTGCTTCTCAATTTCGGCTTCTCTGACTTGTTAATGTCTTCAATTGTTTGGTCTTCGAAGAAGATGACATCTCTGCTTCGGATAACCTTCTTATTGATTGGATCCCATAGTCGGTAGCCGAATTCATCCTTGGGTGAACGAAGGTAGATGCATTCCTTCGTCTTTGCGTCAAGCTTGGCTCGCTCATCTTTGGGGATGTGAACAAATGCCCTGCACCCGAACACCTTGAGATGATTGTATGCAGCCCTTTTTCCCGTCCATACTTCTTCTGGGATGGCGCCGTCCAAAGGAACCGATGGTGTGAGATTGACAATGTCAATCACAGCCATTATAGCTTCTCCCCAAAAGGACTTGGGTAACTTAGCATGAGAGAGCATGCAACGAACTCTTTCTTCAATTGTTCTATTCATTCTCTCAGCTATCCCGTTCAGCTGTGGTGTCTTAGGTGGAGTCTTCTCCAGCCTGATACCATATTTTTTGCAATAGGCTTCAAAGGGACCTCTATACTCACCTCCATTGTCCGATCGTACGCACTTGATCTTCCGTCCAGTCTCACGTTCTACTAGAGCGTGGAATTCCTTGAAGGCGTCAGGGACTTGATCCTTGGACTTTAACAGGTGCACCCATACCTTCCTTGAATGGTCATCAATGAAGGTCACAAAGTACAATGCACCACCAATAGATTTCTCGGACATTGAGCACACATCGGTGTGTACAAGGTCGAGAATATTCTTTCTCCTTTTTGGTGGAGAAGATCTTTGGAAAGCAACTCTATGTTGTTTTCCAGCTAAACAATGAGCACATGGATCAAGTTGTTTACCTTTCACGTCCGGGAGGAGATGCTTCCGAGCAAGTATGTGGAGACCCTTCTCACTGATGTGACCAAGTCGTTTATGCCATACCTCCATGTCATCAGTGGTTATGTTTACCTCTCCTTTGCAGAGCTTGGCTTGCATCAAGTATAATGATCCTTCCTTCTTCCCTCGAGCCATAATTAGACTTCCTTTGGTGAGCTTCCATTTTCCTTCACCAAAGTAATTCATCAGACCAGCATCATCTAACTTTCCAGCGGAGATAAGATTGAGACGCATGGCCGGTACATGCCTCACATCTCTTAGGATAAGCTGGCATCCAGTGCTTGTTGTCAAGATAACGTCTCCAATTCCGGCGATCTTGCTCCTATCTTGATTTCCCATTTGCACCGTACCAAAGTCTCCACTTTGGTAGGATGAGAAGAAACTTCCATGGGGAGTGACGTGGAAGGAAGCACCAGAATCGACAATCCAAGAACTATCATCACAAGCAATGTTTAGCATGTTACCTTCTCCAACGAGATATAGCGGATCTTCTTTTGAGACTATGGCAGTGGTACTTTTATCTTCTTGCTTCTTCGTTGGGCTGACTTGGTCTGATTTGACATTCCCGGCCTTCTGGTCTCTCTTAAAGGATCGACACTCCACTTTCCTATGACCCATCCTTCCACAGTAGTAGCATGTGATCTTCGAGCGTGATTTCGATCTTCCTCGAGATTGATGTGGATCTCGGCTCTTACTGCGTCCACGAGTCTCGTTCCTATCCCGGTTCTCAATAACATTAGCCTCAGGATGGATAGACTCACCTCGTTCCATTCTTCTTGATTCTTCACCAAGAAGACTATCACTGACGGCGTCCATGGTTAACTTTCCTTCCGGAGCTGAGTTACTAAGTGTAACTACGAGTGTGTCCCAACTTTCCGGCAAGGAACTAAGGAGTAGAAGGGCTTGCAGCTCGTCATCAATCTTCATCTCAATTTTAGTTAATTGATTGACGAGTCCTTTGAAATTATTCAAATGCTCAATCATGCTATGACCATCCTTATACTCCAACTTCACCAACCGCCGAGCTAAATTGGCTTTATTACGAGGTGTTTTCTTTTGAATCATGGACTCGAGCTTTGTCCATAATTCATAAGCATTCGTGTAAGTAGAAACATGCTCGAAGAGGGATTTGTCGATGTACTTACGGATCATAGCAACGGCCTTCCGATTTAGTAGCTCCCACTGAGCATCGCTCTTGCCTTCAACTTTGTCTTTGTAGATGATGGGCTCATGTAAATCCTTGCAGTATAGATGATCCTCCATCATTGGCCTCCAATATGAGTAGTTGTTGGCTGTGAGCTTGAACATGTCTCCTTCATGAGTGATGTTGTCCTCCATCTTGAACTGCACGAGCTATTGATGACTTCTGATGAACCAAGTTGTCACAAAACCAAAGGATAACTTTTCTGGTGTGGAAGTTCAGACTATGCTGCAACCACAGAGCATACTCAGTTTAACCTTGGCTCTGATACCACTGTTGGGAAAAGCTTCGTACTTTCCCGCTTCGTGAAGTTAAGATAGGCACTTGAGTAGTGATGGGAGCACACAAGTTTAATTCTCCAAATTTGGAGAATTCTTCCACTATACAAAATAATAGTAGGCTTACAAGAATAACTCACTCTATGGTGGCTCACTCAAGCTTGAGGATAGGGACTTCTCAAGCTATCTCTCTTCTCTCTCTCAAAGAGACTCTCACCTCTCTCACTCTAGGAAGTGGTTTTTCTCTTTGTGCTTTGGATTGATTACAAATGAGGAGCACAAGTCCTTATATAGCTTCCACCTCCTCAAATGGACGGCTAGGATTGATTTGATCCTACGGTTGTGGATGAGTCTCCAGAACTCTCCACAAAAATATCTTCTTACACTAAAAATATCTACATACAAATATCTATTCTCTAGAATTATCTAGGGAAGGCTCCATCTCTATAAGGTTCCATACTCCTCCACACTCTTCCATAAGGTTCTGGAAGGTTCCACACATCTCCAGAACATTCCAGAGGATTCCACACTGTTCCACAAGCTTCTAGAGAGGTTCTATACTTCTCTAGAGTTCTCCGGTTGTTTCTAGGAAATTATTTACTTCTCTAGAAACTCTCCAATTAAGGAGGGATCCCAACACATACACCGTCCCATTCACCACAGCTTTCTTCCCACAATCGATGTGATAGCCGTAGTAGCTCCCGCAACAGAACTCCATCGGATGAACAAAACCTGAAGTTCACAAATCCATCTGTCGTCAGCTTGATCAATCCACATTGACATGGAAAAACTTGGTCCAAAACGTTTAGAGGTGTTACCTTGATTTTCGGCCGTACTAATCAGTCGATACTTGGCTGAGTACACATCAACATATGTGAAAGACGAATGGGGTAGCTGCTCCTTCAGTTGGGAGAGTTTGCGCTCGAGTTGTCTGTTGAACTCCTGAGCAGCATTGTTGCGAGACTTCACACAGCCATTTCCGTCCAAGTTGTTAGGGTCGGAGTTGTATATAACGGAATATGGCAAGCAACCAAGGGGTCCTGTGTTGTGCACCCAGAAGAACTTTGCACCTTCCTTGTAAAGTTGCTGAGATTTTGCAGAGGAAAACAACGGGTCAATTGACATAAACGGTCACCAGAATTTGGCATCAATGACAAATCAGTTGCTCAAGTTTAATTTATTTACTAGAATCAATACCCGTGGCTACGCCACAGGACGTATTTAAAGCTTTATAGAATTTTTTAGAAACTCGATAATTATTGGCTCTTAACATTATAAGAAATAAATATTCAATCGTCATCCAAATCAACCTAATAAGCTTAAAATTATCACCAAATTCTACTTTTTCAAAGGTTCATCATTTTCCTCATCTTTCGTACCCTCGCATAATCACCTCAGTGGGTTTGTGTCTAACATTACCATGAACAAAACTATAATATAATCGAAGAATCAAAGTTGATTGAAACTACCATTCGTCCAAACAATCAATAGAGGCATGGAGCTCCTCAAAATTAGTTATTTCACTGGGTTGTCGTTGGTTCTATAGCAATCCAAACAATTAATTGCATGCACCATAACCTCTCATGAAACAAAGCAAATAACAGCCACAATAGTTAGCAAGAGTTTCACATACAAACGAACTGCATATACCTAACAAATGGTTGGTCAAAGATGGTCAAAATCCTTCTAAAATATACTTCAAGAGCTAATTATTGTGATCCAATACCAACCCAATTGACCATGATATGCAACATAAATAGAAGGATATTGTGATGCATGCAGTTGTCGAGCCAACCTTTATAAATTACTTTACCAAGTCCAAACTCTCCCTCTCAGTATTGCACTAAATCTAGTAATAATGTTGAACTGTATTTGCAAATATCGAGCAAAACTCTAAAACTAAGATGAGAAGCAGAATTCTAACATCGAGTTCTAGATGAAGAGTGATCGGAAATAAATCTCGTATGTATCAAAATTGCCCTGTGAGATTCGTCACCCAATATTGCAGCTCAACAATGGCTTCCAAAAAAACCTGGAGAGAGAGAAAAAAAAAAGCAATTCATTACTGGAAAGCAGTTCAGCAATGGCACCCGGGAAATAAGTTGTATTCAATTTCAGTAGATGAAGTGAGCAAGATGCAACTCAGACTATTAATAACTCAACTCGCCCTTTGCCGAAGGATAAAATTGTTGCTCAAGTTTTGATCTTCTAACCAGGCCAACAGACCTACATGTCTGCCTTTCCCAACTTGTAGATTAGATAGGAACGGTTAGCACTAAATTCAAAACTTTCAAATAGTAACAACAGTGTGAAGATAACTTGAACGTACTCATGGTAACCAGAACTGGTTGGAATTGAAACTGAAGAGAAGGGAACTTAAATGAAGCATTAGTTAGGATTCAACGGAAGACTAATATTAATCCTAACCGAGATTAAAATCCTAACCATACCTCTTTCTAGTTTGTAGTTGAAGAGTGATACAGAGAGAGAGATAGATAAGTGTTTTATCGTACTTCCTCTTCTCCTCTTCTTCAAACATAGCATTATGACCTCTTTGTGATGTTGGGCCACTCGGAGTCAGTTTCAGTTGCTCTGCAAATGTGAAAAGAACTGATTAGATTGTGGAGTTATAATTGCAAAGTTGAAGTGCATACAAATGATACATAAGCTCACACAGTGAAGTTGCAGTTCATAAAACCGAATCAGCTGCTTAAGCAAGTCTCCATCGATGCATAGGAGTTGAACAAACAGCTTCCATCATTGTTGGTCAAACAGAGTACAAACCTGCAACGTTGTCGATCATGGAAGACCACAATATTAGTGACATTCAATTGCACGTTTAACAAACAACTCTGGTTAAAGCGAGAGCATTAACCGACATGAATATATATGTTCATTGGCTTGAAAAATCTACACACGCAAGCATTTCACATAGGTTAGCAGCCATTGACATACATGTTGGATCGCGTGTGCATATCAACTTGAAAACCATGAAGCTTCTGAAAAGGCAGCTTTCCAAAGCTTCTGAAGCTATTATTCTATAGAAAATTGAAACATTTTGCAGCAGATAGTCGCTCGCACTTTATTCGGCAACACTTAAATAACCAATTTAGTTTATCGTCTTTAGCATCAATCGTGATATTGTAGCGGGTTATGTTCATGAAGGTTAGAAGTTGTATGGCACATTCAACCATCTTACCCCATGCTCCTGTCAATCTTTCATGAAGAAGTAACTAAAGACAGAAACTATGCGTCTATAAAACTAAGGCAGTAAGAAGGGATGTGATAGCAGTTAACAACATATTCAATTAAATAACTGTCTGAAGTTCATAAAAGGGAACACACCACGGCAGCATCCTTCTACATCATGTTTAACGGAAGTTTTAGGTTGCATAAAAAAATACATATTGTAGTTTATATGTCAAGTAAAAAGCAGAATATAAGGCTGGGTAAGCCATATGAGATTGGTCAAAGAGCACAAAATAGTAGCATAAGGACTCAATAATTAAAATGATCATAGAACCAAATCATAAGCAATCCGAATCCCATAGCATTACCAGAAGAGCATGTTTTCTCCGAAATGCATAACTGGAAAAGCAAATAACCAAGCCCCTTCAACCGGAAATTCATTGAATATCCATGATTTGTCTGTGAAACCTGGACTCCCAGATTGAGTGTTGATTGCAGTTAAAAATGTGGCTGCATTTTCCATGTCAAAGCCTGGATCAAATGATTAAGAAAGGAACGCAAAAGTTTTTAAAACAACATAAAGAACAACCACCTAATCTGGTGATAACATCACTGTATGTTACCCAAGTTGCATGAAATGCAGCAAGGGGAAATAACCACCCACACAGAATAGAAAAAACTGCAAGATGGATTGAGCTCTAAGGAAGAATTATCTACACATACACTACAATCTAAATGCCACATACAACCCTGCTTAACTTTGTTCTTCTCATTTGCAAGATTCTATCTCCCATTTCTATTCTTCTAAATCAAACATCAGGAATGATAGCAAGAGACAACAAATTTCAATACATAATCTCATAGAAGGATTGGAAAGATAAATTCAAATTGGAATACGAATACGAATCTCAGGACATGCGATCAAAGCATCCATTGACCACTAAAGGCACCTACACCTTCGATCTGAAAGGTGCAAACTAAGCTTTCCTTTTCTCAACAGATTGCTGTATCAAATGGAACCCAAGAGGAACACCCTCAAGTTCAACTTATATGCATGCCAAGCTAATTCATGGTCATACTCTAACTCATGGTAGTAATCAAGAAATTATAAAAAATTTAAATGACATGATCCTTCTTACCTCCCTCTGCCTCTCCAAATCACCGTCAGAACTCAGAATGAATCAAGCTGTTGAGTCTGCATTTAGTTGGGAGTCATGCCAGGATTACTGTGTTTCCCGAATAGACCATCCAACTCTTCTAATCTGAACCCAGTCAAAGTCAATGAAAATGGCGATCGTCCCTGTTTCTGCTTCTCTTTGTCCGGTTGAACTAAAGGCAGGTGACCAACATAGGCCACAACCGAGATCCACAGACAAACTGCCGTAGCCGCAATTGCCTTCTCATCTACTTGCCGCACCGATCTTGTGGTCTTCTCGACGGCCTGAAACAAATCTCCCTAATATTTACGAAAAGTGAATGGGTTCCACCGCTGATATTCTTTTCATTGCCGCGACCTGAGGATTAAATGCTAGCCAGCGCCGCCGTTTCCACTTCCGTCGCGTTTGTGCTCTCCCCGACGGGCTGAATCACCCCCACAAAAATGCCAAATATCAGAATCAGAAATCAAAAGCTGAAAATCCGCCAAAAAGAACCAAAATCACATACCGCCAAACTCCATCGCCACCAAGGTCGTCATCTCCTTACTCATACGCCATCATCCCTGCGCCTCCGCCGTCGGTCGGCGTTGGATGGAGCCCTCATGATTCATGAGGTGAATTGAAGCAGGAGAGTGAACACCGGAAAGAGAGAGGGGTGAAGCGCTGAACCGGGGATGGAGCGATGCCGAAAGTTTATGAGGAAAGGGAAGTAGAAGTGGATTGGATTTTGGGAGAGAGGAAAAAAAACAATGAGTGGAGCATTCGAGCTGAGTAGTTGAAGGAGAGCAGGTTTCATGGGCGGTAGCGTGCTCAACTAAGATTTATCCCAGTGGTGCCGTGAGAGAGCTAGAAACCAGAAAGACGGTGAGGCCCGAGACCTGCTATAGGTACGGCTGGCCCAGGGGAACGACGTCTGCAACAGTTGGCGTACGTCCGGCATGGGCGGCCTCTATAATGGGGGAACCATCCCGGGAAGTGGAACAGGTGGGTGGAGAAAGTTGGTTCCGTGTGCGAGCAACAATAGCGATCCGAGAATTCAGAAAAGGGAAAGAAGGTGTGAAAGGACGGTAGGGCGCCGGAGGTGAGGAAGCTGCAGATCTGCAGGTACGGACGGTGAGGGGAGGAATGGACGTTCGCTGGATTTGGGGAAATCCAGAAGTCCGTAGGTGGTGAAGAGGTGAATGGGAATTCGTTCAGTGAAAGCTTTTGAAACCCGCTAAACGACGAAAAATGATACAGTAACGGGCAAAAAGCGTATCCAGCTTTTATGTAGCCTTCCCTATCATGTCACGACTCCGGTTTGCTTCTCGAGGATGCAGCTCCTCTCACACGCCACCTCCCATGTTAGCACGTCGTTCTCCCGTATCTCTCTTCTGCCGTTGAGTCTCATTTTTCAATCAGTATATTGGGAGAGGAGCGAGAGTCAATTGGGAGGAGGAGGGAAAGTAGAGTATTGTCATCTCATACTCTGTTTTCAGAAAGGAGAATCATTGACGACAAAGGCAGAGGAACAGCGAGGCTGCTGCACAGCTGAATGATGTAGTCGGCATCGATAGAAGGAGGAGAGGAGGCGGAGATCCGACTGGGAAGCGAAGGAAAAGGAGAGCAGGCGGCGTTTGGGTTCGGGATTTTCCCTATCCTTTTCCTAATTTCGTTCTGCACTTCCTTTTCTATCGGGTACTGACTTATTTTTTGATTTATTGTGCATTCAGGATTGGGTGGCTATTGGAAGGAGTGCCTCACCCTGATTTCGGGATTTGGTGATTCTGATGGAGAGGTTATTCTCTATGGTTTTTTTCTAAAACTAAAGGTATCAGCTCATTTAGTTTCTGTATGTTCTCAAGTGTAGCTCTATCTGTTAGTGAACTTTAATTTGGGGGGATTGTTCCATTTCTGCTGCAAGGATGTTGGTGGTTTGGGATACGAGCTGACAGAAAGGTTCTAAGATTCGATGATCAACTAAATTTGAACTAAAAATTGCTTCAAAATTGAAAGCAGCAGCAGGTATAAGGTGATAAGGTGTTGTAGACCTTGCTGTTTTCCTTTTACTAACACTATTTTTTTTCTTTTTCATGGGTGTAGAAAGTTCTTAGAGCTGATCTCTAATGTTCCTACAGTCTTTTATTTTTCTTTAATATTTCAAGAAGCTACTTATACATTGTTCGTTAATTTCTTTGTTTACAGTATCTTACTATAAATACCAATGAAAAAACCACGCGCAAGGCTACAGCTACGAAAATATAATTCCTTTTTCAAACCTCTTTCAAGTTTCAAATTCCTTATGACTAATATGCACCAATTATAAAAATTACAGGTTTCTAGTTAGAAGTACCTGCGAAAAGGGAGGAAATTACATAGAAAGTCGCATGTTGAGTCATAGAAGCACCGCATTGGATCGCCAGGAGATTGCTTTCCAAATTAACCACTGCAATTGCATCCTCCTGAGATTCACATTGACGGTCAAATCAATAATCACACAACATAATTTTATAATACAGCAGCAGCAATAGCAACATAATAACACTGCAGAAGCAGCATTATGGCAGCAGCCAAGAAAATGCAGCAGCACTGGAAAAATAAGAAAAACTTGGAAGAGAAGGATTCCACCCATAAACACACAGCTATCTAAACATGAATGTGAAAGCAAGTACCATGTTTGAGCCCTTGGTAGCAATTCTTTTGTGCTAACAATTAAATAGTTTCCTGACACATCATCCCCTGCCACAACATCATTCCGGCAACTGTTACAACATCATTGACCACCACCTACACTAAACCAACTGAAAGTTATAACTTATAAGAAAATCTACGTCAAAACTTCAACTGAATTAAGCAGAGCACAAAATAAAACAAAACCTATCTGCAGCTAGCAAATTTGCCGAAAGAACATATATATGGCAAAATTTAAACTGAGTTTGAAAGGAACAATTGGGTTCACATAAACAAACTACCTCCCTACTCCAGATATGTAAACAACCTTTCTGATATGGTATTGAAGCAGCAGCATAGCAGTTAGTTTAATGTAGTTTAGAATGTTGGTGAAGAAGAATTATTACCAGGGGAAGAGAGCTTAAGACCCCGATTGTAAGTCAACAAAGCCATTTCCTCCATTGTTTGGTGGCTACAATTACCTGCATGAATATGAAATTACAGTAACATGACATGGTTTAGATTCGAATATCCCCTCGGGAAAAAATACCAAAAATCCCTCAAAGCTAACCACCAAAACTGATCCAAATGGCAGGAATCAAGTTTCCTATTATTTATTATGAACTGCCTGGAAGAAGACTGAGTACCTAGATTGATTTTTAGTGAAGGGTACTGGGAATTCTGGAGAGAATTGAACTCCAACAAGGCAACAACAGAGACTCAAAGATCCAACTGGGCTTTGGTTCGATCGCAATACCCAATAAGAAAGGAGAGGCAAACTCATAGAGGAGAAGCAAGCAAGGATTGACAGAACTCACCAATTAATCTGTCAAAAACGTCGCGCATTCGGACAATCCATGGGGCCGCCAGAGGTAGGCATCCATATATGGAGGAGGGGCAATTTGAGGACGGGAGCTTTGTCCTTCCATCTGAGTTAGGAGAGGACGACGTGATTCATCGGAGCGAGTTAGGCAGAAGATGCGAAGTCGGAAGAGGATTAGGCGAAGAACCGAAAGGGCGAAGTGGGAATAGAGAAAAAAGCAAGCGAAGAGATGAATTGGAGGGAAGCGGGCCTCTTCCATTAATCAAAGGGAACAGGGAAAGGAGTTGCAATGAATGGGCGGTGGCGTGTTGAGCAGGATTAGAGTGGGCTGGTGAGTGGTGCTGTGGTACAGCGGCGTGTCCGGGAGAGGCATGGCGAAAGGAAGAAAGGGGAAAAAGTGACCGCTGCAGATTTTCCGGTAAAGCCGACCGGGGGCATGCGTACGGAGAGCATGGATATGCTGATTCGACTGGGTGCAGGAGGAGCTGGGCGTTGATTCGACGTAGGCGAAGCGGCAGCAGCAGCAACCAGCCAGTTGTGAGTAGCTGCTTTGGCGAAGAACTAAGACCCCCTTCCACTAAGCGACAGAAAGTGAAACAGTAGTAAAAAATTGGGGTAATAAAGCGTACCGGGCTTTTATCTTTGGCAAAATACAATTTCATAGCCATAACTTTTCGCGTTGTGACAAATATAGCCACTTTTTGAAAAATACACTCGTATAGCCACTTTTGAAAACTTGCTTGACAACTTTAGCCATTTTCGTTACAAAACTTTAACACCGTTAACTCTCCAATGATGTGGATGTACACGTCATCAAATGTATGCCACATGACAGCCACCTCAATTTAAATTTTTATTTTAAATAATTTCCTCAATTATTTTATTTCACCACAATTCTCTCTTTCGGAAAATACCCTCCCTTCCCATTCTCTCTCTCCCTTATCTCTTTTCCCACTCTTCTTCTCCACCACAGAGCAAGAAATTTTTGACGAAGATGGTAGAATGCGGCTCTCGGCAAGGATGCAGACCCTTCTGATGGAGCTTGAGGGATATGCCACGGACGGGACCCTTCTGGATCCGCTTCTTCAGGTGGGTGGAGAAGGCGGCGATCTTGTTGCGGAGGCGCTTGGACCCATTTTTGCCGCCGACGAGAGCGAGAGAGAGAGAGAGGAGAAGAGAGCTTAACCTAGTTGTGGATTTTAGGCCGCCGGTGGGGAGAGTGAAGAGGAAACTGTTGCTGGGGAGGAGTCAAGACATTTGAATTTGAATTTGGATGCGAATCTGGTGCATAAGGATGAAGTTTGGGAAGATGGGTTTTGGCGGCGAAATCGTGTTTCTTTTCTGCAGAATCGAGTTTATGCTCTATGGGTTTCTGTTAGGGGGTCAATGAATCAAGTTTTGGCGGTGGTGGGTGGTTGGAGAAGACGAGATCTTGTTGGAGAAGACGATGTGATTCCCTCTGTTTAGTGGTGGCGGCTGCGATTAGGGTGGCGGTGTAGAAGTCGGAAGGGACTGGATAAATCGTGGAGCTTCGTGACAATGGCGGCGTCGGAAGAGATTGTTGGAGTTGGCGACCTTGACTCCTCGACTGCTGGTGACTCCGTGGCCTCCTCCCTAGCTATTTCCGACTCGATGGGTCGTTGAAAGTGCATTTTCTTGTTCGCTGGGCTAAGGGGAATGGATTTATGTGTGTCGACGTCGATTTGCAGTGATGGTGGAGGGGTTTTACTGAGAAGTGGGACAAAATAATATGGGTGAAAGTCAATCGACGACAGCCGACGGGGAAGAGATGATCCGGATGGGTCTCCTGGGTAGATGGAAAGAAGGGGAAAAGAAGATGAAGAAGGCATGTCCATTTTTATGTATTGTTATTTTTACTTTTTATTGCAATTATAATAGTAAATTAATAAGAAATGAAACTTTCCACCTAGGATTGGTTTAAACGAAAAATCGCCACGTCACCAGAAAATGTTAGTACAGTCAGCATTTACAATGTTGCCGTTAAAGTTTGGGACGGAATGGCTATACGATTGTATTTTTCAAAAACTGGCTATATTTGTCATAACGCGAAAAGTTATGGCTATGAAAGTGTATTTTGCCTTTATCTTTTAAAGAATTCAAGTGTCAACATTATTTTGAACTGGTTTTTTTCGCTTTACTTACCTTAACTGCCTCTGCAAACTGGCTGAGAATATCTGGTATCGACTTCCAGACATCTTCCTCTGAAGAGTGTTGGAAGCCATAGGCGAGGTCATTCTGTCCAATGTCGAATGTATAGAGAGCTTTTGAGAATTCCATTGCCCTTGGAAGATTCCTCTGGTTACGAAGTCTGTTCGTCCGAGCTTTGAATTGCTTGAACTGAGAAATCTGCACACCCAAATGAAATGGACTATAGCCACCTGGACGAATCGATGAGCCTCCGGTTGCAAAATTCGCACCATGTCTGAAGTCTGTACCGACTGAGTCCAGGTATGCGCTAAGATATGGCAACTTCAGTCTCTCAGCTGTTCATCAAAACCACAAGAAAAAGACATAACTGCTGGAATTCTCAAGCTTGGTATTTCTTTAACATGGAGGACTTGGTTTCGGTTTTCTTCTTACCAATGAAATCTATGATGAGACGGCCATCACAAGATCTTCCTGAAGGATGCCCGAAGAAGGTTTCTCCATTCGGTGGAGGGATCTCTCCTAGAGCTGCAGATATTCCTCCAGTATCAGAATTAGAGTCCCCAAAGTTGTACATAGCCGGGAACTTGCAGTTCCGCACGTCAGCATGAGATCCCACCAGGGTCACATCTGTCACCATTTTCAGCACTAGAGTCCCAAACACTCCGACCAGCAGCTTCATTGAGTCCATTTCTGGGCCAAGGAAGTACAGAAAGCCAAACAGAAAAAGAAGAAGCAACTTGAGCTGTTTTAAGAGTTCCAACCTTGATGGCAAGTGATCAGACCTCTTTGTACTTTATAAAGTTCACATGTACCGTTGATTGGCAAAGACATCACTAAAGTAAGAAGAAACATTAGAAAAACTTTAGAAGGTGCTGCCAAATTTGCTCTTCACGGGGATAAGATTTATGGTAAGAGACAAAGGAAAACATGTCAGCACTTGCATCTTGTTTTGTCAAAAAGTACATCGTACTGTAAAGAGACCATAATATTTATCTTAGTACAGCAACAAATATAGGAACATTAGTTTTACCCTGCTGAGGAAGATCTGCTAATGTCTCGAGAAACAATGGATCTCAAAAGGTTCATATGACGCTTCTGATTGACAAGGATATAGATAATTAATTTCTTTCTCTATAGAAAACCCCAGATCTGAGCTACAATTTGCAGAGAACCAGGATAATCACATTTCATTGATTGCCAAACAATGGTTCAGCACAAATTTTCATGTAAAAGAATGATCGAAGGGCATCCTAAAAGAAAACGGCTTCGGGTCGGAAAACTATCAAGAACAGAACCTGTTACATCCCTAACAGACAACCTCTTTGTGTAGCTGCCGTGAGCTCCATGTACCATTCACAGCAGCGGAAGGGAAAATCACTGTTGGCAGCCTCATACTTTCCTGGACATGTGGGAAATCGATGGTGTAGTGGAGTCCTCGGCTTTCCTGCCTAGCCATCGCGCTGCCCACCACCAGTTTCGCACTACAGAAGAGGTTCCTCATTTCACAAGCCTCGAGAGCCACCATTGTCTGCTTCCAGCCCTGCTCGAATAAGAACTTCTCCCACTGTGTTTCCAACTGATCCACTCGTTCTAAGGCAGTTTTTAGCATTGATGTTGAGCGAACAATCCCGACATACCTCCACATAATTGATTGCAGTTCTCTCCTCACTTCCTCGGTTTTGCCCAATATGGTATCCATCGTATCAGTTCCGAGAGCATTGGGGACTACAGGGCGAGCCCAACAACTTGAAGCACTGAGATCAAGGCTAGAACTTTTCTTGTGGTCGATAGAGGGCTGGACAGCTCTTCTAGCAAAAACTAGTGCCTCAAGCAACGAGTTGCTGGCAAGTCTATTTGCTCCATGCAAACCAGTGCAAGCAACCTCACCTGCCACATAAAGACCTCGCACGTTTGTCTCACCCTCAAGCCCAGCACGGACTCCGCCACACATGTAGTGTGCAGCTGGAACAACAGGAATGGGCTGCTGAGTAATGTCCAGCCCATGCTGGAGGCACTCAGCGGCTATGTTGGGGAAGTGGGATAAGATCTTTTCCTTTGGCTTATGGCTTATGTCAAGCAGAACATATTTATCATTATGTTTCTTAAGCTGATCATCGATTGCTCTTGCTACCACATCACGGGGAGCTAGCTCAGCTCTCTCATCATATTTTGGCATGAACCTTTCCATGCTTAAATTGTACAGAATGCCTCCATCACCTCTGACAGCTTCGGAAATGAGAAAGGCGTTCTCTCGGGTTTTTTTGAGTTTTATCGGAAGCCCTTCATCGGCCAAAGCAGTTGGATGAAATTGCACAAACCTGAGGGTGAGCAGAAGCAGCAAAGCCATTTAGATGTGAAAGCGGACCCAAATACTGATCGCCAAGGAGTAGAAGAGTCAAATGGGTAAGTTTTGAATGAGTGGTTACTTGATACTTACTCCATATTCGAAATCACAGCTTGAGCTCTATGAGCCATAGCCATCCCATCTCCAGTAGCCACCTAATGATTGACCAAAATAACATGTCACGAAGATACAGAGGAATCACCAACTACATGATAGTAAGATATTTTATACATGAAATGCTCTAAATACAAATAAATTAGACACAGGAAACATCTTTGAAACAGTTCCATTGGTTTGTCAAACAATAATAGCTCGCCAGATAGTGGAGATTATAAAAAGAAATGTACCAGGGGATTTGTTGTGCAAGGATAGATATGCCCAGCTCCACCAGATGCAAGTAATGTGACCCTTGAAAGAAATCGAATTACCTGATGAAGAAAAATTGAAAATGATAATATCAGCAAGACTCCAAGACAACAACTTTAATGTCGTTAACTGACAGGGTTCAGTAAGCCCAATAATCACCTCTTGTGTTTCAGTATTCAAAGTATCAACACCACGGCAAACTGTGTCAGGGCCATCCTACATTTCCAGCAACAGAACTTCGTTAGTTTACACAGTCCAACTGGGATCCCTGAATTCTTTTTATTTGCCAAGAAAGGCTCTCTGAAATCGACCATAAGAGAATACTTGAAACACCAGATCAATAACCTGTGAAGTTAGCAGATCTATAGCAAAATGATGTTGGAAGACGGAGATATTAGGATCATTGATAACTGCCTGCAGCAAAGCTCGCTCGATCTCCCTACCAGTCATATCAGCAGCATGGACAATCCTTCGATGGGAGTGCCCTCCTTCCCTTGCTAGATGCAAATTTCCATCCTCCCCATGGTCAAACATTGCTCCCATGGCTATAAGCTCTCTAATCCTCTCGGGGCCTTCTGTGCACACAACCTAATGAAAGGTTACAAGTTTAACATGAATAAACAGCCAACTCAAGATATTTGGAAACCGGTCACGATTTCCCTTGATCTTACCCTGACAGTCTCTTCATCACATAGATAAGCTCCAGCTACGATTGTGTCCTGCATGTGGCTCTCTACAGAGTCTTTAGGACACAAAACAGCACTAACACCACCTTGAGCATAATTTGTATTGCTCTCATGAGGCTCGGCCTTGGTGATGACTGCAACAGTTCCATGCTTTGCGACTTCAAGAGCATACCGGAGGCCAGCCACCCCACTTCCAATGACTGCAAAATCAAAGTACTTTGTGGAACCACCATCTCCAATGCAGGATGACACACTGAGCCTCCTTGTTACAGCTGATTGAGAGAGATTACATTTTTTTGGCATCTCCAAGACCTTGAATGCCCCTTGAGACCTGAACGAAGACCAAAAATGCCAAAGAGATGGTATCATGAGCAAGGCCCTCAATCACTAGAGAAAATTTTGAACTCCAAATTCAACCAAAACTCCACACAAGCAAAATCAGTGAAAAAGAACCGTTTGAGAAAATTAAAGATCCCCCGTGTAAATTTACCATGAAAGATCCTTGTGCAACCATCCATTGAAGGAAAGCGCTGGGGAGTTAGTACAGGCTGATTGTCTACCGCTCTGAAGACGCCTGCTGGTATTGAATCCAGAATGGAGGTTGCTGCTTCCTGTCGCTACACTCGCAGCCATTGAGAACAGAAACTCTGTTTCGAAATCTGAAATTCTTTACCTGTTCAATATGAAAATTGAGATTACCCACCAAAGAAAGAGCATCAAATTTGAAGCAAGGATAACTGATTCGCCATGCAATCGGCATCCCTCCCTGTTTCGATGCTCCACTTATTCCATTTAACTAAGCCGAAAGGCAAGTCTTTTCAGCTTATATTTCTATATCTCACCGCCCAGAAGCAAACTTTTTGCAGAATTTCACTTGGTACATGGAGAGTTTTACAAGACTTCCGGTGGTTGTAACCAGCTCGAAACTAGAACAACATGCAAAAGAGAAGCACTTTCTGCTTCCCGTACTGCAAGTCCTGAAGAACACCATATCCGGGAACAAAAAGAAGAGGAGGGAAACGGGCATTCGGTGGATCCAAATAGCTTTTACCAAAATTTCCAGGACTTTCCCGGGCAGTCCAACTCCGAATTCCAAGCACATACTCAAGACCCAAAAAATGCAAATCGAAAAGACCAACCTGAAAGGTTAAAGGATAAAAAAAAGAAAACAACTTACTGGGATGTTTCTTCACCAAAATTCTGAAAAAAAGCACAATCCCGAATCTGGGTTTTTCTAATCCTCAAATCATCACCATTGGTAGACAGATCCAGAAACAAAAACGCGGCTCTTGCTAGCAGGAAGATGAGTCAGTAATTAACCCACGACTATTGCGAGACGTTGCTTAAGCAGTTAAGCCGACGACGAATGCAGCTGGTCGTCCTTCCGGCTCGGTGCATAAAACCAAACCCGATTTCCGAAGCGCGAATGTGTTCGACAGCGAAAGGGCAATTTCCCCAACGGTACAAAAAACAGAGCGAAAGAGAGAGGAGAAAGAGAAATTTCGAGGCGCCACCGATAACACGCAAAGGTCAGGGAAAGAAGAAGAGAATGGTTTCTAGTTGGCCTCTTGTTTTGGGGTTTTGGTCCTTGAGAGTCAGAACCATCGCAGAAATTGGCGCCATCAGTTTTTACGGTTTGCACAGGTTGAACCCTTGTGCTGCCAAACCACGAGGCTTTAGTTTGCACAGGTTGGACATACCATTCCTTGTGCTAAACGAATTGGCATGAAATGGGGTTGTTATGAGGATTCGAAACCATGACCTTTCGGTTCTAGGCTCTGATACCATGTTAGCGAACTAACCACTTAGCCCCAATAACTCGAGTTGTTGGGAAAGGGATAGTTAAGCCTTTTAACCTCTTATACCACGTCCACAATTGTTCTTTTTCAATTTCCTAGTACATGTCCATATTTGTTGTTTAGTTATCCAAATCTATTTGTCTTTGTCTAATACTATTAGACTAAATTACAGGTTTGATCATTCAATTCATCAAAAAAAAATTCACTAAACAAATTTTTTTTCTTATAGTCACTAAATTTAAACGTCGTTTGGTCGATGGTTATTTGTTGTCCAACTCCGTTAAATTCCTCCTAGAATACTCATTGGGCTTTAATTTTATACGTTAATGTTAGTGTTGACTTTACATAAAGCAACTTCAAGTTCTGAAGGAGCATTTTCAACAATGAAGTTCTTCAATAATAATGATATTTGAGATGGGATGACTTTCCGATATTCACGGTTATCCGAAAACAACATACATCTTGATGTGGTAGATTCGATCATACTCATTACCCCTTTTTACGTGCTCTTTCTCGGACAACTTACCTAAAATAAACATAAACTTTCAACCAAATCTCACCCATCAAATGTACAGGACTACTTTGATGGAAAGTGTAGTCCAGTTAAATGTCTCCACTAGTTTGGTTCTTTTTCTTCGTGATCAATCACTTTTTTTTTTTATAAAGTTAGTAAGGTTCTTTGATGCATGGCTCTCAAGTTTCAACTCTCAACCATGCGAGAAGATAAGAGACTCCAAGGCCTTTTATGATTCTGTTCCATATTCCCAACTCTCTCCCTCCATGCTCGATCAATACTCTGAATCTGATCCATGGCCATGATGCTGACGGCGGCTTATGTGGTGGATCATGGATGGCTAGTGGCCGTTAATTTGTTCTTCATTGGTAGGATAGGAAAAGTGCTCGAAAGAAAGAAGGAGCTTTAATAGACGTCCAAAGCCCATAGGATTTGGCGGCCCAGCATCACTTCAACTGTATCAGTCCATTGGACTCCCTCCCATAGCTCAAAACTCCAGCCACTCGATGCTCTATTGGGCTGAAGCCTTTTTAGTGGGCTGGTCTGCATGCTAGGCTTCTAAGGTGGGCTTTTAGCCATTACAGTATTTGGGCGCTTTTGCTTATTCTAGATTTGAAATCAAAGCATTCATAAATCATAATCATCTTTGGGGAGGAGTGTATTAACGAGATCCTATTACTTCGTTGGGCGCGACCGCCATTTTCAGAACTTCGCGAGTATCTGCGCATGTAACCGGCGCGCCACGGAGAACAATCACCATCATCATCATCAATCCCTTCTTCCCACTCTTCTCCTCCTCCTCCTCTCCCATCAATTCCTTGCGTTCAGCCACCGCAGGCTTCTTCCGAACAAACGACACAATGGGGAACGTCGTCACCTCCTCGGCACCGCCACCGCCGATGGTTCTCGTCCCTCCGCTCTTCGACTTCCCGCCTCTCGCCGCCCGCAACAGGTTACCGAATTACCGATTCCTCTGCTTTTTTGTTTGTCTATCGTTCTTTTCTTCCCTCTTTCCAATGTCGCTGCGTGGTAGCAGTGGCGGAGGCGGTGGTGGTGGCGGAATTTAGAAATCGTGGGGTGTTATGGCAGGATGCTGGAGTCGTCGTACAACTTGTTGTTTGGGAAGCTGGCTTTGAAATGCCTGTTCGAGGATTATTTCGAGGAAGCCAAGCATTTCACCACCATGATCATGCTGAAGCCAATTGACGATCCTCATGTGGATTTGATTGCAACTGTAAATCCTAATTCTCTTTTCTCGTCCTTTTGAGTGTTTAATTCTGAATCTAGTGATTTGGAAACTTGGAAGTATTCGTTTTGACCTTAACTTGATTTGCTCATTAGGTTTCAGGGCCATTGGACCACAAGCCTGAGGAGAATGTTGACGGAAGTGCATTTTTCCGCTGGCAAAGGTGCTGTTGTCGTTCGTATTTGCTCTCTGGTTCTGGCCTTATGTTAGTTAGATGTGATAGTTTTACGTTTCTTCATGGCAGCAGTGATGTGCATGATCCTCATACATTCATGGACATCTATGCATCAAACTCTGATCCGTAAGCTAACTCCCCACCTTCCAATCCGCAATTTCGTTTCTAAGTATGTCAAAATGTGAAATTGCTTAGGCATATTGCTTTGCTTCCTTCAGTATTCTACGACTGAGATCATGTGCTTTCTATCCGAGATTTGGAGTGGGAGCGTTCGGTATATTGCCCTTATTATTGAGGAAGAGGTACTGCTTTGTCCCTTTAGCATTTTAGGTTTTGATAGTTTATAAGCCTGCTTCTCAAATGTGTTCTTACGATGGAGGTCGTTATTTCAGAGTTGCTTCTGAAGATTATGGAGTCATGGGACTGAGATATGGCTCCGAGTGCTTATCAATTGGAGCCACCGTGTTGCCTTTTGCTTGTAGGTGTAGTAAAACTATGTAGATATAATGAATGTCCTAGCTTATTGTAGGACTAACTGGACAAGCCGTATTTCCCCTTGTTTCATTTCTCAGATGTAACATTGTCTGTGCAAAGTCTGCAGTCGCCACAAACTTACCTCATTATTTGGATCTTGTTGCTTTTAAATTTCAGTGCAAGAGGAGTTGCCAAAGAATGCATGGTTAGTAAGCAAGATCGGAAGGTTGTCTCTTGGAGTACAGTATGAGCCTCAGTGTAAGTTGCACTTCTCCTTGATTGGGTTTTATGGATTGTGCATCTTTGGATCATTATATATATATATAGTGTCTAGTCCCACTTGTATTTCATTCTATTTCTGTTCGGCTGTATGCATGTGTTAAGTGAATAATGGCAGTTCTACACAGTGCATGCTATTCATTTTCTCTTCTGTTTCTCATTCATTTTCTACCTTCCATGCATAATTCTTGTTTATCTGTCAGTTCCTATTGTAGTTGCATTTGGTTAACATCCATCATGACATTTTGTTGAAATAACTAGGAGAGGTGGCCAATAACTGTGAGGATATTCAGAACCTAGCAGCATTTATTGTCGTTTATGAAAAAAATGAAGCAATTTTTCTGTTAATTAAGATGGTTCTGGTTAAAGGACTCGTGAGAAAAGGCACTTACGGGGGTACTGTTGGTCGAAAAACGGAGAAGATTGTGCTTTAATGTCCTCTGAAATAGTGGTCTAGTTCATTGCACATTTTCTAGGCCAGTTCTGGTGAACTCTTACATTCAGATGGTTGCCAATCGTTATAGGGCTTCTACTCTTTCCATGGCACTGCTATACTATGCAATAGTTTATGGATAGCCGTCGATAAAGAACAATTTTTTCTTTCAATTTGCAAAACGTCATTGTTTGGCTGGCTATTTCTTATTAGTTGGTAGTGTGAATGGTGCCAAGTACAAGAATCCCAGGAACTGGAGTGCCGCACTTGGATATGGAGTAGGATCAGCGAGCCCCATAAGTCCTTCCTTTAATTTTGGTCTTGAACTTGCTCAAAGTTCCCAGGTTTGTGCCTTTGGCCTTGTTATACATATTATTATTTAATTCTTTGTTCACATTTGCATGTAACGTATGTCGACTTAAGTATATTGAAGTTCTAACTGTTGTTCGCCTGCAGTGTATTAGAACTTGCTTAAATTTTCATAAAAGTTCCTTTATTTGACGTTAGCAAGTGATTTGCGGCAAAAGCATTTCAACTGACCAATATCAAATGCTTGTTTTGTATTGCAGTTTATTGCCTCGTTCTATCAACATGTGGTGGTTCAGAGACGTGTATGTTCTTAATTTCTCTTACTCTCTATTCATTGTTCCTACATTTGCTATTAATTGTTAATAACGCCCCCTAATTAGCCACTCTGTGCAGAAATTGTTTCTTAATTTTTTCAACTAATTGTCTGATGGAAATTTTACGTTGTTAGTACTTAGTGGTGAACCATTAGATCATACGCATTTAAAAGTTCATGATCATATTTTCTGGCATTTTTAAGGGCTTAGGAAATTGACTCTTTGCATAGGGTTGTACAGTGTTATATCCCAAAATTGTTGTTTTGAGAGCTCTGGATTCAAGGTTTTAGTTTTGTGTTACTGGACTAGAATGTCGTTGGGTCATCAAACTGGTGAAAGTATCTTGTCTGATGACTATATGCTTCTTTTAGAAATAGTTATTGCATTAATATCGAAATGTTATAAGTTATAACTTATACAGATTGATAGGCTTAAGTACTTACTGTTTTCACAAAGTTCGATTTATCTTGTATAAGTGTTGACTGTTTCACCACCACCTGCACAGGTGAAGAATCCATTTGAAGGAAATGAAGTAGTTGGAATCACAAATTATATCGACTTCGGATTCGAGTTGAAGACAAGGTAATTTAGGTTACAACTGTCATATTCAAGTTGCATGTTTAGTTCTAACATATTCATATATTCATGTTATTGAAAGGATCGATGAGGCGAAAGTGTCGAAAGATCTACAAGACTCCACCTTCAATGTTGCTGCATCCTGGCAGGCCAATAAGAATTTCCTTCTTAAGGTACTACTTAGATGCAGTCTCACCCTCAAATAACTTCATATTATAGGAGTGCACATTGTCATATCCTTGATCTAATTTTTGCAGGCAAAGATTGGTCCCTTGGCCTCATCTGTTGCATTGGCATTCAAATCATGGTGGAAACCTTCATTTACCTTCAACATTACAGGTGCCTTGCTATCTTATTTACTTGATTTACTTCTTAGTTGCTTCCTCTGTTGTAATTTGTAAATCATCCTGACAGGTTATGTATTGCACAACTGTTCTACCTTTCTTCGCGTTTACTTCCTTGTTTATGTCCGAAGTTGGATTGCTGAAAGCTAGGTTATTTCTGAATGTGATTAGAGGTTATATTTTGGCGATATTGCTCTCGTCGATTCAGTGGTCTGAAGCATCAGTGATATGCTATTGATGCCATATTGACATTATGTACTGTTTTAGGAAACTCTGTGGAGATTGACTAACTTCTTGTTCCCATGTTCTTGCAGCTACCAGAGATCGAATGACTGGAAAAACAGGATACGGTTTTGGCATCCGTGTGGAAAACCTCCGAGAAGCCAGGTTCGTGAACATGCTTTTTTACGATCGTACTTCTTACACAGCTACAGGTTTTTGAATGCCTATGTTGTTATTCATCTCTCCCTATGCATGCAGCTACCAACGAGCGGATCCAAATTTCGTAATGCTGACACCAAGCAAAGAGCACTTAGCAGAAGGCATCCTTAAGAACGGGAATCGACCCATGTTGCAAGCTGATGTCAACTCTGGTAACTACGAAGGCCTGCCCAGAGAAATGAGACCTTATGGCAAGATTCTATAGAGAGATAGAGAGAAAGATCTTCCCCACCCCACCTCCCTTTTCTTTTTATCTCATGAAGTTGTGTAGAACTTCGTTTCCCTCTTCCTTTTCCTTTCCTGAATTAGGTAGCATTCGAGTTAGAAAACCCTACAGAGTAACACTTGACATCGTTGGATTACCACTCCCTCACATTTTCAGAGGCGAAAATTTTGAAAAAATAATGGCTTTACGAAGTGATTCGAACAGCTAATTTGACGACTTCAGTTTGCGCTGCTACATAAGAATACCGTATTTTTAGAACATTTTTCTAGAAATGAATACAAAAATGTGTATTTTGATTTTTGACTGTTAAGTTTTGACAGTGACACAGTACAGTGAGTAGAACTGGACTGGAGCCTTCTCTCGCTCGCTCACCACAGAAACTCTTCGCAAAGAGACAACAAGCAAACGCAAGCAGGCTGAGCTCGAACCGAAAAGCAAGACTAATTAACAGAAGAGAAAAGTCCTCCGTAGTCCAGGAGGATACAGATGGCGGCCTCTTCTTCTTCATCATCGTCATTCCTAACTTCCACCTTCTTCCCTCGCTCACCAACCACTTCCTTCCTCCAACCGCGCTCCCTTCCCTATCTTCTCCCTCTTTCCAAATCCGCTTCTCTTCGTGACGGCCGGACGAGCGTCACCGCTCCTCCTCGCGCCGTCCTCTCCTTCCTCCGCAGGACTTCGATCAGCTCTCTTCCTTCTCCCTCCGCAGTCTTTCCTTCCCGGAAATGCTCCGACGACTTGACAGACTCGTCGTCTTCGGCTGCTTCTGTTGTCGATGTAATTCTTGTAGTGTGCGCCTCCGTCGCGCTGTCCTTGTCTCTGTTCCTGGCCGATGTCGACTCCGCCGCTGCGTTCGTCGTCACCACTCCCCGGAAGTTGCAGGCGGATGAGCTCGCTACTGTTCGCCTCTTCCAGGAGAACACTCCTTCCGTTGTCTACATCACCAATTTGGCTGTCAAGTATGTGTATCGCAATTTCCTTCTCTCTTGCTCTTTGCTTTCCGTTCAATTTTTCACCTGTTTACTGATGATAATGGCTGTCGCAGGCAAGATGCTTTTACTCTGGACGTGCTGGAGGTGCCGCAGGGATCAGGATCGGGGTTCGTTTGGGACAAAAATGGTCACATTGTCACCAATTATCACGTCATTCGCGGCGCTTCCGATCTCAAGTCAGTTAATTCGATTCCTTCACTAATCCTCCTGTCTCATTGACCAACATTTCAGATTCATTAGCTAGTCTGAGAGCTTCGTTGCTGCTAGTTTTCTATATTGTGATTGCGGGATTGTGTGATGAACTGATGATGGAGTTAGTTGGGAAATGGGAGCACTTATAGGGGTCTTATCAGATTTTGGAGTGTTCCTCTCTTAAGTTAGGTTCAAATGTCATGATAGGACTTCAAATTTGCCGAGACTCCTCATGGTCCTCTAAGTTAGTTTTCTGTGATGGAAACTGTTGAAGATAAGAGAGGCAAGAGGTAGACTCGTATTATTGGCATTCTGAGGTGGTTCTTGGTTTGTATGCAGAGTGACTCTAGCTGATCAGACATCTTATGATGCAAAGGTCGTTGGATTTGACCAAGATAAGGATGTTGCGGTGTTGAGTGTCGAAGCTCCGCTAGACAAATTGAGACCCATTCCTGTTGGTGTTTCTGCTGACTTGCTTGTTGGTCAGAAGGTCTATGCTATTGGTAACCCTGTGAGTATGATCCACTCTCTTTTCAATCTAGGATGTGAACTATGACACATTTAAGACATTCACCATAAAAATCTGGAATGAGTTTATGTTTAATTTCATGGATTTTGTATGCACTGTATCAACAAAGTCGGATGCTTTTTGCATTTGCATTTTTATATGCGGCTTGAAGATCAAGACTTGAGATATAATTTAAATGCAAATTCTAATTCTTCTATGTTTCTAACTTGTCTAGTATTGTATGGCTGACCGACTTTCAAATTGTTGTTTCTATTCTGCAGTTTGGGCTTGACCATACTCTGACCACCGGTGTCATCAGGTACAAAGTCATAGAAAGTATGTCGTATATTGTGGTTATGCCTTAAACGGCTTGTTCCACTCGATTTTGCTAGTCAATCAGATGGATCTTTTGTTACCCCTATCTTATGCCTCAGGGAATTGTCTGTATTGTGCTCGAATTACCATTCCTAGATTTATAAAGTGCTGTACAGTAGAGTATTGAACCAACCTACATCCAAATGATTTCAAAGAACTGAATATAACTAACATATCAAAAGAATATAAGTAAGACTGAAGGTGGCTAATCTCTCCACTATTGCAATGTGTCCTTTTTGTGAAACACAGGGCGTTTGCTTTTTGCCTGTTTCACTAACAGAGTCTTTTTATATGTTGTAGTGGACTCCGTAGAGAAATAAGCTCTGCTGCTACAGGCCGTCCAATTCAGGATGTTATCCAGACGGATGCAGCAATTAATCCAGGGAATAGTGGAGGTCCACTTCTCGATAGTGCAGGAAACTTGATTGGGATAAACACAGCCATCTATTCACCATCTGGCGCATCCTCTGGTGTCGGGTTTTCAATTCCAGTCGACACTGTAAGTAATAAGTACGTAGCTGATTTACCTCAACTCTTCTCAGAAAGAGAGAATCATCGCCAAATTGATGACTGTATTGCAACTTGTTTGATTGTGTGAATACAGGTGAATGGCATAGTTGATCAGATAGTGAAGTTCGGCAAAGTCACCAGACCGATATTAGGAATTAAGTTTGCGCCTGATCAATCAGTGGAACAGTTGGGCGTAAGTGGGGTGCTTGTCTTAGATGCTCCTGCAAGTGGCCCAGCAGGCAAAGCTGTATGCCTTCTTTCACTGTCCCCCAGACTTCTTTACCTCACGGGGCCAACTATTCTTGGTTCACATCCCTGCACCCTCTGCTCATATATCTCTACTTATTACAGGGCCTGCTACCAACTAAACGCGATGCATACGGTAGACTCATATTGGGCGACATCATAACATCCCTGAACGGGAAGAAGGTCGCGAATGGAAGTGATTTGTACAGAATTCTTGATCAATGTAAAGTGGGCGAGACGGTATGGCCTCTGCTTTTTATCTTTTTTCATCGGTCTACTGCTATGCAATCAGCTTTGTAATTACAGCTTTGTTCTTAACACGAGCAGGTGACGATAGAGGTGCTCCGTGGGGATCACAAGGAGAAGATACCCGTAATTCTTGAACCAAAGCCGGACGAGTCGTAGATGGGGTTTGGCTGAAAGTGGTCAGTTCTTCAGCTCTCTGGTTGTTTAGGCTATAGACAGCCCTTCTGCCATGCAATGCAATTGTTTCACTGAATTTGAGCTGGAGGGGCTTTGTTGTTGTACATATTCTGTATCCGTCACTGGCTTAACTATCAAGTATCAATTTCTGCCTACAATTATTACAGTGATGCTAACTTCAATACAGTCTCGAGCTTGCCTTTTCAGAAATTCCATAATTGGGATTTGGAATGCTTGCTCTTGACTTGTGATATCGTCGTGAGAATACTGTTCATTTCGGTCATGAATACACAAACCGGGCTTTATCTGTGTTCGTGATTGGGTTTTGGATTCGAGATGCGTACCGTGAGTTCCCTTGACAATTGGACATGAGATTTGAGATGCTTTCAGTGGTTAGAGTTGTTGAATCTGGTTGTCGTGTGCCCCGATCATTCTATGATTGCGATATTTGTTGGTTTTAGCTTCTAAAAAGCACAGGTCACCAATATGGATGACAATTATCTACTTAATCCATTTTTTACTAGTACTGTAGTAGCATATAAGGTCAACTATGCATGGATTTGGGTAATCTTTGTGTAGGGTAAGATAAATTATGAGTCTTTACTTTCAACTTTAAAATGGACATTTATTGTGATTGGCCCATTTCTTTTGGTATTGTAATAAGTATTTACTATCATCACTTGGACTTGTTTGTAAATTTTGAATACGGCAAAAAGGAGTAACTTCCATAAAATTTTATGGAATATTTGTAAGAAACGAAGGTGCACAAAAAAAATTAAGGTACTAAATTGTAAAACATTTTAAACTTATGTGTAAAATTATAATTGTTTGAAAACGATGTGATTGGATAAAAAACCCAAATTTTATACCCAAACCATATGGTGGATATTATATTTAGGGGTCGTTTGCTTCAAGGATTTTGTCATGGATTTGCTAATTAAAAACCTTGGGATTTATTAGGGATTTTGGGCATTAGGGCTTTGAGGAAACCTTTTGTTTGTTGAGCTATTTTTATTATGAATTTGATGGTTTTTCAGCTTGTCTCCAAATCTCAGGGCATGAGGCGGGATTTACAAATCGTGGGGCCCACGAATTTGGAGCCCCAAATCAGTGGACCCCACGGATTTGGTACCCTCCATTTTGGCTCAACAAACAATGGCTTTTGGACAAATCGTTCATGTGTGGGATTTGAGAACCAAATCCCACATTCAAATCCTTGAAGCAAACGACCCCTTAATCATTTAAGTGGAATGGAGTGAGTGGGATAGGATGAGGCGACGATATAGCGAGTTCGTATTCTAATGCAATTAGTCATTTTAAACAAATAATTATGTGAGGAGTTCCTCTTTTTATATGCAAGAAATTTGAAGTCTTTAGCCTTCGTTTGGACAAAGGATGATGACGTAGGCTATTTGGCTTTTAGTTATTTTATCTATGTACGCATAAGATCGTTGATCACCTCTGGTTGTTGAACTTGATGAACTTTACCCAATAGTTCTTAGTGAATTTTTTGTATGAATTGAAAATTGGGTCCCAACAAATGATTTTACAAACATCGAACAATGTCTTAAGATATTTGTATGTTATAATTATTCTGTTGAGTAAGGAAACCACCTCACTCTCTTCAACTCTTGAAAGTAACAAATTGAAGGCCAGAAAATCTAATAAAAGAGCCCATATGTCAACCATGGAATTTCATCCAAAGTCCCTAGTAGAGCTTCCAGTGGAGAATGGTGGCCACATCTTTTACCTACCAAAACACATGGTCCATTTTATCATCTCACGAACAAAACTCATCCGAACAACAAGCGGGTGAAAAAAAAAACTAGTATGTATATAAGATGTGATTTTATTCAATGCGTATATAAAGAGAGCTCTCCTTCATGGAAAAAAAAGGAAATACATACATTGATTTTGGCATGAAAAGGTAAAGAAGAAAAGTAAAAATGAAGGGAAGGGGTTGATGGGTTATAGCTTATGATTAATTTGGGAAACCATCAAAGAGGGGAGAAAAAGGCGAGCGGTTGTGTTTGGGGATCATACTGAAATCGGTGGAGAAAGGCCGTACTCAAGGCTCCACAGCTCAAACCCTCCATTAACGAAGTCATAGTATCCTCCATACAGTTTCAGTGTCTTCTTCGACAACCCGTCTCTCACAAATGGATATGTCAGCAGATTCGCCAGCGACACGTTCACGGCCTCCTGCAATATAACATGGACGAGTAACAAAATGTTTATATCTAAATAAACAATACTGCTGCATGAATAAGCACCAAAATCCGCAAATCGAATGAAAGGATCTCATAGAAATTTGCTCATGGTGAACCATGAAAAAATGGAACTTTTATCTACTAGTACACTTGCCTTCTCACAGGTGGTGCATTGGTCACCAAAAGCAGCACTGCCGTTGTCAGACAACACCTTCTTCTTGGCAGGGATCCCAATTGATACCCAGTCTTCTATGAAATCACTGCACATCCATTCATCCCAAATGACAACAACAAAAATAAACTGTTTAGGTTAAAATCAAACACTCTTGAATTGATTAGGAAAAAAGAGAATGATTAGAGTAAACTTTTAATTACGTGGAAGTAGTGCCATCGAATGGGAAGGACATGAGACCCTTGATTCCACCACAAGCACTGTGTCCAATCACCACTATGTTCTCCACCTTGAGATGCAGCACTGCGTACTCTACCGCAGCTCCAACACCGGCATATTTCACCTGTAAATAATTGTTTACCCACCATAACTCGAGTTAGCGAGAAAGATTAAGCACAATTTTTACGCTATATTCTCGAACAACTCGTTCGTGATAAAAAGATCCTGACAGTAACAAATATTTATTAGACGTGAATTGTTGCAAGAGGTTGAAGAAATGACATATCGACTGACCTGGTCGAATTGAGGAACCATGTTTGCAACATTGCGGACCACGAAAGCCTCTCCGGGCTGCATATCCAGAACGTGGGATGGGCAAACCCTCGAATCCGAGCAGGCAAACACCATGTACTGCCGCCCACAACAAAAGAAACAGAAAATTAAGCTTCAGTAATTAGTTTTGGATGATTAATCTCATCACCAGCTAATAGCAAAGTTAAAGCTTGGGATACAAGTTATGGGCTTGAAAACTACCTTGGGGCTCTGCCCTTTGGCAAGCTCGCCGTACAGTGCAGGTTTCGTCCTGTTCCAATAACAAAGAGAACATGAATCATTATTCATAGTTTTGGTTCTGGTGACAAAAGGTAGTTGAAAGTTGTGAGTGAGGGAACTGACTCGTATTTCTCCTTCTTGAAGGTAATGAAGCCTTCTTTGATCCTCTCAACAGCATCGAATGGCTTGGTGCCAGAGGAAGCAGTGGAGAGCTCAGCTTTGATCTGATCCACTTTGGCTGCTGCCACCGCCTTCAGCTCTCCTTTCTCACTGCAATTACGTACCATCACCCCTTAATAATTCCACATCTTCCACATACATATGACCAAATAACTCATGAATTAAAAGAGACAAAGAGATGGAGGATTATTATGTTACCTGAGGAGCTTCTCAAGACCCTTGATGGCTTCCTGGTAGTCCTTCGACATGTCTTCCTCACTCTGTTCATCATTAACCACCAAGTAAAATACACTCAGTAGCAGGCCAAACTATAAGTGTCATGTAAAGAAAATCTGTCATTCACCACCCAAGTGTCATTCAAGTATTGGAGTGTCCCAACTGTTTAATTATGGCTAGTAGGGCATAAATTTGCATCTGGTACCAATACAGTTGGACTACCCCTCAACCCATAATTACGTGGAAACTTTAATGGTGGCTAGTAACTTGCTGAGGGGGAAATGGATTCACGTTGGCAGCCTATCAGCCAGTCAGATACGTTGCATGAAAGGTACATTTGATGAATATTCCTCTTCCTCTTCTCCCCCACTTGAAATTGCACAAATGTTACAATCTCCAGCCATGCAGTTATTATTACAGTTGAACCAGAAACAGAACACAAGTATGCACCAAACTGAGAATGCCATGTGGAGAGCTGAATGTGAAATGAAGGGGGAGAATAAGCCAACTAGTAATCCGTACCCAGGAAGGATTGAGAAGAGGTGCAGGGGCGGCGAAAACGGGCTGGTTCCTGATGAGCCTAGGAGGTGTGTTGATGGGATTTGAGGAGGAAGAGGAAGAGAAAGAGGGAGGTTGAGAGTTGTTGAGCTTGGCGACGACGAGTCTTCGCGGGGAAGAAGTGGTGGTGGTGGTGGTGGTTTTGGGGGAGGAGAGTATAAGGGAGCAGGCGCTGTTGAGGGAAGCGGTCGACATTGTGGGTTCAACGGACCCTTTGCCTCACTGGATTTATAATGCTCTTCTAGCTACTTATTGCACAGCCTTCTTCTTCATTATAAAATGGGGCAGGGTTGTGGACGTGGATGATTGAGTGAATGAGTCGAGCCACCACGCCACACCACAACCAGCAAAATGAGACCATTGGATAATGAAAGCGAAAGCTGTGTCAACCACTGCTTCTTGCCCCCTTCATTTCATCCTTTGCCCTGGACCGTTTGGCTAGCTTTTGAATGGAAGTCATTGGATCCTCCTCCTCCTCCCACGATACATTATAAATTTCGAGTGAATTCATAATCTCGTTACAACGTATTGTGTAAATTGATTACAATTTTGAATTATCAGCTTGGATGATGTATAACTAAATATTCTTTAGCTTGTGCACGAAGGTAAAGTTGATGGAAATCCATAAGGGGGCGCGGCCACAACAGGCAGCACAGCACTACATTGTGGCCAGACATAGTAGAAACTAGAATGTAAGGTAGAGAAAATTACACTAGTGGGCCTGCCTGCAGATACACAACTTCATGGCCGTGAAGGGAGAGGGGATAAGGCCCTATCTGGGCTGATCTCCAAAACATGGCTATGCTTCAACTCCACAGGGATCAGACTTCCATATACCTCACTGCCCTTATCCCTTTGTTCTGCTCTTTTGGACTTTTCTACTCCCCACAAAATCCCCATTAACAAATAGTACTGGATGATGGGATTCTTCTTGTGTTACTGTGAGAACGAGAGCTAGGAATGCGATTGAGGTGAATCGCCGTCCTAATGAAGATCGTCGAGAGTTTAATCCAGCCCCTCTTGTAATCTGCCCAAAAGAAACTAAGCAATAACGTTAGTAACCATGCTAAAAGAAACAACTGTCTTATTACATAATGCCTGATGGACAGCGCTCTTGACACTGCTTGGGGTAACGGCCGCAAGCAACACACAGAAAAGCTTACCCAGGCTGACGACCATTTTGTGTGTTTCTGTGGATGAATGAATCAACATTTCTTCTCTGGAAAAAAAGGGTCTTTAGGCAGCTCTGCACCGGTTGGTTATAGTCTGAATGCACATATATATACTTCATGCAATTTTCGAAGCAAGTGCCATAGTGTCAACATTCTTGTGCCATCTACGCTGCAAGCATACCACTACTTCTCCCACAAAGTCACATAAGCCGGTGTCGGCTTCTGTGTCTTCTTGTTTGTTTTCTTTTCTGCAGTTGCGCTTAAGAAATGAAACACCTACCCTACCATTATATTACCTATACTGTTGTCATCAACTGCATATCAGGAGAGCCCATGTAGTCGATAAATAAGAACACACTTGGCCTAAGCTTGATTAGAGCAAAGTAAACACCTATATTCCATAATGCAAAACTTCCTCATTATTCACTCAACACAAAGATACATAACAAATCTCTTTTCCCCCATTTTTGAAGAATCATAGCAAGTTTATTAATTGATTCAGCCCAAGTATTGCGATAGCAGTAACAGTAGCTTATCTACGCCAGCAACGCCTGCATGCTGCATATCCTTTGCAGTTTCTAACTTGCTTCGTCTGTCACTTTTATGTATGGCCCAATGACACCAACAGCAGCAGCAGCATGTAGTATTCACCTGTTCTTTATGCTTCTTTGCGGCACAACGTATTTTGCCACCTCCATACACTGAGTTGTGATTGTAACCCACAGCGGCGTATTATATGAGGTCTTGGGAGGTAAGAATATGATGCCAAGTAAGCATCCCCACGTTGTAGCATAAGGACATCTCTGGTAGGGAAGAGAACAGCATACCATGTCGAATCTTAACCTTGTTTAGCAGGCAATGTAGTTTTACTTAGGAGCCAATCTCTGCGGGCAGACAGAGAAAGCTATGCAGCGACCGGCTTTAGCGAGAGTGAATCTCTCACTCTCCGTAAGCCCCCTCTCGATAACTCGCACAATGTTGATATCCTGGAAAGCCAAAACATAAGCAAGAATTCCTGGAATTAAGACCTCAATCTATGTATAGTAAGAGCATGAAAAGGATAACTCGATAATGTGACGAATTAAAAGCTAGGGAACAATTTAGCAAGGATCGCATCAAGGAAATGAATGTCAACACAGAATGGCAGGAAATGTTAAGTGAGAAAATGACAGATTTCGTGCACCGACCTTCTGATTTTGATGAACAGTGTGCTTTATGCTGGCAGGCTCACTGAGCACAAGTATATTGTTTAGATTACCACTTTCATCTCTTTCTGTAGGTGAGTAATTTGAATGCCGCCAGTCCCCGTTAATAATGTACTTGTAGTAGTACCTGAAAAGTGATTAGGCAATTGATCAAGGAAGCAAATGCAGAAATTGAATCAGACGCTTTAAACACTTTGTTCAAGTCCACTGCAAATGTATATAACACTTACTTTCCTTGTGGCAGCCTCAATTCAACTTCAAATCTTGGCCCGCCCTTGTGAGTTGCCCTGACAGGTTCTTTCCAGTTTCCAGTAAAGCTTCCAACCAAGGACACATCCTCCCCCTTTCAACAGGTAATAGAACAAGTTTTCTGTCAGGTTCTTCATTGTGATATCTGTCATGAACCGGTTGGTCCCAATAACTCGAGTTGTTGGGAGAGGTTCAATCGTGGATCATATACCACAACACTAACACGCCCCCTCAAACGAAAGTCACTCACAAGGGCTTGAAGTTTGCACAGGTCTAAAGACAAGAATACCATGTGCTTAACAAATGGGGGTCACCGGGAATCGAACACAAGACCTCTCGGTCACAGAAGGCTCTGATACCATGTCATGAACCAGTTGGTCCCAATAACTCGAGTTGTTGGGAGAGGTTCAATCGTGGATCATATACCACAACACTAACAATATCAACGTCGGGGTTGAAGAGTGTATTCTTATATGATCCAAGCTAAGCAGTAGTGCTCATTTGCAAACCATCATAAGTTACCTCTTGCCCAGTCCACACTAACGTTACAGCATGTGTTGGCGGTCCATCGTGCACCCCATTTTCCACCATAGCAACCAGATCCCATGTTGCCCAAGCAATTGCAGCTCTGCCATTAAGTTTTTTGTTACACTTTGTTCTATTTCAAAAGAAATCGATGCAAAAATTCACCCTAACGGTCTGTATCACAGAGAAAGAACCAGAAAAAGAAAACTGAGTAACCAAGGCCAAAAGTTTAGCTACTAGAAAATATTGTATAGTATCATATTCCACAACAGAGAAGAGCACGTGACACCATTAGCAACTAGCTATTCTTGTATTCAACTCATGACACAACATTACTTCTGCTTTGCACTACGAGGATGCGTTAAGGACTAGGAAAAGAAACTAAGAACAAGATTAAGAAACAAGAACCTGTCAGGCTTGCATACGTGGAAACCAGTGACATAGTTGTACGCTGCATGAAGGGAAGTGTCGGTAATCCAGTGCAGATATGCAACCACACAAGCAGGAGATCGGTCAAAACCAGTAGTGCAAGTTATCAAAACATGATGGTTTTTTCTCAATAAGCGGAACAGGAGGCCAACAGCAAAAGGTAATTTCTTCCTCAATTCAAATGAATCCAAATCCCTGCAGGAAACACAACGGCAGCAACTTATGCTTCTAGGACAGACTGTAATAGACATCTTTCTTGATTCAGAAGGAAACTCTTCTGACTTACCTTATTGGGTAGTTGATCATTAGGATATTAGACCTTTGGCACGCCTCATTTACTGCATTCAAGTTAACTCCCCAGTTCTCTGCTTCAGTAGGACCCTGGAAATTTATTACTGCAGTGATACCCTGATGCAGATGAACTTGTTAAAAAGTGGAGATGGAACCTTCACTCCAAGATCCAAAATTTACTCTGCAGAAGCAACCAACTGGCCAGTATGAACTCACCGCCCTGGACAATCTTTTTACATCCTCCTCATTCTGTAGACATGATCCAACATATATTTGCTCTGTAACCTGACAGCAAAAGCAGTTCGGATAAACATAAAACTCTCAAGAACTCAAGGAAGACCTTTGCACACGACAATGCGGATAAAGAAAATTTTGAACACCAGCTCACCTTAGTGTAGTGCATACCAAGAGAATGATCATAGTACAACTCATCTTTGGAACGTTCTAATGCAGCCACATACTCTTCCAGAGGGAAGTTCCCATGAGCCCATTCTCCATCTCCAAACTGTTCTTCAGACAAAATGCTCACAACTTGAGTCTTATACCTCAACTCTGGAGACTCCATCCTCCCAGTTCGATCATTCAAAAGCTTCCACCCATGATGTGATAGGAAGTTCCAAGAAAATGACGCAAATCCGGAATTCCCATTTTCCTCATTACTTTGAAGACCTGATGCTAGCAGAGATTTGTTCCAAGTCACCACAGCCACTCTTCCTCTATTGAAGCTTCCAATATCACTCGAAAAGTCGAGTAGATGAATTGGGAAAGGAAAGAATGGTCTCTCCAGGACTAAAGTCATAGGTTTATTGGGATCAACATCCTCCTTTAACACCTTCCTAATAGCAACCAAATATCGAAACGAATGAAAAAATCAATCAATCAAACTTTGGTATCGGAATGAATTGCACGCAAGTATCGCTCAATAGCATCACTGAGCTTCGCAAATGCAAAGCAAATCAATAAACCAGTAACTCGCTCTCGCTTCCAAGAAGATACAATTACCAAATGGAAAATGCAAAGCAATGTGCTTACTGCGCTGCACCGATATCACCAATCACCGTGAGCGAGCTGGCGGAACCACCGGCCTTCTTCAAAGTATCGCCAACCATTACGAGTCTCGTCTTCTCCGCATTGCCCTGAAAATCACACCAACGCGAATCGCAAAATTCAAAAACTCCATTTCTCGATAAGCAATTAGGAGCTGAGCCGAAGGGAAACGACGATGTAGAGTGCAGACTTACGCCTCTCTTAAGAGAATGGACAATGATTTTGCCATCGAGAGACAAGGCGAAGCGAACACCGAGAGGCCGATCGAGCGTCACCATGTACTCATTCAGATGCCTCGTCGGCGAAGACGAAGCGCCATTTCCAGCCGACATTGCGCGAATCGAGGCTCTTCTCATTCTCACTCTCCCGGCAGCTAACCGGGCGTCGCTGCAGTTCCTCTCATCACTCAAGCGAACTCCGCGGAAGGGCGAGGAGCACAGATCTCCGCCGATAAACGAAGAGGAGGGGAGAGTGCGTCGGGCATCGGCAATAGCGCCGGAGATGGAGCTGCAACCGGCGAATTGCAGAGTGGCCGCCATCTTTTGCGGCGGAATCGAGACGACGGGGGGGAATGGAAGGAGAATTGCGATTGGCTGTAGAGTGTAGTGTAGTGCCACAGTTTGGGTGGGGATGATGTGATGACGATGAATTAAGGGCGCTAATGAACGAACAGAAACGAAATTTGGAGAGTGGGACCCGCTTTTCACAAGCCGCGTCGGCAAGCTTTTGGAGCCACGTGTAATGTCATGGGGCATGGCTTGGTGGATTGGACTCTCGAGTTTTCCCAAAAAGTGATTATCGAGTGAAGTTGACATTACAAGCCCCGATTTCTTCATCCTTGTGCTGTTCTTTAATGTGGATGGCACGTGGTGAAGAAAGTTTGTTTAACACGGAAAGCAAGAATTCATGCAAAAGCTTTTGTTTTATCATTGTTTCACAATCCCAGATCCACGAAAGCAGGCACTTGCTTTGCTTCGCCATTTTTGGTATTTGGTTTGTCAACTCTACACAACAGATTCGGGTTGGGTTGGGTCTGGTCGGGCCCGTATTCTGATAAACTTGGGGCTTATGGGATGAGGCCCAAGATGCTGAAGCCTTACCATTCTGGACCGGACCTATTGGTCAGGGCGGAAAGCTGTTTGTTTGTCTTGAGCGGCCCTGGTTTCCAGATTAGATCAATGCAAAAAGTTTGATTGATTTGTAAGAAATGGAGCAGAGAAAAAAAAAATTGATTTGTTAGGTTGAAGAAAGTTATCAATCGTTCATAATTTCATATTTAAAGTCAAAGTTTGGATCTTTATTTATGAGACTAGAATTTACTCCACTGTCTTTCTATTTAAAAAATATATAATATAAATATAGTACAAAAGTTAATATTGAATATCAAAATCACAAGAATTAATTGAATGACAGTTTAGTATCAAAAAGTGATTTTTATGAGACAAACGCTTGTCTAAAAGATTGACTCTTCTTGCACACGAGTGGTCATACGTAAATTCTCAATCTCTACCTACAAAGGAGATCTGAAGGAGAGAATAACATCGATAGGTGTGACATGCTCTACTACCATCCATCTTCCAGTTAGGGTTGCCACGAGTACAACTCTCAAGGATATAGTTTGTATGTCAATTTATATGTTTTTTTGTACAATCAACCCTCAAAAACATTTGGCGATTATCAATCTACCAAGCGACACTGCTCGTACGCTTGTTGAACATAAACACCACAAGTTAAAGAACAAACACCACTTAAGACTTAATAGTACTACTCGAAGCCCAAGTACGGATGACAATTTCGACCGCATCCGATTAGCCTGACCTGTTTGCCCTGTTTTGGGGCGGGTCCAACCCGCCCTGTAGGCGAGGCGGGGCGGGTATGGGTACCTCTCATCGACCCGACCTGCATTGACCCGCCCCATTCTCGACCCATTCTTACCTATATTACATGTAATATTAGTCAAATTACTTAGGATTTTCCTCTTATTACATCATATATTAGCTCTAATAAAGTTGTAAATAAGTGAAACCCTCGATTTTTTCAATAATTTAACTATATTTTATCATATTATGGTTTCTTTCTACGTCTTTTATTGAAAATAACGAATATTTACAATGTTTGTCGCATAAATTACATACTCATTGGATCGACTTGCCTCTACCCGCGCCCCATTATAAATTACCCGCTCTGAACCCGACCTACCATTGGATGGGTATAAGTATAGAGAAACCCGCCTCGAATCTGCCCATTGTCATTCCTAAGCCTAAGGAGTTTGTTGCATATTAATCTCAAAGCACCGTGTGGAAGAGGAAGATAAAATAATAAATAATATAATAACCACAGACCATTTATTGCAGCGTTGAAACACAGATGATGTTTACTTGTTGTAAGGTGGGAAGATCCATTCCTCTAGAAGCTGAATCGAGAGATTGCTCACCCTATCTCATTGATCCCACGAAAAAGATTGGTCAAGTTCATAAAAAATCAAACTAGCATGATGATAATCATAAGAAAAACTCCTTCCCACATCTCTCTCCCTTGTTTACTGCCGTCACATTTGGGATTGCCGACCTAGTTTGCTTGCTTCACACTCTCTTTTCTTACATTGATTTAACTCCATGGACACAACATCAGCCAAATCCGATCCAACTTGTTATTACTAGCGTAGGCCCGGCCATTTGGCCGGAGGAAGGTGAGGTATAAAATTTGATAATGTAATCGGGTGTATAGCTTATTGTTGTTTAATTTTTTTCGGGAAACACGTGATAAAAATAATGAATTTTAGTAGGAAAGAGACATGAATGATGCAACGAATCAAAAATCAGCCTTATGAACCAAAATCAAGTACATGTTACCTTGTGAAACAATATTGTTTGATTTGTAGTCAAAATCGGGATTTTGATCGTAAAATCGTAGGATTTTAGGATTTTACTTAGGGATCCCGATCTTGATTTTACTATAAAATCGGTGGAGTAAGTTTTATAGAAACCGAATTCCAGAAAATCAAATAAAAAATCGCCTATCTCGTCGGTTTTCGGGAAATGAGCATCTCACAATCGTTGTTGTATCCCTAGAAAATGGTGGTAAACACGGACTCACCTGCCAAACTGGTTTGGATTGAGATTTTTATCGGGTATCAGGGAACTATGTGATTATAAATTAGACTTGATCAAAACGGACCAAAACTTGAAATTCAGCCTGTTTGGAAGAGGTGATATATGAAAATCAATACAAAAGAAATTATCATTTTCAAATCTGTATAATTCAAATAACTTTGAATCTAGTCGAGAATGTGATTTAGGAGACCCAACTCAGGTTCTATTGACTTCCGACATTTGAGAAACTCAGGGACGATTAATAATTAGCACTCATAACAAATCAACATACGTGAAGTGAACAAGGGTTTGATCTAGTGTTAATACCCCTGATCTTCAACCTGGAGGTCTCATATTTGATCAATCTCTTAAGTTGTACTTTGCAATAAAAACCAATTACTCATCTACGTCACCCTCATAAAAAAATCAATACATAAGATCTTGAAAAAAGTTTAGAAGACCCTTTTACAAAATAAGATCTCGAAAACCCTTCTATCGATTTTAACTTGTTTAAACAAGTCTCAAGTGCTCCGCTCAAATGAGTTTGAGACTGAAAATCCTCTGAAATTATAATACGAATCCACAAATTAATATTTACGCCCCAACAATAACTTTCACTAGAAACAACCACACCGTTCCACCATAAACAAACCAAGAGTCATTATTTGGTGGAGGTTGGATGTCCATTGTCACGCTCATCATGAACACTTGCCAAAACAGTGTAACACCTGCTTCTTCGTGCATCAGCATCATGATCTACCAACTCTTCCCAACTCCCGGTCACTAACATTAATCACAACCACTCATCACTCAATTCCCTGTTCAAGTCTTCTTCCCTTTGCTTCTGCCTTCCCTTTAATTTGTCTCTTTTATGGGGATAAAAACTCCTTCATTTGTTTATAAATTTCTTGCTTCCAATGATTTTGCTTTATCAAACCGAGAGGCAAAGCAGATGTGGTAGACGATCGAAGACAAAGACAATTCACCCACATTAGAAAACAAAGGGGAGAAACCTCACATGATTTAGGATTGATATAATTCATTTCATTCTGATAGAGACCCGCTCGGCGGGTAGGGTGGGTCGGGTTCGGCTATGTTGGCCGGGTTGGAGTGGCATTTTTGTTATTTTTCTGTTAGTTTGCTGAAACTCATAAAAGATGATTGAGTACGTTCATTTGGATTAGGCAATAATATTATCAGAATTCCTAATTCTCTCTTTTCTCTGTTCTTCCCCAATTCTCCCAAATCCCTAACTCTTCTTCTCAATTATTCTCAATTTCCAACCCTACTCTTCTCTATCACATTCCATGAATTGAAGAAGAATAAACCGTTCATTGATACATGAATGTTGAAATTGATAAATCGAGAATAGTGACTCAATTTGTTAAAGCATGGGAGATGCAAGTATATAATTAGCTACTTGATTGTGTTGGCATTATGATAATACTTTTACATAAAAACAAGTGAAACAACACAAAATTCAGGTGATTGGAATAGTGGAAAGACACAATGTGGAAGAAAAAAATTATAGTTCAGAGTTTTTTTTAAGTATATTAGGAAGAGTTCTGATTTTATTCAACTTAGAAGGCTATCAGATGAGACATGCGAGTGTCCCAATTCCCAAGCAATGGAGGGCTCTGGAAGAAGGCGAGTTGAAAATCAATACGGATACAGGGACTTTGACGGATGAAAACTAGAGGGCTAGAAGTTGTCGTAAAAGGCAATGGTGGTAAATTTGTTCTTGCGTCAACAAAGAAAATCCCCGACATTGTAACAATGAAAGAAGCTGAAGCTTTAGTAGTTGAACTATTGTCCAGTTGGCTCGTCAATTCCAGTTACAAAGCGTAACTTTGAAGTATGATTGCAGTACCCTAGTTCAAAAGCTTAGCGAGGCATTTGAAGTTCGGATGGAGACGGACAATAGTCTATATGCATAAGTATACACTAATACTGGACAATCTAGGTGGAGGGAAGTAGAAACATGTGTCCAGGGATGTGAACAAATCAGCTCACATAATAGCGCACTTAAAATGAGGAGGAATTAGACGATTGTTTGGCTTGATAGGCCTCATGTGTAGCTAGTTGCTCAGCTCTTGCTGGACAATGTTACAGTAATTCCTAATTAATTAATAGCTAATAGATTTCCATTGAAAGAAGAAAAAAAAAAGTTATTCATTCATTGTTGCAAATTTAATGAAATACTATATCATATTCGCCGTAAATTTTGTGCGAACACAAATGTCACTTGCAAGTGCAACTTTTGTGCAGCTACTCTTTTATTCATCTACTAACAGAAAAAATTAATAATTTACATGAACAGATTAATATCCCAAAAACCCATAAAAAAAGATTAATATCCCAAAAAACGAAACAGAAAACAAAAGGAAACGGTAAGATTTTCCAGCCGTCCTCATGATCCAAACTTGAATCCATCTGTTAGGATTTTCTCCCTTGTAATTCGAAACCAACACGACAAAAAAATCCCTAAAATGGAGTCAACGTCCTGCTGAAACCGTTCACATTAGAGAAGAATCCGACGAGAAGCTCCTGACGGTAAGGCAAATACGATCGCCGCCTATCCCCATCTTTCAAAGCTCTGCTCTTCGTATAGAAGACCTCGTGCGCCGACGCCGCCGTTTTCGCAGCTCTTGCCGGCGACGGTTTCGCCTTCCGATCGGCTGCCGATTTCTCCTCACTCCTTTTCCCCAAATTGATTTCATTATTGCCGCTGCTATTATTATTACTGCTGGAGCCAGCGGTGTTTGGCTGGACCATCAAGTAGATCGCCTTCCCGTCGCTGCTGGATCTACGCAGCAAATCTCGCAGCCTCCACCGCCGCTTCGTCGTCGAAGCCGAAGATCCGGTCGAATTGCTCTTCTCGCATCTACCGGGCGAAGGCGACGCTCCGGTAACCGACGAGGGAGAAATCAATTTCGGCGTCCAGACGCAGTAGCTCCCTTCCGGCGCGCCTTCTAATTCGTCCGCTTCCGACGAGGAAGAGGAGAACGACGAGTGCTGATCTCGATCGTCCATGAACAACTCGCTCAGCGGGCGCGGTATCGTTTCGGCCGCTGCTGGAGCATCGCTGCTCTGTCCCTCAGCGTCGCCGGCAAATCGATCTCGGTTGAACACCGGGAAAAAAACAGGGGAAACCAATCGCTGGTGGTCTCCTAATTCGATCGCATCTGGAGCCTCGCAGCTGAAGGAGACAAACTCGAATTCGTCATCGTTCTCCGATGAATTCACTGCTTCCGTGGCCACCGCCGCGGCGACGTTGGCGAGGCGGTCGCAAGTGTAGCTACTGAAGCTGGGGCAAAACGCCACGTCGGAGACGGCGGCTGTGACGGAGGTTTGGTCCTGCATTTTGTGAAAAAGGGGAGAAAAAAGGGAAAAGAGAAGGAAGTGATTTTCTTTTTTTCTTCTTTGTATTTCGTCAAAAAGATGATTGAGAATGAGGTGAGGATTCTGTGGCGTTTGGCGTGACTCAGATTTATATATATATACACGGGGGATTATACGGAAAGGGAGGGGTGAGGTGGCGCGTGAAATTACGCGAGGTGGAGGACTTAATGCCCAAGTAAAAAAATCAATAATTAATATGCTTTAATAAAAGACGCAAAAATTGATTTTGACACTCACTGGGAAATTAATGGGATTTCTAGAATAGCGCCTGAGATATTTGGTAACGTGATCTTGTTTCACGCGCTGGGAAGGAGAAGGGGGTCACACGTGGCGAGACTGTATGTAGGGAGGACGGAGGAGTATGTGTCTCTTTCTCCTTTTTCCTTTTTTTTCCGTATTCGTCATTACTTCCATAATTTCCTCCTCCGCCGTTAAATAGGTTTTAATTGAAAGCCATCATATATATATAGGTTTATAACTTTACATACACGTTTTGCCCGATTAGGGTAGAGTTAAAACAGTAAATAATGGGTCGTACTATTTGTAGCCCTAGTGTATATAATCACTACTAATAAGAGAAACAGTAGATGTGACAAGGTATGTGCATGTACAAGCTGTAGAATGTAGATGTATTAACAATAACCAATACGCCGTAAACAAAGAGTATAAAGGGTTTCATTTATAACAAATATGGTGGTGTTGATTAATTAGTGTCAGATTGTTATCTATCACCCTAGTGCAACATGTATTAGACGATAGGTTGTTGTTTTTGCCTTTGATTTTGTTGTTTTACTATTCTTTGTTGGATTTTTCTCATAAGGCTTCATCGCTACATCAAATCGTAGTCGTTCTTATAAATGCTGCCTGAGTCTACTTTTAGTGTTAATTCGATACACCATTCAAGTTTATAATTACGTGAAAGCAACGATGGATTGAGAAAGATTTTTGGTGCCAAAACATTAAATAGCGTGTGGATCTAAAATGTCACCCGCTCCTAACGAGCTAGCAAGAAAATCACAATACATTCCCTCTCTCAAACACACATAAATGATTTGAACGTCCGAGTTAAAAAATAGCAAAAAATGGGTGACAAAAATACACGAGTTAATGATTTATGTTGAATCAAGTGTAGCGCCTCGATTGAGTAATTTATAAAGTCTTAAACATAACCTTGTCATAAACCAATTGGTTCCAATAACTCGAGTTGTTGGGAGAAACCTATGCATATGGTATTTAACCACGATTCCTCACAAACCTAAACTCTCAAACCAATATATAATCGTGTAGCTTTAATAATTATATAGGAGAGTTATTCTTCACCTGTTTTGTTTCAGTAAGAACCATATATACGAGTTCTTCTCCATTTGGTGATGTTCATCTGCAGTAAGAGTACTACACGACTGTAGCCGGTAGGTTGGTTTTATGAGAGTGGATGGGAATATGGGATTGCATTAACATTAGACGGAGGAATCTTTGATTAATTGCTTTAGGGGTGGGCATTGGGTGGGTCGGGTGGATTTTGACCATAAAATGCACCCACCCGCGCTTAAACGGATTAATAATTTTTAACCCACCACCCACCCACATTTAGTCTCGGGTTGGGTCGGGCGGATGGTGGATGATGCGGGTGGGTTTGTGGGTTCACCCACATTACAATGTATATAATATAAAGGAGTCAACTTGAAATGATAATAGGTGAAGAGAATCATCGAGGGAAACAAGAAGTTGAAATAGGGCGAAAAATGTCGAATTAGTTCTTAAATTGGATAGAAATTCTATTATGAAAGAGTTTTCTACAAATTGAGATGATTATTAGGTGCAAGGAACTAAGGAAAATAATTCCACAAAGGAAAGATCGGTGATCTAGGCACAAGAATTAGAGGAAAAAGTAAAGGGAAGAAGAGGGGATCTCTATTTGGAAGGTTGGCTTTGAGCTTCAAACTCCAGGAGCAGTCCGAGTTTATATCTAACGTCTCCACTCTCCTCTCTCTAGCGCCAACGACTTTGATCTTTTTGCTGTTGGGTTGAGCGGGTCACCCGCACACTCACCCACAACCCACCCACCACCCGGCGGATGGCTCCTAGCGCAACCCGTCACCCACCCACAGACCCACCCACTTAACGAAATTCGGGTCAAATGCGGGTGGGTCGGCCCAAACCCGCGGATAATCCGCCCGCATGCCCAGCCCTAAATTGCTTGTTAATTTCCTTGGGGGAGGGGGCTGTCGTTTTCATAGTTATTGTGAGTCGTTTTGGGATCGGTTACACTTGGTGTCGGATGCAGCCCGCCAGCGGAGCCCAGCCCAACCACCTTGACTGTGGGAGTGGGCTGTTTGAGACTTGGCAGATTTGCATTTGGCAGCTTCGACCAGGGGAACTTAACTCTTCTGGAACTTGTCGGTTTCTGTCCATCACAGCTTGGTGTTGTTGCGCAGCCGGCCGGTGACCATTGTAAATAGTTGACGATTACTCATTAGCCGCCTCATCACCCTCAGCACAGCGCGCGTGGGTACAAGGGAATATTCATACATATACCTTCAATTAATTGGAGCTTTTGTTGGATTTGATTGCTTCTTTGCATGAAGAGTTCTTGGTGATTAACAATTTTAGTTGTGGAAATTAGTACCCTAATTAAATCTCTGACACGGAATAATGCTCGAAATTAATCAGTTTCTTGGATAAAAAAGAATGTCACTTTTATTCTGATGGATTCCAAATTATTTCCGTGTGTTACATGTATAGAGTATAGACCAAATTCCAATGACGAATTATCTCACACGTCCCCTTGTATATCAAATACCGCTAGTAGGTTCCGTTGCAAACCACGAGTATCTTTACATCCCACATGGGCCATTATCAATTAGCTAGTAACATTGGATATGTGATCAGGGTTCTGATTGGAGCGTCAATCGAGACGGTATAATACTTAATTTAGTTTTTATAGAGGTAATTCGAAGAAAATTGTCTTTGTTAGAGAATAGCGTTGAACAAGTTACCCTTCCCACAGGTTTAACGTTTAAGAAGAGAGACTACATCTTTTGCTATCAAAACCCATTTCACATTACCAGGAACAAAGGATAAAGATTATTACCAGAAATCTCATGTTTAGGGAATTAGAAAAGTTAATGATTAAAAAAATATAGTTTTTAAGTAAATGTTAAAAATTTATACATTAACCTGTTCCAACAATTCGATTTATTGCAACCTACATTAACCTATCTCAATAACCGATTCCACATGATAATATCTAATTGATGGTCTAGATAAAATTTTGGACGAATGGTGTCATTCCATCGCGAGTAAAAAAGGAAGTTCCTGATATGGAAAGTTCGGTTTCTCCTCCTAGTCACATAAAAAGATATTGGATATATGGATATTGGCAGTCGTACCTACGAGGAAGAAACTGGAGTAGTAGACCTTCGTTCCGTTGGAACGGGAATAGTCGTCGTTGAACCAAGCCCAATAGTAAAGAAGGATCCTTGAGGATCGGCCGATGAAACTGAAACAATGTAGGGCCATCGTTTGCAATTACGTCTTTTTCATGCATATTTTCAGTTTCCCTCTCAATCCCCATTTAATTAATTAATTAATAACGAATTAATCCATCTCTACTCTATCTACACAACTACACCAAATCCAGCTCGATTGGGGTATTTAAAGGATCTTTTTCCTTTAATATTCTGGCGGTTTTAGAAGATCCTATTTTCAGCTCCTGCTTACGTATGGCTATACGTTAATTCTTCAGGTCCCTTAAACTATGGTTAAAGGAATAGTTTAAGGAATTAATGACAAGTGCTTTCGCTTTTGTTTTTATATAGTTTTCATTTGGAGGGCTTTGCTTTCTTTGATTTTGTTTAATGATCACCAACTATAATTTTCCTTCAACGTTAACATTAAGCGCATAAAATTAATTAATAGTTGCTGTTATTTGGCACTATGTTGTTGACTTCAAGTTTATTGACTACTTAAAATCTTTTAAAAACTAAAACCAACTGGACCTCCCTTGTGAAACTAATATAATTAATTTTAGTTCACGTACGTCATGAAAAAAAAAAAAAACACATTTAGAGTAAACCTCCGAGATAACAAAAAGTAAAAAGAACCCGATCCCTAATCAGTTTCCTTCTAAATTGATTGGTATTTGGTATGGATTGGCAACATTTGGATTTGGGATTGTTAGTCGTTACCAGCTCTTACATTAGGTTGTATCTAGAGGCTAGACGTATAACAAAATTGATAATTTGAACATTATTTATATATTTATTCATTTTATATAGTTAATTTAATATATATTGCTATTGACGTACTATAAACGTACCATTAGTTTAAATACGAATTAAAATACACATATGTATTTTATATGTAACTTACCCGTATCACTTTATGTTGTCCATACCAAATTTTCTCAGAATTTGTAGGAAATCACTCTGGTGTCTTTCAGGTTGTGTATATTATCTTATTTTTTCAGTATTAAAATAACAACGGTGTTCAATCAATATGTTATCGATTATATTGCGGTGAGAAGCAAGACATTTAGATTTATGAAATGTGATCATTAATTTCAGATCGGCTGTGTCCACGGTTTTCGTGCGAGAATAAATGAACGATGTAAATCAAATAAACAAACAAATATATTGCAATAAATATATGCCTGGGCTTGCTGCGCACGTATGTTCATACGTACTTCAATGCAATCGCGTATTTATAATTTTCTTTTATATAACTATAAACTATATATATATATTCCAAGCTCTTTAATTAATTAGTAGAAAACTCATTGCGTTCTAGAACTCCACATGCATAGTATCTAGTTGGCATAGTTGATTATGATCATCATGGGCTACCTTCCCGCATGATCATACAAATAATATCAAGAATAACTTATTAAATACTTATAACTTTATATGAGGTTCATGCAGCCAAGTATTAAGAAGTCAATGTCACATAATAATTCATACTATTTGTATTGTAATATCAAATAGTATGTGTCAATTGTAAACGATTTCCGCCCATGTTGGAGATCAAACCAATATGGTGGTTTTATCACTGTATTATTATAATTCTCATAAATGATTTTGCTATAATATAATTTTGAACCGTCATATTGATTAGTTCATCAACTTGATCTTTTCAATAGAATATAATAAACAAAATTACTCTAATGAACGTGTCCGACTACATTTTCAAAATCCAAACTTACTTGATTAACTAAAAAAGTTGGGGGAAAAGAGTTACTATCAATCAATCAAACCAGCTAAGAATAATTTGTAATGTTATTGATTTGTCAATAGTCATGAAGATCGTTAGCTTAGACTATGACACAATCAGTGACGACCCCTGGTGGTTACTGTACATGCCACTTGTGACTTGTCCTGACGAAACAAACATGAGAATTAACCGTAAGAAAAAGAAAACGCAACAGAACAACCCCCAACGGCACCATTTAATTAGTGACGAACAATTTTCTTGTTCTATCTTTCCGTTTTCTTGTGTCTCCATGGACCGGCCAATCGTCAATGGTGTCCAAGTGGACATATTACAACTGGGTCGTGTCGTGTGGAAATTCTGAATGTCAGGACGACTAGATAAGAAATCTAGAAGGATGGATGGATAGCTTCATTCTTTTCATTTGATGCATCTAGATTCTAGAATGATTATGGTTTCCTACATTACACGTTGGGTTTTGATGGCCCAAATCCTACAGACCAGAACTTTGGGCCAAGCCTACGTTGAGTTAAGAGGAGTTTAGAGTACAGAAAGCCCAGTCCATAATCTGGACAAGGGACGAATTGCGCAGCGTTAAGTGAGAACAAGCAAGTAGGCTCTTGCGCCATATTGCTTGGCGCTAACTATCTTCTGCTTATCCAAGTCATCTTCACCATCATCAACTCTGTTTGATGAGCCGCCGTCGTCGTCGTTCAAGCGATCGACATAGAAAAGACTTGCTCTTGGACAACATAGCAATGGGGAACAGAATGAATACGACCCATTTACGCACAGTGGTCGATGCCCACGCCAAAGCGACAACGCAGAAGATGAGCCAGTCTCCCCTCGCCGTGACGGAGACACAAGACGAGAAAGAAGAGCAAAAATAGAAGAAAGGGAACAGCTTACCGGCGAGAATAGAGTTGGAAGGGTGACGGCGGCAAAGGTTAGGGTTTGAGTCCGGTAAATTTTTTATTTCGGTAATTTAGTCAAATCACGAACCTGCCATTCAAGTTCTTTCAAATGACTAATCTGCTGTAATTCACAATTGAGGATGCTCCAATGTTATAACTTATAACCCAAGTAAAGCCTGAATTGGACATATATACACATAGAAACTTTACAACTCTCACTCTCGCATATCTACAAAGCTGCAGAGGATAAGACTATAACCTGTCACTCCTCCCACACGGGCACACTTACAATCTACTCTCTTCCCTTTTCTCCTACTGCTAATCCATGAATTCAACTAAAGGTTGAAACTTTAACAATCCTAGCTACTCTTTGTGTAACCCTTTAGAAAAACTTGAACAAACAGACAAAAGAATTCTAAAACAACAACTGGGATTCCACCAAAAGCTACGACTTCCTAGTTATCAACCCCTCTGTCAAATGCTGCACTCTCAACTTCACATCTCTAGGCAACTCTCCCGAAACAGAAGAACCTGATTCAATCTCCTCCGACCCTTCAGCTCGCCGTATCTGTATGATGTCATGGTACATGGGACGGAACCTGGACTGGAATGCCCTGTATGCGAAGCAAGGCACCAGGGCTGACACCACGACGAGCACCGTGACTAGCCAGTAGAGAGGACTTGGGACGCAAGCCTCCACAAGGACCATGTAAGCCGTAGTGGAGAGGGTTGGGGAGACGTAGCCGTACATGATGAGGAATATGTACCAGAAGCCGATGCTCCCCCAGATGAAGAAGTGTTGGATCCAGGTGAAGTAGTTGATCGAGAGCGCCATCTGGCAGTTCACGGCCCATACCACACACGTGTACATGGTTGCACCAAGGATGGCGTAGTCGGTCACTTGCCCGTCTTCACGGAGTGCCTGCTTGATCATGGAGTTTGTGGTGAAGATGAATATGATTATGGAGGTTAGGACTCCGTTGCACATCCAGCCAAGGATTCGGGACCAACGGAACAGGATGTTCTGGACGCCTTCTTGGTATAGTACTGGATACTGGACAGGGAGGTTTAAACAGATACATGCATGAGTATTATTCAAGTATTAAGAGCGTTTAACTCGCAATGATTGCAGAGACTGGAGGTGGATGCCAACGAATTAATTGATAGAGGGAACTTGATAATTGCTTGTACCTTAAGGCAGAGCCTGGCTGAGACATCCTGGTCGAAAACTCCAAGGGCGATTACCGGAAGTGAAGTGAAGAAGACATTGTAGAATGACATGTACCAATCGTTGTAGGCAGGCTGGCCAGAGAAAGATGTATATGCCTCGTACCAGAACAATGTAAACCCGAATGCAATGTTCTTGTAGAAGAAGTAACAGATCTGAAACAAGAGAAAGGAAACATGAGAAAATTCACTTGGACCAAGAAGTTAGCAGGATGCAGGAGAAAGATTCTACCATCATGGCTATTCTCCTGTAGCACCAATGACCATGAACTAGCAACAAACGTTCAAGAAAACGGAACTGTGCTATTGCATAATCACTTGCCATCACAGCCTGTAGCAGTTCAGTGTAAAGGCAAGTTAAATCGGCAAACTACTCTTGAGAGAAGATAAAGTTTTAAACTGGTATAGCACAAACCTGCATTCCTTCAGCACCACTTATGCCGACTCCAATGTCAGCTTCCTGGAGCATGCCGACATCATTCGCCCCATCGCCTATAGCTAACGTCATTTTACCTGTTCTTGTTTTAACCAATCTTGTGACCTGCACGTCTCCTATACTTCTATCAGATCATTTGACATTACAGCAGGAAAATGGCAACTATTTACTCGGAAACCTTAGAGTAATAAGTGCATAATCATGATACTTACAAGAGCCTTATGTTTAGGAGTAGACCGACAACATATGACAGAAGCGCAACTGAGGGCAAGCTCCAAAAAGGACATCTCCAGCTTCTTGTCGAGGGCATAGCCCAAAGACTTTCCATCAATAACCAAACTCAGTTCCGTTGAACTTGCTTTAGCAGAAGTCATTTGGAATTTTCCCTCGTTGATTTGCTTCGATACACTTTCAAGAGAAGCCTGACACAATACAGAGAATGTTACAGACCTTTCACAACATGAGAACATCTGACAAGTCATCAGTTTAGTTCACAATCCCTACCTTAGAAGCACCCTCTTTGTCCCCTCGTTTCTCCAATGCATCAATATCCGGCAAGTCTAATGTGATGGTGATCTGTTTCATCCCTTGTCTAAGTAAACTACAAGCATAACCAATATTTATCGCGGTTTCCATCTTATCACCAGTTAGGACCCATATATTAATCCCTGCCTGTGAAAGTTTGTTAATGCACTCTGGAACCTGTGAACAAGCACAAAAAATATTAGTCTCAAATTAAACAAAATTATTAAAACAGGTTGGCGATTTGAACTTGATGCCTACCCCTTTCTGCAATTTGTCCTCAACAGCTGTTGCACCAAGCAGAACTAAACCATTTTCAATCTTATCAGCGAGTTCATCCACCAACACATCACGGTCTGCAGTTTCTGCTGTTTTCGCTTTTGTGAATTCTGCTTCCCAATTACAATACTCAGTTTCATCAAGCACACGATATGCAACTACCAGGGTTCGGAGACCTGCCTCAGCATATCTTTTTATGTGCTCCTTGGTCTCAGCTTCAAAAGCTCGCCCATGTTCCGAGAGCCTCTCAAACATTACACTGCAACAGTTTGAAATAGTTCAATTTTAGTTAAAAATGAAAGAGAAAAACTTACCACAAAAGAAATATACATAGACCTTTTCCTTGGAATTAGGCTTTCTAACCTGTCTGCGCCCTTGGATAGGAGTAAGAGCTGATTTTCCATACTCCTTACAACCACAGACATTCTTTTTCGTGAGCTGCTGAATTCCAAAACATTAAGAAGCTTGTATACTCTGCATATTATAAACAGGAAGTCTAAATATGATTAGACATGGTTGCAAAGGGCAATGAGGTTTAGACGGTAAAAAATTCACATTCATCTTACCTATCAACACGTCTACCAGACCCGGGATCCAACTCATGCAGTGATATGGTCATTTGTGTCCTTTCATACAACTCAAACCCCATCTCCCTAGCAGCTACAACAAATGCCGCTTCATCTGGTGATTCAGCTTCATAAAAAACACCATGTGACTCTTTGTCTTCCTCCGGAACTGCCGTGTTGCAAAGTGCCAATGCTCGAAAGAACATCCGTATCCTATCAGAATCTTGTTCGTGAATCCAACACCCATTCATTAAGCGTTCATCTCTGAAGTTAAACCCCTTCACTGACTTTCCCATGTCATTCGAATCATTACATGAATCATCAGCTTCTACTACTGGCTTCCCACTTTTCCTTTGCAAGAGAGCTCTTTCTACTTCTGTCATACCCCGACCATAGGCATTCCCAGCTATCGAGCATTTCACAAACTCCATTGAGTTACATGTCAAAGTACCGGTCTTGTCAGAGAGCACAGTATCAACCTGACCAAGTTCTTCATTCAAATTAGACGTTCTAGCACGTGCTGGCCTGTCCGATTCCTCGTCATACATTTCTTGATCTCGATTGATAAAAACACTCTGCAAGACCTTCACTATCTCAATCGACACATATAACGATATTGGTATCAAGTACCCATACAACATGAGTCCTGTTAAGAAATGTAAGAAAGCAGCAAGTGGTGCCCTTTGAGGATCATAGAGCGAAGTAGTATGATCTGGTCGAAGATACCACCTTCTATACTTCCCATCTTCATAATCTCTCCTGGTCTCAATCCCAAAAATCACAGAACCAACACCAGATATAGCGATTAGCGTGCTGAAAAGGATATAAATAATCTTGTCCATTCTCCTCTCGATTTTGCTCCTCTTTGAAGGAGGATCCACGGAATTCTGCATCACTTTAGTGTCATGGCCAGTAAAAATCACAACACCATAGATATAATCAGTATTCTTGAGCTTCGAATCTCTCAAGAGAATCTGCTGCGGCGAGAGCGGATACTGACTCCCGTTGTAATGCAATGTCCCGATGAAAGAGTAGAGATTTTCATTCGGGTCTTCACATTTGATCATGGCCTTGAATCGCTTCAAAGATTCTTCGTCACGTAGAGAGGCCGTGACTTCCAGAGCATGCTTCAATTTTAAGTTAGTCTCTCCATCGAGATTCATCGTCTCCACATAACATACTCCATCATCATAGGATGAAGAAAGCAGAAGAAGATCAGCAGGAAAATACTCATCCTTATCAACTTGAACCACATCCCCAACTTTGAGATGCTTCCATCTAGTTTCTGTAAATGTATAACTCTTTCCAAACACTTTCACCTTCCTATTGTTAGCTTCTACATCCTGAAACCAATCAAAATCTTCAGGCAATTACCTCATGCGGTGACCCAGAAATCGAGCAATTTTACACAATCAAGCAGAGAGCTTTCAAAAAATGAGAAGAGGAAAGGACAAAAACCGGAATTACCTGTTTCCTTCTCCGCCAATCTTCGACGGCTTCCTTGACCATGGTAACTCCAATCACCATAAGCAGAGGCGCAAGAACAGTGACAGCCTTGTAAGGAGCCAGTGGACTGAAGGAGACGAAAGCCACAACGAGGAAATACAAGTTGGCGACCCGCCTAAACTGCTCAAACAACGACTTGGGAATAAAGTTGACCGCCGTGTATTTGGTGGTGGAGACGTAATTCCCCTTGTAATTGAGCTGAAGTGAGTCTGGATTATCAGGGTCGTTGCAGTAAACCACCCTGGAGTAACCCTTTCGCCCGATTTGAGCATGATCATCAGTCGCTGGTGATTTAAAGCACGAGAAAGAATACAACTTGCTAAACCTCAACTTCCTCCTCCCCATTTTGTTTCCCCTGCTCCCCTATCTCTGACAAAACAAATCAAAGAGGAAAGAGGAAGGGGGGGAATAAAACACCAACACTCCTCCTCCCACCTTTTCTCAGACAAGCATTTCGCCGATCACCTTCTCTGCACTAACTGGAAATAAAAAGGGGACTCAACCCAGTACGCAAAATAGCAGAGAGTTGCAGACCCAGAGAAGGGTTTTAGCTGGCGAATCAATCAACCGCCAGATTTGGGGGAGTTGAACAAGCAAGCACAGAACTTTGTAGAAGAGGAAGCAATCTCCCGCCGACAGAATCAAAAGGGGTGGTATACTGGTATTGGTAATGTGGAAATGCAGAGGGAGAAGAATTCCTTACTTTGAGACGGGGAGGTCCCGGAAGCGGAAGATCTCTTGCTTATGGAGAATAGATAGAGACAGACAAAGACGGGGTAGAGTAGAAGAAGGGGCTAAACGAGAAGCCAATGGAAGAAGGAAAAAAAAAACCATTAAAGAAAAAACGAAGAAGGAAGGAGAAAAAGTCCGCGGGGGAAAAGAAAAAAAGAGGGAGAGGTTAGTTGTTGTTGAGTGAAGTAGGTTGCAGAGTTGCTTGCTTGCCGCTTTAGGAAGCAAGAGATGAATTAGTAGAAATCAAAATTGGAAATGAACCAATACTATATAGTATAGACTATATATGCAAATGCGTTCATCTTAGTACAACGTCGTCGATTTTAACTAATAGTAAATTTTATCATTCAATTCATCTTAAAACAATTTAATGGCGTATTAACGATTACATTTGAAAATTTGAAAATTAAAGTTCATTTTAGATTAAAAAGTGTTACACGTATACTTAAAATTAAAGATGTTTCGTAGACGGGCTAGGTATGATTTGCTATTTGTATCACTCGGTTAAACGATTACGTACTCTTAGACAAATAGCAGAGACTGGATCATAGTTAAACTAGAGAAGGAGGAGAAGAACCAAAGACACGTATGGGTTACTACAATAATGTAACGATTAAGTGAAACAAGAAAACTGGAGAGGGAAGCTTTGCTGGACCCTAGCGGCCGGCAGCATTAGGTTAGTTTATGAGGGTAAAAATGGGGTGGTTCGGTTTTGGTCTTTTCTGCCATGTCTGGTGTTGTGAGTTGTTAGACAAGGGCACCATCTTGCTTAAAAAAAAAAACTCGGTTTTCTTTGTATTTATTGGGAGATTATGAAATCCAATCATGGGGCCAACACACATATCATAATGCATTAAGATGATCATAAATTCATATTTCACAAAAGATGTTATGGGTTCGATGATTCATATAAATAGTGAAAATGTGAAGTCAATGAGCTCGAGACGTATTATTTACAATATTCATAGATACGTCTTGTTGAACTCGATTCATGTACAGCGGCGGATTTAAAATAGGATAGACCACTGGGCCATCTTTGAAAAAAAACGGAGAGGATTAGGCCATAACGTGAAAAACACTGAAACGAATCTAAAAAATCGAAAATTACAAGTGCTATAGTAGCTCGATATACCGAGGAGGGCTGGGCCACGGTCCGGGGACGATCCCCTGGATCTGCCGATATTCATGTACGATATAGATCAAGATTAAAAATCATGTGTCGTGCTCTTAGCTCAGCATAAGCCAACACTATGACCAAAAATTATTGTATAAGAGTAGAGCTTAGAGATAATGAGAGATTTATAAACGTTTTGAGATGTCCCAATTGGTAGAGTTGACTAGCTAGGAAGTGTACAAGAGGAGGAGTCATGCATGACCTATCACAACTACTTTTCGCCAAAACAATTACCTACTCATTAATTCGTCAAAATGTATTTGACTAATTAATTAATTAAAAATAACACCAATTAAAATCGAACAAATTGGCGGTTATGGGGGCTTTAATTCGTGAGTGAATGATATTGATCGTGGCGAGGGGTGCGGGCGACACGCCGACGCCGACGCCGACGCCGGTGAGGTGAGGATTTACTATTTATCAACTCTTTTTCTTCTTTTTTTCTAAAAAAAAAAACTCTTTTTCTTTTTTTGCTTTCACTCTAGAAAGTAGAAACGATTCACAAAGACACAAACCCTAGGCTAATTTAGTTTTGCTTTTTTTGCCCAATTTAGCAGACCGTGGTTTGATTTGATATCCATGCTGGCCCAACTTTTCTCCCCATATTAAACCGTGTAAATAATATAAGGTTTATTTTTTCTTTCTTTTTTTGAATCATTTTGAATTATTAATATGACAAATTTGTAACTTTTCGACATAGTATGAAAAATATTCAGTGGAGAGGTTTCTCTTTACGTTTAAGTTCATTACAGGAGCCAGGAGGTGACATCAAAACTTTGTAAGGCTAGCTGGCTAAGGGTTTGTACAAACACAATCGGGGCTAGGTAGCTAGCGCTTCACGATCCTCGATTTTAACAATTAATTTAAATACAAGGTACTATATGGAATTGTGCAAACTTCAGCCTCGTAAGTATTTGAGAGTGCACATAAAAATCACAATGTTATGTAACTTACACGTAAGGATAATTAATCATACACTAGACTACAAAGAAAATATGAATTTGATGAAGAAACAAGATTTATTATTCTTCCATGCATCACAATGACCAAATTACATATCTTACATAGTTATAATAATTATAATCCCTAAACATTAACAGAACATATTATGCAAGACGATAATAATAAGGTAAAACACATCCGCATAGCTAAAAGTTCAATCCTTGTGATGGACATAATAACTTTTTGTTATAATGAGAAATCTAGTTGGGTATAAATTATTTGTGACAATTATAGTCATTTTCATTATAAAAGTTAACGATTTGAACAAAAGACCGACATAAACACACATATAAGCACACACTTACTAGATTTTACGAAGTGTGACACGCAACATTGGAAAATATGTTTGAATAGATTCTTGACATTATTACGAGGCGAGGGTGCGCTCCTCGACTAGAAAACAAAGGGAGCCCAATTGGATTTGATCAGGCAGCATATTCCTTCTCATTCCTGCATGTTGGTTGATTCTGAACTACTCCCCAAGAAGTTTGATACATAGAACTTGTGACAAGGACATGCCAGCAAAGGGACAGTGAAATATGGATCATGGATGATCATTTCATTTTGGACAATAAGTAATAACATGCTTAATTCCTTTCCGCGTGAAGGGGATGCACAAGCACAATGATGCTTTGGTGGGTTAACCCTTTATTATATTAAACAGTAATTAATTCGACATAACATTGTTATCGTCGTCATTAATTGTTATTGGAAGAAACAATAACATTTGGCCCATTGTGTTTAATCATGGCATTGGGTTCTCCGAAAGCATGCATGTGGAATGCCGGCTCTATTTACCATTTGTGAACGTGATGGAATGGAAGCTTATAAGGGAGAAGGGTTCTTTCTATGAATTTTCCTAACTTTTTATTTGTCATTTAGTATTAATCGAAACTTACTCATTTCAATTTTCGTGACGGCTATAGTAAATTATTATTATTTACTTGATATGAACTTTCTTCACTTTATATTATCATAACAAAAAGCGAAATATTTATTTTCACAACACACACGTGTATGTCTTTTGAATGTGTGGTTTTTAAAGACGAAAACGTGTAGCAATTTTGTTGAATGGATCAAGTGTTGACGAAATGTTAGTGATGCCTCGAAACGATAGCTTGAATAAACAAAAAGGGTCTTCCATAATATTTCAAAAAAAATCTTGAAATGCATTACTTTCTCCTCAAACAAAAAATAATGCACAGTGAGAAATCATTCATTTACGAGACCGAAGAGAATGATACATGATAACCAAACAAACATAACTGAAAAAATATGTTAAATAAGTTAAAATAGCTTGTGAAAGAATTTCTATGAATACAACTTTCACTCTATCTTATTTGCTTTTGTTTTGTCTATAGTCAAAGCAAATCCAAAACATCATATACACCAAAAGTTAGGATAAAATCACTCATCTTTCTTCCTTATATAGTCCAAACAAAGCATTATTAGTTAGTAGCACGAAACCTCGGCTAGCTATATAATAGGATTGGGAAATTTTATTAAACCGTACAATTGTGATAAGTTAGATAACTAGTGGTAGATTAAGATTTGGATTCAGGTTGCTCCACGTGGCCAATGCTCCATAAACTGTTAGCCATTTGCCCTAAATAGCTAGGTTGTCAAGAATGTACGTCCTTCCATTCCATGATCTCTTTGGTTGGTAGGGTTTCTCTTTTTTACTCTGTTTAGACAATTATTCATGTGGATTCGAAAGTAGCCTTTACTTCATTACTTGTGGTAAAAATACTGACTTGAGATCCTATAATAGGGTAGGTAGGTGGCATATTAAATTTCATGCTATATAAAAAAATTTCGCAGGTTACATAATTTGAATATCCGTAAATACTATATAGGCATAAATAATGTGTTTATGTTCACTCAGTCATATAATTACGGATTAGAGAGTTTTGGTGTATGTGGGTTGCAGACGATTTAATTTTTTTTTGCTCTAGTGCATTTCCGTCTCATGTTTCATATGTACCATAATCACTCAATCACAACATTCACAATTAAGTAATAAGCATGTGTTTGTGCCTAGATCATGCATTTTACCATGACCTATCGACCACCGAAATACAAATTAGCATTCTTCTCCGACTCTTCACAAAAGTTCTCCACTGAAAAACATTGACAAGCAAAGCTAGAATTAACATAATATCTTTTGATCGATTTGATATGATTTTAGTTGGTAGGTTGAAACAAGGAGACAAATTACTTGCACCCTAAACATAAATCTATCACATAATTAGTAGGTAGATAAAGCCAATTAATGAAAGCCAAATCTGAAAGTGAGGTTTGGTCCTACTTCCCATTGCATTATAGCAAGCATGGGTGTGGGCTATAGTATTGTCTCTCAAATGATAGCCAACTACCATATAGACCTTTTGCAATTCTGTTCCCCCTTCTTTTTTTCTGCAGAACTTGAAAAACACAACAAGCATTACACAAAATTAAATATTTAACTTTTCCAATTTTGTGTGTTTTTTAGTCAAAAGATACCATCTTATCTAATGGTCAATTTCGTGGGGTAGAGAATGATGTGTTTTGGTCACCATTGATGCTCTCAATGAGTTGCTTCAATCACATTCTCTCAAACCTACTGATAATTTGTCTAAAAACATATCTCGATCGAGACTTGTGAAATTATAGAAATTGAAAATTTTATGGCATTGGTTCATTATTAGTATCGTTAATTATAAAAATGAGAACTTATCTACTGGTACGCCAATATGAAACTTACATGAGTTAATAATCCTCTCATGAGTATTATCGGAAACAAGCTAAGTATTAAATTTATGAAATTATGATGATTATGTGAGGGCTGCTAACCTGGTTGGGCCCATTAGCATTTTGGCCCCTTTTGTGTAGCCCTGATGATTTCAATGAAGTGGCCGCATACCCATAATAACAATGACAAGTCTGGCACCCCTACAATGCAAGCGTAAAGGCCCAAGAAATGCCCATCGAGTTGGGCTTTACCCCCTTCAAACAAATTCCTACAACGCAAGCGTAAAGGCCCAATAAAAAGCCTCCCGCAACTTTTAATTTTGGCCTTTTTTTCTCTACACGTGTGAGTTGTGACTTTCACACCGATGGCTGAATTCCAACCGCTACTAGAGAGTCCCGATTTTCTTTACTTTATTGGTAACGTCCTCTTTTCATTATCGTGCAAAAAAGTTATGATTGTATCGTTAGAATTGGAAATAGATTATAAAGGATCATTACAGGAACAACGTAATTCAACTGCAATTATGAAGACACCAATATATACCATCATTTATAATTCGAGTGGTCTACTTTAGGCACTTAATTATGACAATTTGAGTTGTTTTGTTCTCTAGTTTTGTGACACAACTCGGTTCATGGTGCTAATCGGAGAAGAGAGTACGATACTGATTATTCTAGACATAAGTAACTGGAATTCATGCACGAGGATGAGAATTACCTATGTAGAGGAGAAGAATCCAAGAAAATAATGCGATGACTGATATTTAGCTGTAAATGTTCATATATATATATAAGAGGAAAATAAGATGACAATGCTTTAAAATGATGAATTTTTCATTCGTTTTTAAAAGATAATTTTTACACCAATAGAGTAAACACAATATTAAATGAAAAAAAAAACTGATTAGTGATTATTCTCACGCAAATCATTGTTTGATCAAACCTTATCCTTCTACTCATGGCTGAATTTTGCATGATCTATTGATCCCACACAACACCCACTAGGAAATAAGAAAAAAGAAACACACATAATCCTCGCATGATACTATGACAGGTAATGCTACCAAGGCATTTAGATCCTTTATTTCATTAATTAATCATTCCTCCCAAAAAAAATCCAGCACCTTAAAAAAAAATCCAGCTATAGAGAAACAAGAATCACGGAGCTCCTTTGTAGATGTGAATGGCGATTCGTGATAGTCTGATAGGTCACTGGCGGGCGACCCGTCGTGCTTTTACCCGCCCGCCCGCCCCGCCAAATATGGTAACCCGATAATTTAGCGCGATACGAATCACCAACCCGAAGAGAATCCGGCCCCGTTCGAACTGTTACCGTGTTGTAGTAGACTTGTAGTGTTTATTATCCCGCGCGTCCCGCGAGATTTTTACCTACTAGTTAGCTACCATAGGAAGATAGAGAGAGAGAGAGGAGAACTGAATCTCAAAATCTCGTTGGCGGCCCCCACCGGCGTTTCACTTTCTCTCTCTATCTCTCTCGACAGCAAGCAATCGCCGTCTGGCTTTTGGCCCGCGAGTCCTCCCCACCCTCTCTCCTATTCCTTTCCTTCTATCGTTATATTCGCTCGCTGGTTGCTTCTCCTTCCCCATCCCAATTAACAGTGACCACAAGGTGGCCGGAGGGGAGCGACGGCGGAAGGATAAGTTTTCGGGGCGGATTCTATCCCAGCCGTCGGAATCGTAGTTTGGCGGAGAGCTGATTTTCCCCGGTATCAGCTGAATCCGCCGTTCGCTGGTCTTTTTTTGTATCTTTCAGTTGAAGAAATTCCATCAAGTTCCCCGGCCAAAGCAGGTGCGGTTCCAGTGTTCTATTCGAAATTCTTAATTTGTATAATGGAGATTCTTAGCTCGTGAACCTGCGCCCGTCTCCTTGTTGTTGGACTTCCTTGGTGATCTCGATTGTGCCTTTTCCTTGTGAAGTTCGATTTTGATTGAGCGTGAATTGGAGGGGGGAGATTTGATGATTTTTGTTTTTGAATTATTGAATTCGTCGAAGTTTGGTGTGGACTGTGAAGAAGTTGGGCAGCTTGGCTTTGTAAATCGGATTGCAAATAGGTTGCGCTAGTCTCAATTGGGAGGGTTCAAATTTCCTTTCTTTTTTTGGTTCATGAATTTCGGCTGCTTCTGACTTCAGGAAGATCTGTGTGCAATTAAACTACTTCCTACCTGCTGCTTATCTCTCCTAGCCTCTGGAGATTTTATACGAATTGTTGTGCAGAGGCAGCTCCATCTCGTCTTCCCTTCACTATGTTCGATCAGACATTCATTTGACATGCATTGCAATACTGATAAACAGGAGTTGCAGAGGAAAAGTCGGGTGCTTTTGATGGTTCCCTGTAAGACCTTCGCGAATCCTGTTGGTGCATGGTATACCTAGTCTGGTGGAGGGAGGAAAATGCTCAGGAATTGGAAGAAACCCCATATCGACCTGAATTTCATTTACCATTTTCGGGGCATCTAAGGCTGCGGAAGGGTAGTTGATGGCTTTGCTGTAAGTGGCAACTATGGAGCAAGTTATGGAGAAAAAATATCCTTTGTGTGCGAAAGATTACAAGTTGTATGAAGAGGTTGGGGAAGGGGTCAGTGCCACTGTACATAGGGCCCTCTGTGTTCCTCTCAATGAGATTGTAGCAATTAAGGTCCTTGATCTGGAGAAGTGCAACAATGACCTGGTAAGTTTACTGCATTACTATTTGATATTCTTTAACGTCTATCGATATTTTGGGGGATTGGATATCCCAAAGGAAAATCTTCTCCTCATGCACATGGAATCACTAAATATCATGTCTCAAGGTTTTGCTTTTTGTTTTATGAGTCCGTGTCATAACTCACTAAATAATGATCTCCAACATCAGTCAGCCATTGATGTGTTGTCTCTTTGTGTTACTTGTTTCTTTGCTATGTTACTGAATCTTGTCAACTTTCATCATTACTGTTATAATTTGGTTGTTGACATAGGATGGCATTCGACGTGAGGTACAGACAATGAGTTTGATTGATCATCCAAATGTGCTACGTTCGCATTGCTCGTTTACTGCTGGCCATAGCCTTTGGGTTGTGATGCCGTACATGGCTGGAGGTTCGTGCCTTCATATAATGAAATCTTCTTATCCAGAAGGTTTTGAAGAGCCTGTTATTGCCACATTATTGCGGGAGACTCTCAGAGCTCTTGTCTATCTTCATTCCCATGGGTTCATACATCGAGATGTTAAGGTACCCCATCCACTCTCATCCCAGTTCATATTCATATAATTTTACTATCTCTGTGATGGTGGTTCTTCCTTCTGGAGGAGTGACCTGAAAGATTTGTGTTGAATATGTCATGTTCATAGTTAGCCTGGATAACACGATAAGGTTAGCCCTGGGAGGGGTAACAGAGTTATTTAGACATTTGAAGCGACTTAATTTTCTTTTGCATGGGGCATTATAGATATGCTTTTCGTTGGCTGGCCCTTATGCAATCATCCACTTGTTTCCGGTTTAGATGTTTTGTAAGGGATATTTTTACAGCTTGACTAATGGTTCCTCGGCTTATCTTTTTAGGCTGGCAACATTTTAATTGATTCTAATGGTTCGGTTAAGCTAGCCGACTTTGGAGTTTCAGCATGCATGTTTGATACTGGAGATAGGCAGCGCTCGAGAAATACTTTTGTAGGAACTCCATGCTGGTAATGTTGCATTCTACATCTCTCCTCTGCAGCATCTGCCTTACTGTTCTTTTCCCGTGGGAGATTTAATAAGATTTTATATGCTGTTTCTCTCAGGATGGCTCCTGAAGTTATGCAGCAGTTGCATGGCTATGATTTTAAGTGAGTTGCTGATGTCCTTCTCTCTCTTCTTTTTATGTTTCGTATCTGTGAAGTTTCTTCCCAGTTTACTGAATAATGTGCTGAAAATTCTTGAAACGTTGGTTGTGAGAACAGAGCAGACATTTGGTCATTTGGAATTACAGCTCTTGAACTTGCTCATGGCCATGCACCTTTCTCCAAGTACCCACCGATGAAAGTAAACGTCTAGATTACTATACTAATTAATTGAACCGTAAGCTGCCATGTCAGCTTGTTGTCCTTATAATGGTCTTTTCCGAACATATTTGCAGGTTTTGCTGATGACCTTACAGAATGCTCCTCCAGGTCTGGACTATGAAAGAGACAAAAGATTTTCAAAGGTTTGTGTCTTTCGGGCCAATCATTTTCACTGTTTTGCTCATTGATTGTACGTTGAAATTGTTGTTTTTTGCAGTCATTTAAAGAGTTGGTCGCTGCTTGCTTAGTGAAGGATCCAAAGAAACGCCCCACCTCGGAAAAGCTCTTGAAACACCATTTTTTCAAACATGCACGCTCAGTTGACTATCTTGCCCGTTCCATTCTTGACGGACTTTCACCATTAGGAGAACGTTTCAGGATACTGAAGGTTCCCATTCTACATATTCTTTATGATTATCTTTCCGGAGGGAGCTTAGAGATGAGCTGATGTGTAATTCCTTTAAAATGCCTTAAATTACTCTTCCCTATTTCAGGCCAAAGAAGCTGATCTTCTGGTGAACAAGCCACTATATGAGGATAAAGAGCATTTATCTCAGGTTAGACGGGTCATGTTGAAAATATCATGTCATCCTTTCAATGCATGCATCTCTTTGTGTGATGTTATTGTTGGGACAAATTTCCTTTCTACTCTCTAACTGCTGATGGCTCATATTTCAAAATTCGATACTATGATCACTCTGTTTGTTTGATTTGCAGCAAGAGTACATAAGAGGGATCAGTGCCTGGAATTTCAACCTTGAGGATTTGAAAAACCAGGCTGCTCTTGTAAGTTAAAATATTGGTTTAAATGAGTTCTAAGTTGCAACTTGTTCTCTACCAGATGCATGTCATAATCATTGGCAACCTTATTTACGTGGATCTGGTATCTACAGATACAGGACGATGATGGTAGCATCGAAGAGAAAGGTATTATTGGAAAACAAACTGACAGGCAGGAAAACGAGTTTCTAGATGGCCATCCATCTATAAATGCAGCTGACCACATGACACCTACAATTAATGAGGTGTACATTTGTTCATTAGTCCACACACCTGCCTCATTCCCAATTTCCTACCCCGGATTTTAGGTTGAATATGTTTCTAATCCACGTGTTATTTATTGCAGGATGGAATTGATGATCTTCCTGATTTGGAAAGTTCACTGGATGTGTTTCCCATGAAGCCTCTGCAAGCTCTAAAGTACCTCTCTCTCTCTCTCTCTCTCTCTCTCTCTCTCTCTCTCTCTCTCTCTCTCTCTCTCTCTCTCTCTCTCTCTCTCTCTCTCTCTCTCCATTTGTATTTGGTTGAACTGCTATTTGGTTGAACTGCAAGCTCTAAAAGTTTGATTACTCTCAATGAACGAATGTCCATGACTTCAGTGTGCTTTCAAGTATTGCACTTTTGTGTATGTTTACCAGCTTCCGTGATTATATTACTGCTTACTTGGAAGTTTCAATCACGTTTTGTTATCTGATGCAGGGGTTGTTTTGACGTTGGTGAGGATGATGAGGATGCCACCACGCCTACTCTTAAATGTAATGGTGAAGTAGAATACGAGCAGCAGGAGCAGATATTTATGAGGCCAACTACCACAGAAAAAGACTTTGAAAGCAATGGAGTTCAGAAATATGGACGGACTAGCTCCTTACCACGCCATGTCAGTAATGAGAACAAAAAGTTTTTGAGTGGACCAATTTTAGCAGATAGCAGTCATGCTGAGGCGAGGTCTACAAGTGAGGAAAACAGGTAAGCATTGTTCTAAACAAACAAATTTCCTTTTGTTATATATGTTAGTGTTCGCCAATCCTACAATGTGCTATTGTGTTGTTTCTGGCAATGATGTGATAAACAAGCTACGCAGACTGCCTTGTCAATGAATGGCTTGACCACTCCCAAGTGTTTTAGGTCTTCCAAATAATGTGTGTTCTTGCGATGGAGGTCTCACACAAGTGTTTAGGTCTTTCACGTAACATGTACTCTGGTGACATAGGACTGATACAAGTGGTTAGGTCTTTCAAGTAACGTATACTCTTGGGGCGGATTATTTAATACTTCTTCCGATTCTCTCTCATGATCTTAAGAGTTGGTCACTTGATTTTGAAATGTCAAAGCTATGTGATCTTAGGAGTGAAGGATTTGTTTAAAAGTCTGGATGTGTAATGTGTCCATCTTCAGTTTACATTTAACTTCTTGGCATGTCGATCCAATGGCTTCCTGTGTAACACAATGTTCTGGAAGTTGGAATACTTCCCCTGTCAATTTCTCTGTATCTGCTTAGAGATGTTTTAATTATATGTTTTCAAACATCATGTAGGGATGTCCAAAAGCCAAGGTACCAATCTGATCGAAACTATAGTGGCACTTTACTATACCGGCAGAAGAGAGATACCAACAATATGTCATCAGGTATGTGTCTATTTGAATGCATGGTTTGGGTACCCTTCTGATATTGTTTCTGAATGGTATACCTGTCTTCATTGCTTGATTAATTTACTTTACGATGCCAGTAGAGGATGCAGCAGATGGAGCCATTGTCCAGCGCAAGGGACGGTTTAAGGTTACTTCTGCTGATCTCAGTCCTAAGGGTCCCACAAATTGTTATTTCAATCCAGCTGCTTCTCAAGGGTCAACTAGTCCACCATCATCCAACCTAACAGCTGCCTCAGTTCTCCCTACACTGCAGTGCATCTTGCAGCAGAATGTCATGCAACGGGTATCATACTCCTTTAGCGGTTGCCTGATGTTTGTGATCATATTATGCCTAAACTAAACTTCTTGATTTTGTTCTTAAATGATAACAGGACGAAATCATGAAACTGATCAAGTCTGTGGAGCACTCCTCCGGTAATAAATTCGCCTTTGTATATCTTCTTTTTTCTCTTTGTATAGTTGACATTTTCGGGGTTTGACTTGTCTTTATCTTGCATCAGCCAAGCATGGTGAGTCCGTTGAGGCTGCCTCAAATGACCTTTTGCAGTTATCTCCGAGGGAAAGGGAGCTACAGGCCCAGGTGTTTGGCCTGCAACAGAGGTACGTAATTAGGGTATGACAACTGAAGTATGTTTTCTCACTCCCCCTAGTCAGATTTCTTATTTAGCTGACTTCATTCTCATGTCAGGATCGCAAGCCTCTTCGACGAATTGCAGAAGCAAAAGATGATGAACAATCAGGTACGTTTTCTCCAGCTAGAGTCTTGAACAAACGAGAACAGTGTTTGGTCTCGAGTTAGGATGCTAACGATAATGTTTACTCTCTGCTTATGTTATCTGTGTGCCTGCTGAAGCGTTATGTTCTTGATTCATGACATCAATGCCATCTGATTACGGTCCTCTTATTTACCATATTCTGCAGCTGGAACGACAATTGAGTTGTTCAACTAACAAGGAAAGACGATAACGACTGTCGATGGTGGTGGCGGTGATGTTTATAGCTTTTCGGCATCATCCGTGCCTTTCCTCTTCCAGTAGCGAGATCGGGCGAGTTCGCTTGGGAGGTATCATCGGAAGAGGGTGGAAAGGTAAAAAACAAAGGGTGGATGGAATGATATTGTATTTCTAGTGTACCATATACATATATATGAATTATGTAAGATTGGAAATGGAACAGAAAAGATGGGAGTGATGAGATGGACACCCAAAGAAAATTTTGAGATGCCATATTTGTAACTTAAATTGTGTCCCAAGATAATGCAAGTAAAGATTCACTCTGCTTTGGTTTCCTTGCTTTTGGTTGTTTAGTCTTGTCTTGTCTCCCACATGCATCATTTGCTGGTTCGTAACTTATCTATTGGAGATTCCATCTTTACAATCAAAGTGCCAGCCAGCCATGGTTGGCACTTGGCAGTCTGTGTCTTCCTCTCTCTTTGCTTCTTCCTTTTTCTTTGGTTTGTTTGTGATGATGACATCATTCTCAGGCTTTCTAATTTCTCTATGTCCTTAATGAGTGCAAAACACCATGATCTCATATTACCAACATCAAGTGGTTGAATTCTGCTGTCGGTTCCAGATTTTTGGACCATCAGAAGTTAAAGCATGGAGTCGTAAATCTAAAGAAGACAATTCCGTGTACCATATAGTTGGCAAGAAAACTGTAATAAGCTGCACCTTATTAGGTGGTAGATCATGAAATAATATAACCAGTTTCAATTCTGATGAAAATTGTTTGGTGAGATAAAAACAACGAATATCATCGAGCTTATTTGGTCATGTTGAGACGTGCATGGTTCAACTAAGCATGTATGATGATACAGCCAATGTTGTTGGATGCGAGTCATGTGACTCGATTCCAGAACAGCCTCATATCAAACTCGATATTCATGAGATGCCCTCACCGAACAATGACCCCAATTGTGAGTTCTGAACATCCCACGCTTTGGAGTCAACTGCACTCCTGCAAAGGAATGTCTCTTAACAGTGTATTCAGCACTATGACCTCTGCCCCGTATGCTGCAGCTTGCTTGCAAATGCAAGAGAAGCGGTCTTCCAGCCAAGATCATCCTCATTGTATCAATTTCCCATCTCTTTCTGGAATAATATTGAAAAATTCTTCAACTGGATGTTCAAAACGACGATGATACATACAACTTCAACCATCATCCAGCCAAGATCATCCCCATTGTATCAATTTCCCATCTCTTTCTGGAATAATATTGAAAAATGCTTCAACTGGATGTTCAAAACGACGATGATACATACAACTTCAACCATTACATCATCAAAACATTCAAGTGTCCCAATCCTTGAAGAAACAATCGCAGTGCAGGATCTCCAAGAAAAAGGCAGTGGCTCAGTCTAACCAAATGCTGCAAGTTTGGAACAGTGACATATACGTTGATCGCTCCACCTGTTACCAAATTCGATTTTCCAGTACAGAAGATACAACTCCTTTCAGTGTCTCCTGCATGACATAATTCACACACAAAACAAATTGACCAATCCTGCCTCTGATAGTCTACTGAAGAAGAAATACATTTCCTGCATCTTCTTACCATTGAGTGATCTTTAAGACCCAGAGAGAGAACCAATGGCCTAGCTGACCCGGAACTACTGCACAAAACAAGAGTTCATCTCAGTTAACAATGTCCATCACAAAAGCATAAGGAACAGATTATTGATCAATGACTGAGAGTTGGATTTTGACCTCATGTGTTCAATCAGTTGCCGAGCACATGCTGTTAGCATAGGCTGCATATATAACAACTCTCGAGTCAGGGTTAACAATATTCATAATCAGATGAAAAAGAAAGGTTTTGTTGCTTCTAACTGGATTCACCTCATCTCGCTTCCCAAATATCACCGATACGTGGAAAGTTGGCTCACTTGTCATTCCCTCTTCCTTCCTGCGCAAGTTAGCAAATTTTATTAGGTCCCACTAAGACAAAATGAAGGATCAGTGTGAAGTTAACCAACCCTGCCAAATTGTCAGCACTTGCGCACTAGAAGCAAGAGCATCTCAACCCATGATCTTTACTTTCCAAATGGATTTACTTGCACTTAGAGAAAGATCGAAGATACTAATAAATACCTACGGGAAAAGAAACCCGGTGCATACCTGGCTTGTAGCATTGTCCCCATGGTTCCTATTTGAGTTGCAATTACCTGAGAAAAGGGAAGTAAGTTTAAACCTCAAGATATGAATTAACCATTAAGCATATCTTCAAAACTCAACCAAGTACCGAGGAACGGTATTAAACGACGTCAACACTCACAAGAATATGGTCATTGTATCCGGAAATGACTACATCAGTCTTGTTCCCCTGTCAAACCAGAAACAAGGATCATCTAAGTTCCCACCACAACATTTGAAAATTCAGATTGCATAAACCACATGCCATAAGCTGAACATGAAACAACCAGAAAATTAGCGTAGCGTGAGCTTCCATACAAGGGAATTACCCGACGAGGCCGGTATCCCAAGCAAGAGAACTTGACTACAAACGTAAGAAGATAAACAGATATTAATGAACAAAGAACCGAAATTGCACTTAGTCACTCAATATTGAACCCTACAGTAGAATCTCCACAGACAAATTCCCAACGCTACAAACCGGGTTTACTCTACATCACTCGATTCCACGAACTGCCCGCAACCCATTACTCGGAAAGCGGAATAAGCCATGGAAACTACAAAAAGCCAGTCCCTTTGGTTTCTTATTCATCGAGGGAAACAGCTAACGAATTGGCGGTAACCCAGAAGATTTCAGAGGCCAAACAACAGGCAAAAAATAAAAATGAATTCAGGAAGGATTCCACGGAGCAGGGAAGACTACAACTAGAAGCAGGAAGTTGGGTTTTGATCGGCGTTACCTTAATTTCGACTGAGAAACTTCTGTGAGGAACTGGGAAGTGTTGCTCTATGCTGCCCATTGCCTTTCGCTTCCGGTCGATTCTCCGACGAGAATAGCGGAGGGAACCGGTACGTAGTTAGCTAAACAGAGAATTGGGCTTCTGCTGAACTTGAACTTGGGCTCGCCTTAGAAAGAAGACCTTGGTCCGTTTGGAAAAGCAACTCAAGCCCAATCATAAAATTCCAAGCCCACTTTACTTCCGTAATGATTCTTTCTAGAAATAACAACTGTTTAATTTTTTTATATAAAATTAGCACCCAATGCACAAATATTTCAAAAATAACACTGTTTCTAAAAAAATCGCTGGGTGGGAGCACGGTTTCCGACCAAAACCCCTTGGAATGGGGGCGGTTTTGTTGACCGTAGCGGGTAGGAGCAGTTTTGGTCATTTTTTTCTCGATTATTCCTAACTTAGGTGGAAATTTCAAACGAACATATCTTTGTGTTCAGATATCTAATCGTAAAGAACTTTTTTTTAATTCCACATAACTTTTCGAGATCTTGCAACCCAGCAATCATTCACATAACTCTGCCTCACCGTCCCGTCATCGGAACAGCATTTCTCCAACTAACCGCTCGTTTCCTTCCTTCTTCCCCCAAGCTCCCTCGGCTGCGTGAATTTCTGTAGTATATGTGGAGGGGTAGTGGTAGGCCGTCACGTGCAAACCGGCCAATTAACACGTGATGGTCCTCCAACAAAACTTCCCACCGCCACCGGGTTGTTAGGGGCGGCTGTTTTCAAGCCGGAGCCGGCTATCGTCCCAGCCGATCGAGTTGAGCCGATCCGGTTACCGTAATTAGACTTGTACAGGTGTACTTATTTAGCTGAAAGCCAAAGCCCAAACCACTCTAACTAACCAAATGTCAATCTTAATGTAATGATGAAGGAGCCGAGTTGTTCCATTTGCAAACTGGAGGGTATTATTTTAGTATAATCGGCGGCTGCTGATCCAACAAATATTAAGAGATAATAGGAATAGGAGATCCTTTAATTTGTTCGTAATTGGCATCACATATGGGACAAACACTGAAAGATAGTTGTGAAGGCAACGTCCGTTCAGTTTTGCTTCTATATGCATTGCTCACTGCCGCTCCACTGGGATCTTTGTCCTTCATCCTTTAACGGTGGCTAGCTAATAGCTATATTTGTATTCTATTACATCTATCTATAAATGAAGGAAATATGAGAATGAATGTCATAGTCGAAAACATATGTATTATTTACATTTTTTTTTGTAGTAGAGTTCATTGAATTAAATCTGAGAAGGCTCAAAACTCAATATTTCCAGCTTCCCTTATTTCTTAAATTCGACTAGACCCTCGTGAGCATATGATTCAATATGTCACAATCCGTTATGAGCAGGTATTATCCAAACTTGTGAGCAGTATTAAGTAAGGTATCGGTCTTACTTCCGCCAACTCCTACATCGTCCCGCCGTGCTCTTCAACGGTTTTATCTCAATTCTTGCTAATATTTACTCATATATAATGATATTTTGATTTATTCATAAACTAATCTATGTGTGATTTATCGGTGCAAATTTTCACCTCTTAGACATTATAGGTTTATTAGTTTGGTGATCATAGCCTTTTCCTGTCTAGAATGTAATTTCTCTTGTATATTCACATATGAAAATAAAACCATTTTATATAAATTTCTTATGAGTATATGAAAGACTAGGTCAACCTACCACAATCCATACCTCTACGAGTACTATATCACTGAAATCACACATAGTACAGAACAATATGAATACTGAAATATTCATTATAATTTTTCCAATATCATTCCTTTATCCTAAAAATCAATCTATAAACATCTATGTTCCTCCCAACCGAGGGGAGATACATACACATTCATGAATCATGATTAGGTGAATTTATCTTTGACTATAAATATTTTAAAATATGAGAAAGGGGAGATATTGAGTAGAGGATGAGTAGATCCCGAAAGCTTTTAGAACATTCCCAAATACAAGTGATAGAAAACCAAACTGATCCATTGCCACATATATATATCTCCATTACATTTTCTTTTTGGTGAGAACTTTGTGTGAGGCAATTTGTTATTAGATGCATCTAAAATGGAATACAGAAGTCCGGTGGCTATCAGTAGGCAGCTAACAAGTTGATGAAAACGATCTTCAAAGAGAGTGAACCTCATCCAGCCCTAACATTAATTATTGTATGGGCATATTAGTAATCTTCATATCATATCATGAATGAAAAATATGTGACGTGGACTCATGATCGAACCGCTAGTATTGCATGATTTTTCAATTCATGTTAAAAAAATACAAAAATCACTAAGATTAAAAGGAGGAAAAGATAATCTACCGGGTGATTGTGGACCCATGGTGGGCGCTAAAGAGAAAGGAAATTGATGAGGATTTTTCGAATATGTTATCAACTTCAGTTACAATTCCCTTTATAATTTAACATCTGTTACGATTTGAAGTTTGTTGTTACAATTTAAAATCAGTTACATTCATAATTTTTTTTTTAATGAATTATGCTGTCTCAATGTTAGCTACCGAAATCCACCTTCAACACATGGTGTGTTCAACACATGGTTTATCAAAGTACATCTTCACAGATCACAACATTTTTTAATTTCCCTATCACTATTTTTAAAATTATATGTTGCTTGAATCACCAACCATGACTATTAACATTGTTTATTTTAATTTCAAGTACCATTTTCTTATTAATTTTTTTTAATGATTTCAAGTACCATTTTGTCTCTATTGAAAAGAAACACTGTGACATAGTTTAGCGGTGAAATTATTAGTGGGCGCTTGTTCCAGAAAGTGGCAGATCCCATCTTCGATCTCACCGAGGCTTACTATGATGTTCCCGGAGGCATTTAATGGGGATTCTCGTGGAGGGCCCAAATGGATCAAACAAATGAACCCCAGGTCTTATCTTGCTCTGCCATCGCTAAAGCGTTGTGAGCATAGGGATATTTGTAGAGGTGCTTGTTTGAGAACTTTGCAAAGTAGAGAGGCCAAAATAATTATAATAATTATTTAAGATTTGTAAAAGCCTAATAATCATAAAAATTAACAAATATCTGAAACCGTCCAGGCCCAAGTTGTGAATATTTTTTGTTTAAGGGATAATACCACTACAACACCCGAACTATCGATAAAATGCCACTTGTATCCTATTCTTTTCAATATTCCATTTCTGTCCTTTCGTATGTTCTTTTTTGTCATTTGTGTCCTCCCGATTTCGTTGACCGTTAAACATAACGGTTGACCAGACGGAGGTCAAACTGTTGTTGACTTATGCTGACGTGTTAAAAAATGTGATATCCACATAGGCGCCATGTCATTGCCACATCATTTTTAATTCAAAATTATATTAAAATTATATTTTGAATATTAAAAATTAAAAAATAAATTCAAGAATATTACTAAACAATATTATAAAAAATCTAAAATTAAACAAAAAAAGAAATCAAAATTCAAAAATTATATCTCTCTCTATCTCGTCATCTTCTCCCTTCCGCGGTCCTGGGCTCCGGTTTTCCGTCAAACTCAATACCCCATCTCCGCCGTCTGTACTCCTCCTTGATGGACGCCACTTACGATTTGCCCTTCTGGCCTCCGATTCTTTTAGTATCGGCATCGGTGACGGGTGCAAATAGAACCCCTTTCTGCAATCGCGCAGTCTTTCTGCCAAAAGAAGCTACGACGGATCCGAAGAAAAATAAAACAGATCTGGTTTCATAGTTGTTGTCGCCGCTTCACCTCGTCGCCATCATCTCTCTGTATCCTCTTCTGGGCGTCTCTACTACCGTCGCGCGGATGGAATCTCACGCCAAAATCGATGAGAGGGGAGAATAGGTTCGTTCAAGTGAGCCCCCCAAAATCAATGGGCGGATGGAATCCCACGCCAAAATCAACTGCTGCTGCTGCATTTTTCGGATTCAAGGAAACTCTTCCCCATATTGATGGCGATGACCATCCTCCTCAAATCCCTGTGAACACCCACCGGCCACCGACGACCCTCGCCCTTCTCTCCTCCGATTCAACAAAGGGTCTGACTTCCCAGAAGCCAGAGTAGCAGCCTCCACCTCCAATCGATGGCGCAGCCACCAGATCCTCGAAATCCCTTCAGCTTGCTACATTCGTGTCGGCTGTGTTGGGGAAGAAAGGAAGGAGCGATGGTGCTGCGGGGCTACTGGCTCGTCGGAGGGGAGAAGATTACGACATCTTTTAGTTGTTGGGGAGAAGATTACGGGGATTCGGGAGAAGATTGCAGCAGGAAGTCATGGAATGGCAAATCTGGCCGCCAATCGGGTAGGGAGCAGGGGTGGATGTTCTTCGTGTTACCAGCGCTCATCACCTAGAGTCGTCCGGGTTCTATGAATCAAGGAGAGAAGCACCAACCAATCCATTGAAGATTCCAATTATAGCAGCAATTAGGGATTTGGGGGTTCATGCTTAAAGGTAGGGAGTGAGAGTGGGATTTCTTAGTATTGGCGGAGGAAGGAGGAGTGGTGGATGTGGTTATTAAGGAGGCGGTGGAGAGGGTGAAGGTGTACCCGAACCTGGGGAGGGGAATGGTGAGCTCCGACAGGTCGTGGATGGTTGGAGCGGCGATTGGCACGAGAGCGGAGAGGGTGACCGGAGGGGACGCATCCGTCACTGAGACGAGATGGGAGAGGGAAGGGGAAAGAGGCTTTATTTTCATTTATTTTATTTTAATTATTTTTATATCAAATAAAAATTGAATTTATAATTCCAAGTCACATGCCACGTCAGATGCTGACTTGTTTTTCTGTTAAATACTAACGGTCAACGCTGGTCAACACTAACGGAATAATAATTCAGGACAGAAATGGAATATTGAAAAGAATAGGACACAAGTGGCATTTTGTCGATAGTTCAGGTGTTGTAGTGGTATTAGCCCTTTGTTTAATTCAAAAGCCTAAACAAACATGCAACGACAAAGCCCAAACCGACGGCTGACACCAGCTGGATGCAAGCCGCGACTCACGAAAAAGATGAAAACAGAAATAGAAGTAGCGATTTATATACAGAGGTCCATTTCCACAAGTCTCTTCTCCTTCCTTCCTCGTTTCTGCTAATCTCCAATGACTGTCCCTTTCTCTCTCCCCTCCATATAACAACGACAACACCATTCCCCTCACTGCTTTGAATCGCTCATTGTCTCTCAGCAGCTTTGATTTTTGAAGCTTCCCAACCTCAACAGAGTTTAAGCTCTTTTTTTCTTCTTTCTTTCTTTCCTTTCTCGAGTTAGAAAGATGGGGTTTATTCCGACGGAAGAGAGCCGGAGGCAGGAGATTGAGGAGTTCAAGCGGATGGTAGTCGCCTGCGCCGGACTCAGCCGGAGGAAAGACGAAGAGGAGCAGCTCGGATTCCATCTCCGCTCCCCTGAAATCGACGACGACGTAGGCGAGGAGAAGATCGTCTGCGTCACCAGCGGCGTTTCCTTCTTAGGCCTCGCCGTCGTCAACCGCCTCCTCGTCCGCGGTTACGCCGTCCGAATCCTCGTCGACAACCAAGGTAGGTAACCGACGCAGAACCGAGAGATTGATCTGCTTAGTCCTCCCTCCTCTCTGCTTTCCTGCAAATCAAACTGAATCGGAATTTGAAAGATAGAAATTAACGGCCGCCAGAAATTGAATTCAATTCTCGGAAATGTCCAGCGAGATTAGTCCCGATTTGTGTGTGTTAATCTGATTAGGGAAACAATTTCTTCAGCAATTTTTAGATTGATTTTACTGATTTGAATTTGTTGTGGCGGTGGCAGAGGATGTGGAGAAGTTGAGGGAGATGGAAGAAGCGGCGGCGGGGGAGGAGGGGAGGCGGCGATTGGGAAGCAGCAACAACGGCGTGGTGGAAGCAGTGGTGGCGAGTTTGTTCCAAGTGGAGACTTTGGCGGAGGCGTTCAACGGCTGCCGAGGCGTTTTCCACACTGCGGCTTTCGCGGATCCTGCTGGACTCTCCGGTTACACGGTCAGTCTCCATTCCCACGCAGCCTGTTTGGGCTCTTCCACCCTCTATTATTCATTCTAGCCCCTAATTGCTATTTCTTAAATCATGATGATTAATAATATTCTTGTTTTGACTGTTCTGATCTTCTAGAAGCTAGTGAAATCAAGTGGAAATGGAAGGTCAGTGTATTAATATTGACATAAAAAAAATATTGTCCTAGATCATGCATTCGCCAAATGCACTGAATCTAATAGAATTAGAAACATTTTAATGGAAATGAGTCACCAGGAATAGGCTGGCCCGTCTTCTACATGTTAGGTTTGGACGTGAGTCGTACTAGGCTAAGCTGTGTGGTGTGAAATGCTTTATGTGATTCTAGGATTCGTGACCGAGCATTGCTGTTCAGTGTATTGCCAAGTGAATAGGAGAGTGAGAGTTCACCCATTGGCTGGACCAAAAAGTGGAAGAGTCACCTGTTTGGAAATACAATCTCTAAAGGGGTGTATTTTAGGTGAGCCAAAAGTACCCACAAGTGGTACACCCAATTCCAGTAGTTGGGATGTCCTAATCCTTGTATTTACTCTATTGGTACTTGCTTTTGACATTTGAGGTCCACGCCTCTTAGATTCTAGAAGGAATCGGGAGGTCCCATTCTTCTTAGAGTAGTTCAAGCTTGGTTCACTAAATAAATGCAAACCAACCTCCACCCTGGTGGGAGAAGAAAACTTGCCATACTCTGATACTCACCTAACCTTCCTCACTTGCCATTTTCCAAACCTCACTTGAGTTGTGTCCTTTTCCTGATGCCTTGACAAATGACAAAGAGGCATCTAGACCTCACTAGCCAAGTGTCATTCATTAGATTTCTATAGAGACTTTGACACCCTTTCACTCATCTACCCACTGGAAAAACCACCAGGATGCTGAAATATTGTTTGACAGTGTGCCTACTTTCAAGTTTCAACCGAAAGGAAGGATGGAATGGGGGTGAGGAAGTATGTTATTACTAATGTGGAAAAGGGTTCTGCTATTTGGTTCTTTTATAGTATCACCATTATCAATCTGCTTGATTCTTTTTTCTCCTAGCTACTGTTGTAATCAATTGATGAAGGAATAAAGAAAGCATATTTCACTGTAAAAAAAAAAACCTTAATTCGTAATTACAAATCCAAAACTAACACCGGAAAATATATCAAAAGTCATACAATAGTACATACTCCTTATTTGTCTAGCTCTATTACTCTGTTGCTCTTTGATAGCTGCCCCAACTGAAACCAATATCTGACATTCCGGTTGGCGTTAGGGAGCGTACTGCATCTTTCGTACTGCTTTTACCATGTTCTCTGTTTCTGATTATCGCTTTAATCTAAACCCTCCAACTTTTGATGCATGTCAGAAATCGATGGGCGAAATTGAAGTGAAGGCTGCTGAGAATGTGGTGGAGGCATGCTCGAGGACCCCGTCGGTAAGAAGCTGTGTGCTCACTTCATCGCTGCTGGCCTGCATTTGGCGAGACAGCACCTTGCAGGATTACCCCTGTGTCATCAACCACGAGTCCTGGAGCGAAGAAACATTTTGCAGAGATAAACGGGTAAAAGTCCAAACTCCACCCCCATTGATCATTTCTTAGTTTAACTCTTCTCCCTAGCTTCTAACTTCAATCTTTTGTACGAACAGCTGTGGTATGCTTTGGGCAAGTTGAGAGCAGAGAAGGCAGCATGGAGAATAGCAAAAGAGAAAGGTGTGAAATTGGCCACCATCTGCCCAGGTCTTATTACAGGCCCTGAATTCTTTGACAGGAACCCAACATCAACCGTTGCCTACCTAAAAGGTAACCCAAATCCAATATCACCCACCACTCCCCTTATTTCTCTATGGATCAATACAATTGGTGACAAATTGGTCAAAATATTCCATAACAAGGATTTTAGAACGGATAAACGACATACTACCTTGATTTGTTAGCTAATTTCCATAGCGTTTTCATCAAACAAGATCTTACCATAACCAGAACTTGACGTCTGCTTATTGTTTGGCAGGAGCTCAAGAGATGTTTGCAGACGGGCTGCTGGCGACAGTGGACGTGATGAAGCTGGCGGAGGCACAAGCCTGCGTTTTCGAAGGGATGAAGAAGACAGCCGGCGGGAGGTACATTTGCTACGACAACGTGATCGAGAGCGAGGAGACGGCAGAGAAGCTAGCGGAAGAAGTTGGGATGTCGGCGGAGAGGATATGTGGGAACAGAGGTGCTTATATTCCGGCGCCATTCCAGTTATCTAACAGGAAGCTTTCTAACCTCATGTCCAGAACTCTTCGCAGTTGCTACAATCAACGCTGAATCGTTAAAAAGAAAATTAGAATAAAAGAGTCGTTGGTAGGAAGGGTTTCTAGCTGGCTAAAAGGGTTATTATGGTTATACGTACAAAATTGTTCTATGATTAGAGCACTAGTGAAGTGTTCCAATTCGTAAGAGCAAATGAGTAGCTTCCTTAATTCCTTTCATATCATATCAATCTTCAGTAACCAATCTAGACCACCATGCTGATGCGGTGCAAGTCTGTGAGTTCCTGAGTAAGCCATCTTAAACGAATGCGAGAAATTTTGTAATTTGAAAATATTATTAAGGGCTAATACCAACAGAAATACCAACCTTTAGCGAAAGTGTCATTTATATTATGAAACTCTCGATATGCCATTTCTGTTATGCCGTTAGTGTTCTGTTAATTTTTCCGTTATTGTTTGATCAAGAGCCAAGAAGGTTATGACATGGACAATGACATGGCAAAAAATAAAAATAAAAAATAAAATAAAAGAATGTTTGACCCACAAAGCCGACCGTCTCCCCCCTTACCCCTCTCTACCTTCTGCAATTCAACTCCGCCCATCTCCCTCCCTCGACTTCTCCTTGCTCTCCCAACCCTCCATTTTACCCACCTCCATCGGCCATCATCATTTATCGCCTCCCCCACCGTCGCCCTTCTTTACCTTAAATGATCCTTGACCGCAACCTTTGATTTCCTCCTGAATCGCTCTCAATGTTTGTCTTCCGCTGTGCCTCAACGATCCCGTCTCCGAGCTTGGTAGCGGGTTTCAGAGGATCTAGAAACAGGCGGAGGAGAGGATTTCACCGAATGGGATGGGTAAAATTCTCTTTTTTTTAATGATGTCTTTAGATCCATCGGTCTGAAGATGAAGGGATTGCCTGCTCTGGATCCACCGATGCTCGACGGCGATGATGCAGAGCGAGGAGTTGGAGTGCATCGAAAAGGCGATGAAGCTGCAGTGGTCGTACCAGTAGAAGACGAAGAAGAAGATGCTGGGCGGCAGGAACTGTGGCGCTTCTTAGTTCCCAATGGTTCTTCGATTTGGAAATCTAGATCAGAAAGTTGGATGAAATTTGGGGGTTAATGGGTTTGCCGCATCTAGATTTTGGAGTGCTTTAAGAAACACTTCCAATCGGATAAGGGGATTTTAGGTTTTAGTTTTCTCGATTCGGGATGGACCATTGTCGACGAAGGCAAAGTATTCGGGTACCTTGTGGGACACAGGTTCGGGCGACGGAGCAAAGCGAAGAGAGGGAGGAGAAGATGTGGAAATAGCTACTTCGAGGAAGTCGGCCAGTCGTCACCAACGATGAAGAAGGAAGGTGGCAACTACGGCGGGGAAAGTTTGGTCGTCGGAGGGTGAATTCACAGTGGGGGGGGGGGGGGTTAAAATTATTTAATTTTGTAATATAATAATAAATAAATAATAAATAATATTTTCAAATTTTGTATTCTTTTTTTTCCTAACGTTGCATCCACTTGTCGCTTACGTGGACACAATGTTGGCCACCGTCAGGTCAACCATCAATTCTAACGGTCAACAGAAAATAGCGTAACACAAATGACGCAGAATCCTAATAGGTTGGAATAATTTTGTGTTTATTGAAAGCATGTAATATAAATAGCACTTTCGTTAAAGAATGGTATTTCCAGTGGTATTACCCCTATTATTAATTCTAAGAATGCATTTAAAATCAATTTGTGTATTATTTCTCTGCACCAATACAAGCATTAGACACCAATATTTGCATCTAATTTGTACATAATACTACCAAAACATTCATTTGGGGTGCACAACAGGTTGCTCCGACGGACGTCACTGAAGCATAGACTGTATCATCGAAATAAATATAATGACAATCTAGACTTTGATCGCATGATATTTACAAATACTAAGGGGTCGTTTGGAAGTTGCGATTGTTAAATAGATGTATTGTTGAGAATGCATGTATAATATTATACATGTATTGTCGAATTTGATGCATTGTAGAATACAACGTTTGGTATGTGTGATTGTGTATGCCGCATCAACTAAAAGCTGAGACAAAACAATCTCAACTCAACTATCTCAACAATAACAACGAAAAGTTGAGATATAACAATCACTCAATGTATTGTTTCTGCTAAAAAAACAAAAAAACGATGCATTGTAAACAATGCATGCATAATGACAATCTCAACAAAACTATCGCAACTTCCAAACTACCCCTAAAACAATGAACTGAATTTACATTTGGACCATACAAATCAAAGAGCATACTTGGTCAATTCATCTTTAAGACCATTGGAGTAGTTAAAACTTAAAACTATTGGAGTACAGTTCTGATAAATTTGGTCCGCTCCAAACAGCCCTAGATTTAACCAACATTGATGTAGTGGGGGGCTTCAGATACTTGGTCCAACGAGATCCCATCGCATTCTATCTGCTTTTTAGTCAAAGAGCTCCCTCACAACCCATGGTTTTTACAACATCTCGAGGTGTCAATCCTGTACAGACGTGTTCGATATCAAATGAATTGGGTAGTTAAAGAATAAAAAGAAAATGGAACAAAAAGGATGTACAATACCAGTTGACTTTACCGCCAAACAATTTCACGCGAGCACCGAGATAGCAGAGTTGAATCAGTAGTAGAAGACATAGCAAGGTAAAACCATTAATATCTGTCTGAGTTAATACTCGGATAATGAATGAATCGCTCAAAGCAAGGTAAAACCACTCTAGCTATAATATTTACTCCGATTTCTTTGTGCAGCTCCATCACGACAGGGAACAAGGGGCAAAACAAACGAAATAAAATTTTCAGATCCAGAATAGTAATAAAAACAAAATTTCAAACGCCCGTAGGAATTCTGGCTCTATCAGAGAAAGCTAGTTAAAAAACAAGAGGAGAACAGATGGTGAAAGGCTCAGAGAGTTGCTAACTGTGCTCAAGGAAGAGCTCCGGTGAAGGAGCTCCTCTCATACAAGAGGTGTCAGAAATAAAGCACTCTTCATCTTCGCCGGCCATTTTGAATCAGACAACACGAAAACAACAGAAACGAAAAGAGAGAGAATGAAAACAACGAACAACCAGATGGCGGCCCTCTATTGAAGACGCTGCTGCCATTAGGGTTTTGCCTCCGGAGAACTAGGCCGAAGCGGCAAAAATGATGGATGGAAAGGAAGAGCTGATGCGGTTATTTGTAGGTTATGATACTGGGCTATTTGCTGGTGTCATTAATGGGCCACTAGGTTTGGGCTAAACAAATGGCCCGTGATGTTAATGCTGGCTGTCGATGGCGTCCATGGGCTGAACCATAATTATCTCACTCCAGTACGGTGCAGCTAGGTAGCCTTTGACTCGTCGTTGACCCTGATAATTTTACCCCTTATATTCGTATTCACATAGTGGGCATTGGGTGGGTCGGGTGGATTTTGACTATAAAATGCACCCACCCGCGTTTAAACGGATTGATAATTTTTAACCCACCACCCACCCACATTTAGTCTCGGGTTGGGTCGGGCGGATGGTGGATGATGCGGGTGGGTTTGTGGGTTCATCCACATTGAACCCACATCACAATGTATATAATATAAAGGAGTTAACTTGACATGATAATAGGTGAAGAGAATCATCGAGGGAAACAAGAAGTTGAAATAGGGCGAAAAATGTCGAATTAGTTCTTAAATTGGATAGAAATTCTATTATGAAAGAGTTTTCTACAGATTGAGACGATTATTAGGTGCAAGGAACTAAGGAAAATAATTCCACAAAGGAAAGAGCGGTGATCTAGGCACAAGAATTAGAGGAAAAAGTAAAGGGAAGAAGAGGGGATCTCTATTTGGAAGGTTGGCTTTGAGGTTTAAACTCCAGGAGCAGTCCGAGTTTATATCTAACGCCTCCACTCTCCTCTCTCTAGCGCCAACGACTTTGATCTTTTTGCTGTTGGGTTGAGCGGGTCACCCGCACACTCACCCACAACCCACCCACCACCCGGCGGATGGCTCCCAGCGCAACCCGTCACCCACCCACAGACCCACCCACTTAACGAAATTCAGGTCAAATGCGGGTGGGTCGGTCCAAACCCGCGGATGATCCGCCTGCATGCCCAGCCCTAACATACACAATCACTTACCGTAAAAAGTAGATCAATTGATGATCTGCATAAGCATTTATAATCTAGATTATCATGGTTCTTATAACTATTTAAAACACATTGTATTATAGTAAGAATTGTATTTATGATGCGTGTGATAGGGTTTCACGCACCGAAGAATTCGAACGATTTGGCGAAAGAACTAGAAAACGCAATAAAAGAGTTACTTTTCTCTACTAACTACTATACTTTATTACTTGAATGAATAAAATGAAGAGTAAAGATACATATTTATAGGATTAATCCTACAAACCCCTTCCTCTTAAGACAAGGAAACCCAATCCTAGAGCAAAAAGTAAACGGTAACTTCTTAGACAAGATACAACAATAACAATCCTAGACCCAAACTAATACGAATACTCTGAAATTTAGTGAAAAACTGGTTGGCTCTGGCTACCTTATTGAGCAAACAAAAGATCCCCAAATCGCTTTTTCTGTTCGCACAGCTGCCCGCCTAGAAGTGCCACTCGCTCCGTAGTGTTGTCACACAAGCACACCGCCCACCTGCTGCTCTGCCGTGCTTAGGACCCTTCTTCCCTTCCCTAATGAAAGAGTCCATCGCCTTCCTTAGTAGTCTCTGCGTGCTGCCTGCCTCTTTTTTAAGTAGAGGATTCACTACCGAATCGAAGAAAAGGTTGGATCAAGAAAAGGGATACTACCATCCCTCTGCCCCACGCATCTAATCAGTTCGCGCGGTTCACCGGTTCCACCGACGTCACCCTTATGCTAATGGGCTCGGCCCATGATGCTATCACGCATCAATTTACTCATGATAAACGAGGTTATAAGAAAGATGGTATGCATCTTATCTTTTCTTCCAAATGGTGAAATTTGTAGTTGGGTAATAAAAAAAATTTGTAGTTGGAAATGCCCACATTTGATGGCTTCTAAGGTTTCTAAGAGTTAAGTTTGTATCGATAGATGCTGGGTACCGCATACTAAATAGACTCACCTTACTGTTTT